TATTTTCATTTCATCATTATCACATCCAGGAAACAGGAATAATGAAATTATAAACATCATCATCAACAACAACAACAACAACAGCACACTAACACCTGGAACTAATTTGAATTTATCAATTTTTTTTTGTATGACCAAAACAAGCCTAGACTAAGCCGGACATGATCATTTTCATTTTCATTTTCATTTTTTTTTTTTTTTTTTTTTTTTGACAAATTATCGCAGTCAAATCATAACAATAATAATAATTTGTTTGTATGATACAAAATTTGACAAAATTAATTCAACGGTCAGTTGAAGATGTGTTGTTTAACACAAAAACACGTGCAACATTTGAAAATTATTCTGAAAAAAAAAATTTTTGTTTTCGTTTTTTTATTATTCAAAAGTTTTTTTAATTATTTTTTTTTCTCTGTTGTGGTTTTCTTGCTTCTTGATAATTTTTTTCTTCTTTTTCGTTGATGTTGATCATCATCAACATCACCTATCACTGGATAGTACCGGACAACATGCAGATGTAAATTATTGCTGCTGTTGTTGTTGGTCAAATTAGTCAATTACTGTATTATGCAAAACAAAATAGAAAAAAAAGGTAAATAGAGCAACAGCTAAATCAGCCAAATCTTATACATTGTTTCATCGTTTTTTTTTCGGTAATTTCTTCTTTTTAATTTTCCGACTTGAATACACCATGACAACCATAATGATAATGGTAAGGTGATGGTGATTTCGTAATATTAATAATGAAAAATTCTTATTTTTGTTTTCATTTAAAAACATCATTAATTTCCATACAAAAAAAAAATTTGTGGCCAACAGCAAATAGTAAATGACCCAAAAAATGATTAATTGTGTTTCACAGCAACAACAACAACAAAATGTCTAGATGTATCAGGTCAACAAAAATTTTTTTTTTCTTTTTCTTTACTTTCGTCGTGTATATCATGTCATATTCGTTGCAGAACGACAACAACAACAACAGCAACAACAAAAATTAATATTTTTATGAAAAATGAATTTTATGAATGCCGGAAATATTTTTATTTCATTTTTTTTCCATCGGTAGTTGGGTTTTTATTTTTGTCCATCCAATTTCATTTCTGTGTTTGTATTGACAGCCACCAGATTGCACCACATTGTATGGTGAAAATTTAATTTTTCAATTCACAATACACATTGGTCATGATATTTGAAATTTTTTTTTTTCGTCTGTTTATTTTCCATTCGACAAATTGATTAATCGTATCAATTAATCACCACAATGTCAAATGATGTGAGTCACAGTGTGTGCGTATGTAATTGTATCATGGACAGCAACATAAATCATTTGATGACCAAAATAATGATTTGAATTGAATTTATATTTATTTTCATTCGATTCGATTTTTTTTTATTATAAATTTCTCATCATTTGACATGATGATTGGTGGTTGGTTGGTTGGTTGGTTGACGCAAACCAATCACTGCAAATGATTTTTTTTCCTGCCTTTTTTTTCTTTTTATCCAAACATACAATCGACAACAACAACAACAACAACAAGGACAACAACAATCATGATCATCACATTTTTTTTATATTAATAGGAAAAAATAAAATAAAAACGAATCGATGACAAACACAGACGCCGATACACATGAATGAATGGAAAGATTTTTTTTTTCTAATGACGAAATAAATTCTGATTAAAATCAATTTTTCATTTTCATTTTCTGTTCTTTTATCTTCTCGAATTTTCCAATGCCAAAAACAAAGTGTTAAATGGAATTTTAACAACAACAACAACCATGGTGAATCTCTCTTTTTTCTCTTTCTCTATTTCATTCCAAGAATTCATTGGAAAATTCTTTTCTACTTTTTTTTGTTTGCTTGTTCTTGTTCTGCTCATTCTCGATATATATATATATATTGTAGCAGTCAAACTGGCTGCGCACGCCCTGCTCCTCCACCTCTTCCTATTTCGACCGAGAATGTCGGTGAGAGAAACGAGCATGTTTCCAACCGAAAATTCCGGAGTCAGCATACACAGAAAAGAAAGTAGGGGTTAGTACTAACCAAAAAGGTTAGCATTATAACCCGAATTGGTTAGTACTAACCTTAAAAGATAGCGTTGCAGGATGAAGTAACCCAAAGGTTAGTGCTAATCCTGCAATGCTAACCCACAAAGGTTAGTGCTAACCTTCTTGGGTTAGTTTTTAGGGTTAGTACTAACCTTTGTGGGTTAGCAATCACCCGAATTGGTTATCCATTATTTTAAAAATTAATTTTTTTAATTATAAGATAAATTATTATTATTAATAATCAATAAATTAATATTTGTAGTGAAAAATAAATCAGAAAATAATTTTCGAGCAAAACAACAGAGTAATCGATACATAATGAAATCAATTTATAACTAAATTATCCAGATTTATTATTATTTAATGAATATTATATCAAATACCGAAATGTAATTATCAAAATTTTAAAAAGATGGTCATCATAAATCACTTTGGAGTGCGAAACAACGATGATGATATCGATAATGATCAAGATGGTCATCCAATTCAACAATCAATGGCTACAAAAATGGCCATCATGAATCGTCATCAGCCTGCTATAATGATTGATTCATCATCATCAATTCTTTTATAAAACGATTCACCAAATATGATGATAATTTCACCACAATTACAACATCATAATTTTCAACACCATTAACAACAACAACGGAATATTGTACATGTGCCACCAAGTTTTTTAATCTGTAATCAAACATCCATGAATGCAAATATTCCACCACCATCATATCATTGAGATAATCAAACTATTGAAGTTAACATGTCAGCAAAATCTGAATTGAACTCGAATTGAATAATCAAATATATGCAGATTGACAATAGTAGTAACGTTATTGTTTTGAATTCAACTTTGATTCAATTTTGTTGGTCATTATTTCGGTCTCATAAAACCAAACATTTTTCAAAAATTGATATATGTCAGGGTTTTGTTTTGTTTCTATGAAAATCATAACAATACCCAAAATGGAAATTGAAATGATCGATTAAACATCCGATCATCAGAGGATGTGAGAACTCCAGTAAACATCAAAATGGAGAATTTCAATAAATGTAACAACATCCTATCATACAACAAATGATATATTACCAGAATGATAATGTGGCATTTGTACATCCAATTGTTAAATCAAAACAAATTATGAATCTGAAATTATTATAAAAGCGAATTTTAAATAATAATAAGGCACGATATTTTTTATATGTGAAAATTATGTGTTATTCTCGTCTATTTTGATAAGCCAGCAAGATTATCAAGTATTTGATATATATTTGTTTTACTGGGTGCCATTTCATTCTTGTATTATTGGCAATGAATTGGCTGACCAATATGTAAAGATTTTTCTTATATTTCTCACAATCTTCGTCCAATTTCTTTGGCTTAATATCTATTGAAAAATATAGAATAAGATGGATAATGAGTGAAGATGGCAAAGTTACTAAAAAATTCTTCCATCTGTATATGATCGTAAAATAATTCTTATTGATCTACATTTTGTGTTCACTCAGTTTTATCGGGACATGGAAAACTCAATGTTTACCTGCATAAAATTGGCTATCGTTATAAGTCGTCTTGTTTTGTGGTAATTTGTGTTCAAAGTTCTATTCATTTGATTTGTTTATTTGTTGCTGAACGAACTTTAATTGAAAATCAATGTTGTGTAAATCTACATAAAGAGAATTTATGTATTTGGCTATAATTCTTTAAATATGATTTTAAAAATTTATAATTTATTTTCTTCCCCCATCTTTGAGGTACAGGGGTTTTTATTGAATAAATAAATAAATAGCTCGACTTTGAATGAAATTACAGTCCATCAATCAATCAATCCTGACAAATTGACACCAATTTATCAAACAGTGGTGAAAATTCTTTGGCTCAAATCACTAATCATCAACATGTGATAAAGGTCAATTTTTACGTTCCATTGAAATTACATCATAATTTTTTTCACCAATTATGTAGCTGATATGATAATATCTATCATATAAGTTGATTTTTTATTCATTTTTTCATGCTAAATCTATGGCAAAAACAATGCATTCATTTTGCCGCCTAAAATTCTAAAGTCCAACTAATGAGCAACTGCGCATAGTCAAGCAGTGGTAGTGCAGCTAACTATTTTCAATGCAAATGCTACGCGCTTCTTTTCCCCTTCTATTCCCATACAAATTTGAATTTGATCGTTGGAAAAATCGAACATTAAAATTCAACGGTCGTCGAAGACGGTTGTCCTCACTCAACTTTGCGCTATTTTTCGTGATCATGTCGTGATATTTTTTTCATTTTTTTTCTATTTTAATCGTGGATTTTTGCACTAAATTTTGGAACAAAGACTTTAATCGATTCAAGATTATCGTTGTTCATAGTTATTGTGGTCTAAGATCAAAAATTGGTTCCGAAATCGATGAAGATCGTTTGGTTCAGTCATCATGCAATTATGATTCAAGCTGGCAAAAAAATTCCATTTTCGATGACTTTCAAATGTATTTATGACATTTTGTTTTTCACCAAATTGTATTCATTCACATCCTTTTCAAGTTTTCTTTTTCAGAGTCCATTATACTTGATGTATGATAATTGGAATCCAGATTAATATATGTGAAAACATGGTCAATGAGGTAATTTACATTTTGCCTTAGATTGAAAATGCTAACAATTTTCCTTGTCTTTTGAAGCATAAAATTTTCATTGATGATCAATGATCATTAGACATATAATTGGTGCCGTCTTTAGAAAAACGATCGTGGTAATGTTGCCGAACATTACAAATTTATTGGTGGATATCTGGTCACTAACATGGTACAATGTCCAATGAAACATCATGTTCACCATCAGGTAACTTTGGAATTTCGCTATCAATCAATGATTCTAACACTTACATTTCTCAAAGGCCTGAATTGGATTGGATTGTTGGAGCAATTATTCGGTAAGTCGGCATATTCATTCTTCATATCTAATAAAGACTGGTCTATCTTTTTTTATTAGGTTTGTTCCTGAAATTTTACAATCATCAAATTGAAATTCGATTGATGATTATGTTCGAGATCAATTCGGCGGTTCCATTGTTCATCAGCATTCAATTCAAGAATAGTTTGACCATGTTCAACACATGATAACAGGTTAGGCTAGGGTTAGATTAGGCTTAGGAACATGATCTGAGCTATTTCCTATTGAATTTGATGCTGATTGAATCTTTGGAATCAATGAAGCGATCGAAAACATAATTATAAGTCGAAGATTCATTGGATGGAACACATACTTGAAAGTGATCATGGTAAGAAAATGAATAGATTAATTAAACAAACAACTAATATTTATCTTCACTTAGGATCGTCGGCGAACAATTGAGAAATTGAATCTCGAACCACGGATAGAATTTGGACATTGTCTTGTAACATGGACCGCGAATATTGGATCTATTTCAAATGATCATGGTAAGCAAATGAATAGATTAATTGAACAAACAACTAATATTTATCTTCACTTAGGATCGCCGGCGAACAATTGGGAAATTGAATCTCGAACCACGGATAGAATTTGGACATTGTCTTGTAACATGGACCGCGAATATTGGATCTATTTCAAATGATCATGGTAAGCAAATGAATAGATTAATTGAACAAACTACTGATATTTATCTTCACTTAGGATCGCCGGCAAACAATTGGAAAATTGAATCTCGAACCACGGATAGGATTTGGACATTGTCTTGGAACATGGACCGCGAATATTGGATCTATTTCAAACGGGACAATTAACGTTGTATGGCGCAATTGGAATGTGAAATATGGATGTATTTTATTATTTCTAATATTTTAATAAATTAATATTTCAATAAAATCAATTAAATTTCAATATATATCGATTAAATTAATATGGGGGGTAAAGGCAATAAAAGGGGGTCAAACTGCTGCAACAATCGTGTGATGAACGACACAATCGATGATTTCGATATATTGTTGCAACAATCGGTTGACAAAATTGCTCATCACCCCAATTGGTTAGTACTAACCTGAAAAGGTTATTTTTTGTCAACGAACCCAAATGGGTTAGTACTAACCTTTTTACTTTCTTTTCTGTGAGCGCTAATTGCGTCATTACTTCAATCCATGCATTCGATGATGATTGAAATGAAAAGAGATCGTGATACCTTGCAAGCGATGGTCGTTGACATGAGAAACGAACGCAGATCACGACCCGCATCCAATATCGATATGCCCCCATTCATTGATACAGATCCACGTGGATGGCTCGAAGCGGTGTCAGCTTGTTTTAATGCGGCACACGTTAACGATGAAAAGGATCAATTTTTCAAAATTGTATCTCAATTGCCGAAAACCATACGTGATAATCTTAAACATAAATTGGATCTCACCGATTACACCGATGGTAAACTGGCCTCACTAAAAGAATTGATCATTCGTGAATATGAACTTTCCGAAACAATTCGTCGAGATCGAATCCTCAGTCGCAAAGACTTAGAGAATCAAAAACCATCTGTGGCCTGGTCATGGTTGTTAAACATGGGTAAAAACGTTTTCACAATCGTACAACTTCTTGCTTTTTGGGAGAAGCTATTACCCAAGGACATTGGATTATCGATTCACCACGTCATCCTTCCAATAGAACGCCAATTAACTGAGAATCCCAATGATCTTCAAGTTTTGCCAAGTATTGCAGGTATTGTTCATATGGCTGATTCACTGTTTGAAAAGTATGGTACCACCACCAACAATCATCAGGTTTCTGCTATCTCACGTCCGCGAACCGCAAGTACCATCAGCAACAACAACAACCCCAATAGCAGAAACATCCGCAAGCGCCAAGCGTTTCGAGATGATGGACCATACTGCCGTAACCATTTCTTATATGGTAATCGAGCAAACAGATGTGGCAGACCGCAATCGTGCACATTCTTAAGTCGATCCAATCGGTCAAACCAATCAAACAATCAATCAAATCGATTCAACAATCCACGTTCCAACACACAAAGTCGTAGTCAATCACCAAATCCATCTCAACAACAACAACAGCCTTCATCAACAACAACAACAACAGCGAATCAAACAAACTAGTCGAACCGATTAGAAGTCCTAGATCGGTTCCTAATCAAAGGCAATCAATAATCAGCGCCATTCATTCAAATCAATCAAACACAAATACAAATTCAATCAATCAAAACGATGATCATCATTCACACAACAACAATAACAATAATCACAATCATAATCATGTAGACAACAGTCACAACAATAATCAAAATCATTCAATTAATCACAACCATATACATAATCAAAATCATAACAGGAATTCATCATTCAATTCATATTCAATCAACAACGTTTCCAATAATCATCATATTGTAGATAAATCATCCGGAATCAAAAGATCATATGGCCAACATCATCAAAATACCTGAACAGTCAATTCAATTTTCAATCATTGGTTTAGAAAGAATAACCAATTCATATGTCTGAATCTGGATATCCAATCAAGGCGCAGACTTTCTATCACATTTCCATTTACTTCCAGATCTCAAAACAAATTGCTAATTGACCCTGACAAGCTAATTAACTTGTTGCCCTGAATGGTGTATGGCTTTCGACATTTTGTCATTTCTTTTTTTCTGTTTTTGTCTTTGTCATCATCAGTATCGTCATTTTAAAGACATTTCATTTGTTTGTTCACTTTAAAAATTATCATCATTTTCATCATCATCATCATCATCCTCGTTATTTATTGTCGTCTTAGTTGATTGATGCCGCTACCATTCTGTTCATTTTAAATATACGAATGAATGAATGAATGACTGACTGGAAAAAGAGCCATCATTGAAGAGAAGAGAGAGAGAGAGAGAGAGAAAAGAACTATCCAATCTATCTATCTTTTTTTTTGGCTTTACGAATAATTTTCCATCATCATCATCATCAACAACAACAACAACAACAGCAGCAGCAGCAGCATTTGCGGTAGAAAAAAAAACATTGCTATTTTTTGACGAAAGAAGACGACGACGACGACGACAAAACAAAAAAATTCATTGCACTATTTGCCATCGACATCGACATCGACATCGATCATCATCATTATCCAGGGCCATCCATTCAATGAAACCGAAATAAAATGAAATGAAATGAATTGAAACCAACGAAACCAACCAACTAGCTAACCAGCTAACCAAGCATTCGATGCAATGTGTGTGTGTGTGTGTGTGTATTTGTAAGCAAACAAATGCTGAACATAATAATTTTTCTCTCTCTGAAGCTTTATTCATTCTTTGCCTAAAGCACAATGAATAATGTGTGTGTGTGTGTGTGTGTGGAAAGCATACAAAAATAGCGAAATAGAGAAAATAACGCATGAATCTTGTTTGATGATGATGATGATGATGATGATAATTATGAGCATCCAACAACAACAACAACAACAACAAAAAATGGTATAGTGGTGTTTATAATTTGTTTGTTTGTTTGTTTGTGCTTGTGTGTGTGTGTGTGAATTTCGTTTTTTTTGGCAATCCAAACCCCACACACACACACACACACCAACGCATATACAAACAGACATGTGAGAATAATCATGAAATCGATTCCAATATATATATTTTTTTTTAATTGATTGGAAATTATTCTGCAAATAAAAAAAAAATTCTTTATTCATTCAAATTCATTCATCAACAATTTTTTTTTGTTTTCCATCCATTGTCCACAAGTTTTTTGAAATTTTGTTTTGTTTATATTCACTGTGTGATGGTGCTGTTTTTTTTTCTTCTTCTTCTTCTTTAAAAATTGATTGATTGATTGATTGATTGAATTCAACTATCAACAATTGGCTGCTGGAATTTAGTGTTTAAAAAAAAAATAATTTTCATTTTCCGCATCCGATTATCAAACCAAGAAAATAAAAATAAATCAACTATAATGATGATGATGGTGATTATTGAAAAATTTTTTTTTTCTGTTTTGTTCAAAATCTTAGCTGCTGTAATATTTATATATATAATATATATCATCATCATCATCATGTATAAATGTTTCGACATAATGAATTGATGATATCATTGATTGATTGAGAATTTTCACTGTGCAGTAAAAAAAACTGTGTTTATTTGTGTGTGTGTGTGTGTGTGTGTGAAACAATTTTCATCATTGGTGATATTTAGTTTTAGTTTTTTTTTATTCCGTTGTTTGAAAGAATATCGTACGGGTTAAGTGTAAGTAGCCATTTATATTTATATTTATTTTTTTCCAATGTTACATTATCATTTCATCATCATTATATATATATATGGCCATTTCATTTCATTTCATTATCAATATTTCATTTCATTTCATTTTTATATGGAGATTATAAACCACACAATCATCATCATTGATTATATATATAAATATATGATGATCAATGCAATCATTACAATTGCAATCATCATCATCATCAACGACAACCAACCAACCAACCAATATGAAAATGGTGAAAGTTAAAGAATAATAATGGTGATGATAGAGAAAGCGAGAGAGAGAGGAAAAAACGTATCGACATCGTCATTGTTGTTGATATTTTGTCGTCATTGTGGAGGCAAAACATTTGTGTGTGTGTGTGTGTGTGTGTGTACTGTATTCGGTCGATATTGCTAAATTGTGGCTTCAATCATCATTTTTTGTTTCGTTTGATCATATATCGATAACAAAATGAATGGGGTTATTTCCAATTGATCAAAAAAAAAATTTTTTTGATTATTTCATTGTCATGAGTGTATATGGTGGTAGCTGTTGATTTAAATGAAAATTTTTTTCAAATTTTTTTTTATCAAAGTGATTCATTTACCACTGTGGTTATGCAACAAGTGTCAGTGTTAATATTAGCCGGGTGTAGTAAATATTTGTTGTACTCATCATCATCATTATTAGGACAACCACCATGACCACCATGATCAACATGATTGGATAATTAAAATTAATCGTTTGTCATGTATAAATGTTTTATTGCTATTTTTTTTTGCTGCTGCTGTCTGATGATAATGATGATGATGAATATAACCACACACACATATATATATTCTTTTGCGGTTAATGATTTTATATGGATGCAATATGTTATTCTCATTCATTCATTCAATCATTCAATCATTCACGATATAACAATAAAAAATTTTTTTTTCTTTACTATAGCTATAATGGTATAATATATGTTATTTATGAATTATCGATTTCCAGATAAATAATGACAATAGAAAACAAATGAAAAATAATTATTTGCTTGTGTGTTTATTGTCAACATTTGATGACTGATTCGTTTGTACATTGTGTGTGTGTTTACATCACATCAAACAATGACGATGATGATGATTATGAACAAAAACAAATGAAATGAAATGAAATGAAATGTTTTTCCATTCAATTGTTTGAGATATTTCGATATAGTTTATTCATCTGATAACTCCCAAAAATTTTTTTTTTCGCCATTCATTCATTACATATTGTTCAAATAATCACGGATCCACTTGACAACGGATTTGATCTGATAATCAAAATAAAAAAAAAAAAAAAAGAAGAAGAAAAACAGTAAAATCATTTGACAATTAATCAAGTGTGTGTGTGTGTGTGTGTTTTTTTTCTGTAAAGTCATCTTCATTTTCCCACTGTCAGTATGTGTGTTTAATAAATATATCACGTGATTGACATATATAATTAAATTATTAATTATCGCAACGACATTGATTGGATTGGGAAACAACCAAAAAAAAAAATCAAACATTTTTCAGCCGATAAAAAACTGGAGAGGAGAATCTTTTTTTTTCCACTTCATAATTTCAACCAAACAAAAAAAAAAAGAATCGAGAGAAAAAAAAATCATATGTTGAACACAATCAGATAATCGATGACGTTAATTAATCAATCACAAAAAATTAATTAATCAGGTATTTTGGATTGGTTTTTTTTCTGGTTGTTGATATACACACACACACGGACATATATTCACAATCAATATTTCTACCAATTTTTAATTGAAAATTTTTATCTTTTCGTTCATTTCTTTTAATTTTTCTACTTTCTTCATTCTAATGATGATAATTTTTTCCTGATTAAATAACGATAAAAAAAAAAAAATTTTTTTCCTTTTTCTTTCCACTTGTATATTATCCACGACCATGTTTGCATTTTGACTATGACGACGACGACGACGACAACAACAACGCCAACGACGATTGTGTATCTTTCGTTTTCTCTCTCTCTCCATTTTTTTTTTTTTTGACATTTATACACCGTTGAATAGTAAAAAATCCGTTTCAGCACAAAAACACACACACAAAAAAAACCATATCACCAGATAAATAATGAAAAAATAAAAAATAAAAATCCATCTCATGTGTGCATGTTTCTCTGCAATCACTTTTTTTCGATAATAATAATAAAAAACGAGACTCAAGTTGAATGAAAGAAAGAAAAAAAATCTAGCCAACAGGCATCTTAATAACCGATTGTTATTGATGTGATACTCATTTTTTTTTTTTTGCTGCTAAACCGGAAAATTATCACCAAAATCATTATTTGTGATTGTGATCTTGTTGTTTTTTTTTTCATTGTTTGTTTTGCATTGAAATTAATTAACTATACTAGTCAATCATCAATTATTGATTATTATTGATCATTTGTTTTTTTTCTGTTCTTTTTTTTTGTTCATTTATTTGTTTATTATTATTATTATTGTTGTTGTTGTTGTTGTTCTGAAACCGACTGAATCAAAAAAAAAAAAAAACAAAAAAAACCAAACAAACGAAAATGTTGCTCAAAAAGATAATGAATCGTAATCGTAATGAAACAACCGGTGGAAATAGTGGTAATCCACAACCACAACCACCACCACCACCACCACCATCATTATTATCACAGTCAACGAATCCAATTATACAACAACAAATGCAAACACAACCATTACGGATAAAGGCAACATCAATTTATGCCGATTATATAATGACCGATACTGTACTTGGTCTCGGTATCAATGGTAAAGTGATTGAATGTCGATCAAAATTGACTGGACAAAAATATGCAATAAAGGTAATGTTGTTCAAATTGAAGAAATAAGAAAGAGAGAAAAAAAACTTTAGAAAATTTTTCATCATCATCATCATTTTTTTTTTCATCAGGTTCTTCGTGACAATACAAAATCCAGACGTGAAGTTGAATTACATTGGCGTGCTAGCCGCTGTAAACATATTGTGCCGGTAATTGATGTATATGAAAATGTATTGAAATCAGATAAATGTCTGTTTGTCATCATGGAATGGTGAATTGGATTATCATTTGCTTTTGTTTTATCGATTTGTTTTAATTTTTTTTTTGTTTTTGTTTTGTTTTTATTTTAATCATAGCATGGAAGGTGGTGAATTATTTCAACGTATACAAGATCGTGCTGAAAATGCTTTCACTGAACGTGAAGCGGCCGAAATAATGCGTGAAATATGTAAAGCTATACGGTTTTTACATTCATTAAATATTGCTCATCGTGATGTTAAACCAGAAAATCTTCTCTATACACGTAAAGATCATACTGGTATATTGAAATTGACCGATTTTGGTTTCGCAAAAGAAACAAATAGTGCATTACAAACACCATGTTATACGCCTTATTATGTGGCGCCAGAAGTACTTGGTCCAGAGAAATATGATAAAAGCTGGTATGTGTTTGATTATGGATTTTGATGATGAAAATGTTTTTTCATAAAATTCATTTTTTTTTTTTTTAGTGATCTCTGGTCATTAGGTGTTATTATATACATCCTATTATGTGGCTATCCACCTTTCTATAGTAATCATGGAATGGCCATTTCACCTGGTATGAAAAAACGTATACGTGCTGGTCAATATGATTTTCCTGATACTGAATGGCGTCATGTATCTAAAGATGGTGAATTTTTTTTTTCTATTTTGGTAGAAAAATTTTTAAAATTTAAATTTTTGTTTTTGCTAAATTTTTAAATTAAAAAAAATAGCCAAAGATCTAATCAAAGCATTATTGACAACCGATCCAGAAAAACGTTTAACCATCGAACAGGTTATGAAACATAATTGGATTGCTGTAAGTTTTGAATTTTAAATGAAATTAATTGTAATTATAATCACATAATGATGATGATAAAATATATATATATATATATAGAGAGATATACCGAGGTACCACAAACACCATTACGTTCCATACAGATATTACGTGAAGATCAAGATCAATGGCCTGAAGTACAAGAAGAAATGACACAAGCATTACGTACAATGCGTGTTGATTTTGATCCAAGCGTTAGACTTAAAACAATGGACGCAATAAGTAATCAATTATTGGAGAAACGTAAAAATCGTACAGTAAAACCGCCAAAATCAACACATCCAATTGCATAACAATACCATACACACACACACAGAAAAAAACACAGCCATTTAAAATCATGAATTGAATTGAATCGACACAAATTTAAATTTGTTTAACAAAAAAAAAATTAGTCAAATGTTTTTTTTCTCTCTTTTTTGGTTTAGCTATATAATTCAGTGTTCATTACAAGAAACAAAAAATTATCATTAAAACTTTAATCATAAAATTAAATAAATAGTCATCATCATCATTATCATCATTATCCTTAAAAAAAATGAAATTAAAAATTCATTAATTAATTAATTAACTTGTATTCTACATTCTTATTATTATTATGTTTTGGGATTGAAAATTTTTTAACCGAAAAAAAGTGAAAAAAAATGAAAATAAAATTTATAATTTTGATTGTTCACCAATAGATGGCTGTCTCGGAGTTGAGAAAGATTTCCATATCCCAATTTTTGCATACTACATCATTTGTGGATGAACGTTACATTTTTTTTTTTTTGTAAATGCACGCTACATTTATGGTGATCCGTTACTTTGATGTGTGTGTGTGCAAAAAGATGTACAGATACTTTCGAATATCAAAAAAAAAGTTCTATTCTCGAAATCAAAGCACATGGTCCACACACGCTTTATATATTGTGATGATTTTCGATTTTCGATTCATTCTTTTCCACGTGGTCGTCGTGTCAACATCTCTAAGTCATTTGAATTTTTGAATTTTTTAAATTGTTTTTTTTATATTCAAAATTTGTGTTGATCAATCAACAAAAATCAATACGACATGATGAACATATAATCAAATTTGAGAAAACAAGACAACTCAAATACGACATGATAATCATATAATCAAATTTGAGAAAACAAGACAACGTAAGGATGATTGTATTTAATAATATGTATTATATTAATTAATTGGTTTAATAATGATCAGCAGATTGATACTAGGTCATTGAGAACAATGATCATATCATTGAAAAAATTTACGGAACAATCGATGATAATTTGGGCAATGATAAAATTAGAAATTTGTTCAATTTCAACAAGATTGATAAAGAATTATCATGGCAGCCATATTGAGCACCTTGATCGATGTAAACCATTGTTCAATCCAAGAATATCCTGAATATTTTAAGCCGGAAATTATCTGATAAGCTAAATAATAATAATAATAAATATATAAATTTATTTCAAAGATTAATCGTCAAAATTAACAAATTTTTTTCCACACGCTCACCATATGAATACATATCACAAATAAATCATAGATTAAACGTTCTCACTCAAATTTACCAACAATAATTATCGTAATTTATTATTCTTTTTAGATTCGTTTATATAGTAATTTCAGAATTACAATTTGTTTTGTTTTATCAATCGAATGTTCAAAGTTTTCGGATGTTCTTCGCATCCTTTGATGCTCGATCATTTCGGCTTCGATTTGTGGGATTGTTATGATTTTATTAAAACCATAACAATTCCCTGACATACATAAAAACAAAATAATAATAAAATTATATATTTCTTTTACACAACTTTGTAAACGCTGTAATTATGTAATTTTTGATTCCATGTACATAATTGATGATGACTTGTATTCAACATTCTTATTATCATCATTATTTTATGTTTTGGGATTGAAAATTTTAATTGAAAAAAAAAATAAAATTTGTAATTTTGATTGTTCACCAATAGATGGCTGTCTCGGAGTTGGTATTGTGTATGTGTGTGTGTGTGTGTGGTTTTTTTTCATTCGGATCGCACACTTGTAGAGCTCAATTTTTTGTTTCCATTTTTAAGTGTGTATATATATCATCTATGTGATTAAGTTTGAATTATTTCCTTCACTTTTTGTTCCATTTTGGTTCCATTTGAAACATACATACACGTGGCTATACATCATACACATACACACACACTTCTAACACGTGTTCAATTAATATGATAACATGTTTGAACAAAACAAAAACACACACACACACAAATTAATGCAACCACATCAAATCAAATCCAATCGATAGGTAAGTTGTATCCATGATTTTTAGTTGTCATTGTTATCATTTTTTTTATGGTTAATTTCAATTTGAAATTAATCATGTCGATAATAATTGTAAATTTTTTGTATTTAATTTGACAATTATTATAATCAATAAATGAATCAAATCATTTTGGATGTGAAACTTTTTATTTTAACCATAAGATAATATAATACACCCACCACTACCATCAATCAAGGTAGGCCATATGGTTACTGTGGTGTGTCTGGTATTTCTGTGTGTGTCTGTGTTTTGCTTCGTTTGATCTTCTCAAGATTGATGTGGTATGATTGTTGGTGGCTACAACGACGATTACGATACTACCTCATTTCAAGCAAAAGCAAAGCACTTGCCATCAACGAAGTGAAAATCAAAAAAAAAAGACACCTTTCTCTCTCTCTCTCTTTCGGTAGTTTGACGAAAGAAACTCACTTTGCTCGCTATACACACATATGTATGTTTTTTTTTTCGTTGAGTGATTGAAACAAAACAACAAAAACTAGCCAAACGAGCCACGATTTTAGTTTGGATTGATTTCCAATCGTTTTTGTTTTTTTTTCGTGGATGTCGTGGTTTGATCATTGTATAGTTGATGATTATCTTCTCGTAGTATAGTAATATGAATGTGGGAATTGTATTAGATTGACGTCGTCATCGAATTCATTTGTATATATATTATATATATAAATATTATTCAACATCATAAAAAATCAATTTTGCATCGATTAATTAATCAATCAATCTGTTTTTAATTTCCATTTTTTTTATGCATTTCAAAATGTAAGTTTTAAACACACTGGTTCCATATTTATATTTTTATTTTGATTTAAAGAACTATAATAATAAACTACCTTTATTATCATTATTTGTTTACCTTGAATTATGGCCTGTTTTTTTTTCGTTGTTGTTGTTGTTGTTCTCGTTTTTTTCCCTATGATAATCACTAATGGTGATGATTAATTATCAATCGTCATCAATATTTTTTTTTGTTTTGTTGTTGTTGTTGTTGTTATTGTTTTCTTTTTCGAATCCATTTCTATTGATAATGATAATGTGTACAATATCACACACACACACACATCGTCATCGGTTATTGAAATTTATTTTGGCAACACACACACGCTACAACTACCACCACCACCACCAAAACCACCGCTATCAGAATAATCGTTTGAATGGATTCTATTTTTAATATTAGTTTTTTTTTCCTTTTGACTTTATTATTATTTTTGGCTCAATTTTCATTATTATTATTATTCTTCATATGAATTCTTCTTAACCAAATTCGTATATGGTAGGTGTGGTTGTTGTTGTTGTTGTTGTTGAATGGGTAAATGATTGACACATACAACATTGATGATGATGATTACAACAGTTGAAATTTTTTTTTAATTTTGTTTTTGATGATTCTAATAGTTTTTTTCCATTTACAGATCATCATCATATATATAATGGACCTGTGATTCAAAATGATAATGAAAATTTAAAATTATGTCTACATCATTAACCGAATCATCGACATCATCGTCGACATCAATAACGGCTCCAACTTCATCATCATCGTCATCATCATCATCATCATCAAATAGTTCTGCTGAGAATTTAATATTCAATGATGAAATTGTTGCTATCGATGGTAATGATATAAACATTGTAAATATCGATTCATCATCATCATCATCATCATCGACAATGATGATGATGGTGGACAATAATAAAGAATCAAAAATCAATGATGATGATAATGAGAATAGATCATCATCTAATACAATAATTAATAAATCAATTATGATTCCATTATCATCATCAACAACAACAACAACGGCAACATCATCGCCTATAATATCAACGACTACAATAGTAACGTCGTTGTCATCAATTCCAGTTTCATCAAATACAATATCAACAACAATGTCAAATATTGAATATCCATTATATCAACAACAACAACAACAACAGAAACAACTTTCACCCCATTCTCATTCAATCCAAGAAGAATTGGATGAAACTAATAATGAACACTATACGAATCATTCCAAAAATTCAATTATAAATGTTTTATCTTCAAATTTAATCAATAATAATGAACAATTGTTATGGCAATCACAACAGCAACAACAACAATCAAAATCATCGTCTATACCATTATTACGATCAATGTCTTCTAATAATAATAATAATAACGATGTTTTAATGACCAATCGTTCACCGATTACAGCATCATTATTTTCACAACAATCAAATAATCATAATCGACAACAAATGATCAATTTGTCAATGGCATCAACAACTCAGCCATCATCATCATCATCATCATCAAATTTCATTATTGATGATTGTGATTATAGTGGCAGTAGTAATATTCTAACATCAAATCCATATCATTTAATGAATAATCCAAATGAAAATGGTAATAATGGTACATCTGGAGCAGCAACAGCAGTTATTGCTATTCAACAACAACAGCATAATAATAATGCACAATCATCATCATCGGCATTGTTGAATCGTTTATCGGCCATTACATCGCCACCATCATCAGCTGCAATGCCAAATACATCAAATTCATATGGTAATCTTTATAGATCATGTGGTAAATCGACCACTTCCACATCATCATCATTATCATCATATGTTGAACCACGTAATGAATATGAATCATTAATTAAACGGTAAATATTACTATGATTGATTATGAAGAAAAACATAATTGGAATTTTTTTTTTCTTACATTAGATATGCCGAATTGGATAGTTTTCATGTTGAAGTTGTAACTAAATTATCAATGACCGAAGCTGAAAATCGTCAACATCGTAAACGTAATAATGAAATTCTTCAACAATTGAATCAAGCAATGAATGCTCGTGAAACGATGCAAGATGAATTACATTCATTAACAGCAAAATATGAGAAAGCACTGCGTGATATACAGGAACTAAATGATCAGCTAACAAAGGTGAAAAAACAACGCGATGAAGCAAATAAAGAATGCCATAATGCAATGAATGGACGTAATAAAGCTAATCGTGAACGGCAACAAATGTATGAAGAACGTAATATTGCTATTCGTGAATATAATCTTATAATGTCTGAACGGGATTCTGTTCATAAAGAAATTGAAAAATTACAAGAAGATCTACAGGATATACAAAAACGTAATGAAACAATTGATAAAGAATACAAAATTACGATGGAAGAAATGGAAACACTAAGACGTGAATTGGCATCCGCTTTACTTGATCGTGATCGAGCATTGAAAACATTTTCTGATTTACGTGAAAAATATGGTGAATCATCAATGACATCACATCATTCACAGACTTCATTTAATCTTTATTCACTATTGCCATTTGCACAACAAGATTCACAGCAATCGCTACAACAGCAACAAGATTTCACTGTCGATGGTATCCATACATCGCCAATAATTATCAATAACAATAACAATTTAAGCAGTAGTAGTAATAGTAGTCTAATTGGTAATATTGTTCAAATGAATCTTCGACAACAATCACCAACAATGGCAACAATTAAGAACTTATCATTGATGACTAATGTAAATAAAACAACAGCAGCAAATCCACCACAGCAACAACAAATTATCAATAATCAACAGCCAATGATGACGATGACAACATCATCTAGTACATCATCAGTATCAACATTTGGAACATCTCAACAGCAGCAACAGCAGAATCATCATCAGCCATTAATTCATTCAACACCAAAAACAACATCAATAATTGATAATAATAATTCATCGAATAATTCATTAGCATCACCAGTGGTAAATCTAGTCAATACTACTACTGTTGGTGGTATTTCTGAAACGGAATCACTTCGTGAACAGGTCAAAACATTGCAGCTAGAATTACAACGTGCCTTACAAGAGATTGATTCATGGAAAACAAGACGTGATTGTGCCATAAATGAACGCGATAAAATCGTATTGGAACGTGAAAGTGTACGTGCACTTTGTGATAAATTACGTCGTGAACGTGATCGTAAAATTAGTGATCTAGCCGATGCTTTACGTGAATTATATGAAAGTAGACGACAAAAAAATGAAACAACTAAAGAAGTGGAATTATTAAAAGAAAAATTTGATTCAGCAATGAAAGCAAATAAAACGGCAATTAATCAATTGAATTTAAATGAAAAACAACAACAGAAGCAACCACAACAATCACAGCAACAGACAAATAAACCTAGCATCACTTGTACTAGTCAAGATTCCGCTATCGATGTTGATGATGCTCAGGCTGCTATTGCTCAAGCTGCTATGAATCAACAACAACAACAACAACAACCACCTCATCATCATCGTTATCTGAATAACAATCGTCCACGAACAATAGTTCAGCAGCAGCAATCAAATAATAAATGTTCAATGCAGACAGTATCATTGCCAATTTTAATGAATAATAATAATAATGATTATTTAAATCAATCAATAGATACAGATTCTACAATTGCAATTCGTCGTATGTTTGGTTTTGCTGGCGATCTAGTATTAATTGTTAATCATTTAACCCATCATAATAAACAACAATCGATTTCAGAGCATAAAAATAACAATAATGTATTGAATCATAATGATCGTATTGTATCGATAAATGGCACATCATTGAATAAAATATTGTCCGGCCATCTATTTCAATTTATGTGCAAATCTGCAAAATCATTGGATTCAGATTCGAATACGATTAAAGTTCAATTATATCGTTGTCAATCGATCATGTCATCACCTGGTTCATTATTACAAAATCAACAACAACAACAACAACAATTGCATCCAACGACTGAATTGGATAAACAACATAATTATATAGCGAAAGTAAATGAATATACAAAACCTACAAATTTATTACAACAAGCAGAACCAGAGAAACAATCATCATTAGCCATAATTGATTCTGTGGATGATGAATCTGAAATTGATGATGAACCACGTGCAACCGTTGATGAAGATAATGATGCTGATGAAGATGAACCAAATAGTGATGTTGAAAATGAATCTGAAGTAAAAACTATTGCTAGATTAGATCAAATGTTGGAACAATATCAGATTGAAGATTCTACTTCTTCATATTATGGAATGATTGGTGTTGGTGGAAATAATGATGGATTAACTACTACTGTCACTGGTGCTCCATCGTCATTTATGAATGATAATCATAACAATGTCCAATGTATATCATCACAACAGAAACAACAACATTCACCAACAACAACACTCCAGCATCCATCATCAAACACAATTACAGGCATTATACGTCGTTCAAGTCGATCTAATAAAAAATCCATTAAACAAAGAAATTCAACATTAACAGCATGTGCACAATTAACAGGTGCAGCTAAAGAATTAACTGCTGCCATAAAAAATCAATTAACTGATTCGAATAATTCTGGCACCGGTGATACATGGCCACGTTATAGACCACATCAATTTCTATCATCAATGTTGCCATCATTTTATAAGAATCATGGATTAAATGAATCGCAAAAAAATTCATCATCAGCCACATCCAAACAACAGCCACAAACAAATAAAACAGAAATGATGATTGGAAATATGAAACATTTACGTACACCATTAGCCAATATGGATAATATTAATAGCTATGCAACGACAATAAATCGTCGTAAACATCAAAGAAAATCATTGGGTATTTTTCTCGATATATTTCCTACAGCTGATTTGATGATGAAATCAAAATCACATTCACAATCAGAACAACAACAACAACAATCTAATAAAAATATGGATCAATCCACTATTGTATCATCATCGGCAACACCACCAGCAACAACAACAACATCGATCCAACAACAATCGGTAGTTATCAATGCTGCATCACAATTATCAGCTGTTACATTACGACAATCACCACGTCATCGTGAACATTCACAATCTATGATAAATTATGAAAATCCATATGGTACAACGACAACAAATTCTGGCAATCAACGATCAACCATTTTGCCGACAACGATGAATCCATTGAAAACACGATCATCACAGATAAATTATGATCATATAGCAGCATTGATCAATTATGGACAACAGCAAACACAACAACAACATTATCATCGTTCATTACCATCGCAGCAACATGTTTTATTTCAACAACAACAACAACAACAACAGCCTCAATCACAACAGCAATATATTTATTTAGAACAACAACCAACAACTGTTTCTTCTGCTTCCGCTACTGCTACATCAAAATTGACATCTTCATCAACATTACAACGAAGTTTAACATACAATAGGTACAGGTTATTTGTTTATTTTAACCGAAAAAAAAAATTTCACTAATTTTGTTTTTAACACTTTATTTCAGCTTAAAAACTATGAATAATGAACAAATTAGATATCTAATTGATCCACCTGCTAATAATAACGATACGAATAATTATTATTATCATATGAATGATAATCAACAACAACAACAACAACATCAACATCAACATAATCATTCCTCATCATCAACAGCGACAACAACAAATGGTGGTTATTTAAAACAAATTCATCAACGTTCACCATATTCAATGTATTCATCAACAATTTATGGTACTAATAATAAAACAATCGATAGTTCATCATCTGGTATTGTTGTTGTTGGTAAAGATTTGTTGTTGAAAAATAAAAATATAGCACAACAACAACAACAACAAGCACAAACAAATGATTTATATGGATCCCATTATTCAACCAATCCACCACCACCACCACCACCAGCATCATCATCGTCATCATCAGCAGCAGCAGTATCATCATCATTAGTTGATTATTCTGTTGTATCAGCACAAGATGAAAAACTTTTAAAACATTATGAAATGCGTCAACAACAACAACAACAGCAACATCATCACAATCATAATTATCAACAACAACCGACAACAGCTGGAACTATTACATCAACATCATCAAATACGAATCGTTCAAATTCATTATTTATGACCGGATATTTACCTAGTAATCATAATCATAGAATCAATACTACAGATCTATATGATATATATGGTCAAATTAGTTTTCGTCCAACAATTGCAATAACAACAACAAATACGACAACAGCAGCAGCAGCTGCGGCAACGGCGACAGCTACAAAATTGACAACCGACAATCTATATGCTACACTTATTGGTGGTGGTGGTGGTGGTGTTAACAATAACAACAACAATATTGATGTTGCTAATAATAATTTGCTAATTCGTAATTCGATGCCAATTACAGCTTCTACTAATAATAGTAATAATTATTATAATAATTTACAATCAGCATTAACAAATATTGGTATTCCACATTTACAACAATCACAACATCTTCATTATGCTGGTGGATCCATCTCAGGTGTTCAACGAACACAGCCATCAATAATATCGATGAATAATAATAGTTCATCAGGATCATCATCATCGACAACAAATAAATCACAAATAATACTGCCACAGCAAAAACATATGAGACATTCAATGAATCTATCATCGACAACTATTAAATCGGCTGTATTACCGACAATAGATTCAATTATGTTGCCATCGGCATCATCAAATAATAACAATAATGATAATGGTAATATTAATAAGAATAATGATCATGAAAATATGATGATGATGATGATGAATTGGGATAATGAATTAGCATCATGTTCATCATCATCTATAACAAGTTCAAAACCAGGTATTTGTAGTAAATCTGGTCAAATTTCCAATAATAGCCGTCCATATAAAGAGAGGTAAGTTTATATATTTATTATTTAAAACAAAATAATTGATTTATATCATTATTTTTAGCTCAAATTTTTCCACCATTTTTGATTCCAATGCCCTTTCATCGCGTGCAAGTATATCAAGTACACATAGTGCATCTGCTTCCATTTCTGCTGCGGCTGCTTCTGCTGCAGCCGCTTCTGCTACCGGTCATCATCAATATTCATTATCGGAAAATATTTATGGATCTACTATCGCTAATAATAATGCTAAAACTACATCATCACAAGCTTCACATCCAATTATTGGTGGTGTTCAACAACAACAACAATATTATGATGATAATCAACATTACACATCATTTGTATCGACAATTTCACGTTCACAAAGATTACGTATACCATCATCATCATCATCATCATCAACTTCAAATTCGATTTCAATACCACCGATAACAAAAACAAATAATAATCAAAAAAATGTTTTCGGTATAACGACAACACCAACAACATTTAATGGACCAATAATGATGGTTAATAGCAATAATACACCACAAATTGTTAATCCTAATCATCATCATCATCATCCACTTGGATTAATTGGTGATCGTAATTCATATGTATCAAACACTGGTAGTAATGGACCACAGATTGAAGTAAAATGGATCAAATGTTCAAAAGATGGTTCACCTGGTTCACCAATATTGGATCCAACTAAAGCACAACCGGATGATTATCGTCTGATCACTATTGATCGTAGTTCGGCTACATTAGGCATACGTATATTGCGAACATTGAATGATCAAAAAGGTGTTTTCGTTGAAGCCGTAACCGATGGTAGTTTGGCTGCGCAAGCCGGTATTCGTGTCGGTGATCAAATTATCGATATATGTGGACTGAATATGCGTACAGCTGATTTTAAAAATGCAGCCAAAGTATTGAATCAATGTCGTGATCCAATAACAATGTTGGTGCAGAAAAATTTGGATAAATTTCGTGAAACACAAAGTAAACAATTTCAATTTCAAACAACAACACCAACAACTACAACGACATCAGCAACTATAACGAATTTGAATCAAAATGATAACGGTATTGAAAAAGAATCAAATAGTGGTAGTAGTGGAAATAATAATATTGAAACAACAATATTATCAACTACATCACCACCACCACCGTCCACATCTGCATCATCATTATCTATTAAACATCATCATAATCAATTATCAAAACGACGTTCTTGTTTTGAACAACCAGAATTGGCCGCAGCAATGGCTGCCGATCATAATGCTGGCCGTTTACGTGCACCAATCGTTGGACATGAATCTTCAGATCTAGAAAATAATGTCGTAGTCATTGTTGATGATGATGATGACGATGACGATGACGACGATAATGATCGTAATGAATTTAGTTAATTTTCTTTTTTTTTATTTTCTCTCTTCGTTTGAATTTAATTCATTCATCAATTGAAGCGATTGATTTTTTTTCAATTTTTTTTTCTTGAATTTGATTTAATTTTTTATTTTTAAATTGAAATTAAAATTTTTTTTTCTCATTTTAACTTGCAAAACTTTCAATTGTAGTTATAGCTGGTTTTCGTCGCCGTTTTTGTACCAATGGATTTTTATACGATTTATGATGCTGTTGTGGTTGTTGCCGTTGTCGTTGTTTCGATGGTTTTCGATAAAAATTTTGATTCTTTCCATTATTATTATAATGAATGATTGTATGACGATTTCGGTATCGATTTGTTTGTCGATTACGATTTTGATTTGTATGATGATTACGATTAACGATTTTACTACTACTACTACTACCATAACGATTTCGATGATGATGATGATGAAAACGATTCCTTGTGGTTGTTGAATGTTTGTTATTTGTTGTAAAAAAATTTTGATTACCATGACTTCTTAATGATATATTTTCATCTGATAAACCACCATTTCCCGGTCCCATTGGTTGTTCATTTGGTGGACCAATTGGATAATAAATACCATCCGGATTTAATGACGATGGTGTCATTTCTCCACCTATTTGTGGTGGTTGTTGTTCACCACCATTTTCACCTTCGGGCAGTGTTTCCGGTCCTTCTGGTGGTATTTCTAGTTCACCACCTTCAGATGGTGGTTGTTCATCACCACCGCCAGGTAGTTCTTCTTCACCTGGTTCTGGTTCTGGTTCTGGCTCTGGCTCTGGTTCTGGTTCTGGATCAGGTTCGAGTTCAGGCAATATAGTTGTAGCTGGTTGAACTGTAAAAATAAAAAAATCTCCCAGAGAATGATAAGTGTGAAATAATATGAAATGATCAATGAATGGTTAACATACCATAATTGGGCGGTATTAACAAAACAATGATTTGCCGTTTAAAGAAAAAATTATCTTTATACATTGGAAAATCTGATTTATAAGGATGATTTTCATTTGCAATGAAAATTGTTGATTTATTCGTATCGAATGTTGATGAACCATGATTATCATCGGCATTATTAAATGTATTTATATTCAAACGACGTTTACCGGATACGATTGAAATCATTGTAATAAACAGCCATATTGATCGAATTAATGATGTTAATAATAATAATGATGGACAGTGTTGTTTTTGACCAAATCCATTTTTATGATAATTTAGATTCATGGTCGAATACTTTGACAGTAGTAATAACAATTTTTAATTATTTGTCAATTTATACTGATGAGACATAACTCTATCTGATTAATGAATGAATGAATTTTTCTTTTCATTCAATAATCGTTTGGATCAATTTCATTTTCATCATCATAATATAACAATAACAATAATATATAATAACCGACCGATATTGAAATTGAATGAAAATTTCAAATTTTTTTTTCTACTTTTTTTTCCACATTATTTATACAACTGTACGTTGGTCAAAACAATGGCCATGCACCGAAATTGATGATGATTCAATAGTTATTTGCATTTTATTTAACAAAAAAAAAAAAATAAAATTTGAAATTGGCCAAAAAATACTTTTTTCATGAATGGACCAATGTAACATAATAATAATAATAATCGATCGATGTCTATGTTTGCTAACATAATTGAATGATGATGACAGCGACAATTTTGTTTTGTTTTGTTTTGTTTTAAATTTTTGGCCATTTAATTGGATTTCAAATCGATTGATTGATTGGTAATTATTTGTCTGTGTCTGTATTTTTTATTTTTGTTTGTTTTTTCATACTGTTTTTTCAATCAAATCCAATTTCAACTGAAGAATTATTTTTCGTTTCTTTTTTTTCGAAAAAAATTCCCATATCGTTTCCGTTACAAAAACCAAACCAAAAAAAAAAAAAAAAAAAATTATTTCAATCATCTGCGCGGCCACACCCTCTTAAAGATTAGCAAAGAAGTGGAGCAACATTTACATACAGACATATACAAACACACATTGGCCATCGTCACGCAAGCTTTTAGAAATGGCGAGTCAAGTAAAAATAAAAAGCCAGGGTTGGTTTTTTGTTCACACCAGAGAAACACACGCACACACACACACACATAATGTGTAGTGGTTGCTGGTGGTTGTTGTGGTGGTGGTGGTGGTGGTGGTGGTGATGGTATTGGTATTGGTTGTGGACCCTCAACCAACTGGTCAACAACAACACCAATATTTCCAAGTCAACTCACGAAACAAAGACGCCACAGAGAGGACATTGTGTCGTTTTTGTTCATTTGTTATTTCAACCAAGAAAAAAAAAATCAACAATCATTTTTTTTAAATTGTTTCACATTTATCGACAATCAAATTAAAATAATGTCATCAACTTGTTGCGCTTGTCATCATCATACAAATCATCATATAAATGGATCAAATACATTACCATCAAATTCATCATTTTCAGATTCAATTGGATCCTATAATAATAATAATAATAATAATAACAATAATAATAATGGAAATCATCAACATACAATCAATGTTGTAACCTGTAAATCATCATCATCATCATCCAATACAATTGATCATCATCATCATCATCAACAACATAATCATCATCATCATCATCATAATAATATGGTATCATCAAATAATGATTGTGGTTATTGTTGTTTTCGGCCTGCTAGATGGTTATTCACATTATTATCATCATGGGCGCATAGAACAAATCGTCATCTAAGTTTAATAACATTATCATTTGTATTTATATTAATATGGTCATCAATATTATCATCAATAATGATTATACATTCATATCGTGAACGTGAATCAGCTACAAATATGATTGAATTATTTACTATGCATAAAAATGTTGGCCAATTAGCGTTTGCTATTGGTAATGAAATGTGTAAGTATTTATTTATTGATTTTTTTTTAAATCCCGATCACGAAACAATCAATTTTTTTTCGAGTTCATTTTCAGTGTCAACACTTAAACTAAATAAACAACAACAACAAATGATGAATAATACAACAAACAATGATCAATTGAATCATACGAATACATCATCATTATATCAACAACAGAATGAAACCGATATGGCGGTGAAACAAATGCTCAATGCTTTAAAACAAAAAGGTTATAATGGTGATCAGATTGAAGCGATGATTAATGAAAAATTACATTATTTACGATCAAAATGTAATAATTGGTCTATAAATAGTAGCAACAATGAAATTGTCACCAATTCAACCATTCATCATCGGAACCAGACTAAACAATCATCATCAATGATGATTGATTGTGTTCGAACATATGAAAAATTTTTCTACAATCTAGATATGGAATTATTACCTGTTTATCATCATCAACAACAATCGCAATCGCAACAACAAAATCAATCATGGTTATGGGAACGATATTCCAAATTAGCCATGACTGATTTTTCATTACGTAATATGCCATATACATTATTTATTCGTGGTGTCATACAACGATATACGGCACTTGGTTTTGGTACAATATTGTTAGCCACAGCTGATTTTAATAATCAAAAATCAATAATGAAAACATTCAACATATCGGATTATTTTCATTATTATTATTCAAGTCGACAACAGATTGAATCATCATTTGTATGGAATCAAAAATTTTATCAAAAATATCTGGAATTCGAACAATCAGAATATCAAACTGAAATGCTTGTTAATCATTTCAATCGATGGCTAATGGATATACAACAACAATATAGCCAAATGAGTCAATTAATGATACGTTTATTCACACAAGAAACATTAAATCGTATGCATAGTTATTTGAAGAAAAAAAATGCTGAAAGTATTGAACGATTAATGTTTGTGAATGGTAATCGTACAAAATTTATCACTGATCAAGATGCTAATAATCAAATTAGTATACATGTGGATAGTGATTTTATTGAATCATTTGGTCTGCAAAGAATACAACATTTAATCAATATGGCACCACAACAACCACAACAACAACAAAAATCATCAACAATTGATGATGTTAACAATGTAATGAATGAACAATATGAACAATTGACCAAAGATCAAGTACGATTCTTGATACGTGTACAAGATTTTCTAAATATATCAATGTATTCACATCTTGTACAAACAATGATCAATGAACAAACAAATTTCATTTATCATTCAATTGTTGTTACCATGTTAATCATATCCGTTGTTTCTGGTCTAATTCTCTTTATTTATATCTGTATTTGGTCATCATATTTTCGTCATCCATCCTGTTGTATGATGATGAAATCCACTAATCATCATCATCATCATCATTCAGGTATATTTAATCGTCGTTGGTTTATACGAAGAAGACCATTCTGGAATCTATCATTACCATCAACATCGACATTTAAAACATATTTTTCATCAACAGCAACAAATCAACAACATTCATCAGGTTGTCATCATTGTCATCATCATCATCATCATCATCAATCATTGAATCATCGATCATGTAGATCATCATTGACAAATCATCATCATAATTATTGTGGTCCTATGACCTGTTGCTGTTGTTGTTGTTTTCAAATGATAATGAATCCTGGTTCACCAACAATCAATAATGGTAGATTATTAAAGAAAAATCATTGCCATCATACATCAACATTGGCAAATGTTATATTTCCATGTTCAAATTCTAATAATGCATTTCTTATATCATCATCAACAAAACGAACAATTGCCGGTGCCGTCATAAATCGTTATTGTGCTACACCAATTTCCTCTTCATCATCATCGAATAATCATCAAAATCAATCAATTAATCATAATACAAATAATAATAATCAAACAAAAACATCACTTTCAACATATAAATTTGATAATACTCGTAATAATCATGGTAGTGGTAAAAATGCCATAAACAATGGTGATACAGTAGCTCCAATTGGTCCATCATTATCATCATCATCAACGACATCGACAAATTCAAATCATCAAATTGATTGTAGTATAAAACATGAAAAATTATCATCAATAGCTGAAAAAAATTCTGAATGTCCAAAACAAAAAAACAATGGAATTGATGATGATGATGATAATGGTAATGGTAATTTAGCCGAAAATAATGGATGTAATGATAATAATAACAAATAAAATTTCTTTGATCAATTTTTTTTTCATATCTTTATCTTCTTTTTTTTGAAATAAAAATAAAAAATCAATTTTTTTCTTGCCAAAAAACAAAACAAAAAAATTTTTCTCATTGTTCTGATTGAAGCAATGATTTTTCGAGTACAATTTTTAATGTCTATACATGAAACAAAAAAAAAAAAAAAAAAAAAAGTGTGTGTGTGTGCGTGTTTTTACTAATAACTAATCATATTGGATGGATATTTAGTTGAAGGAAATTGTAAAAGCATAGATGATGATGATGTTGTTGCTGTTGTAGTTGATGCTATAGCTGTTGTTGATGATAATGGGAGTGCTGGAGGTGGTGGTGGGGGTGGTGGTTGATGCTGTATAAAGGCTTGACTATTTATTGTATGTTGAGATGTTGGTAATGGTGTTGTTGGTACTGGTGGTGGTGATGATGTTAATAATTGATGATTATTTGTGGCTGATATTCGGCCAGTAATAGATGATGATGATGGTGGGGGTGGTGGTGGTGGCGGTGACATCATTGCTGTTGTGGAGAAAAATTCACCACCACCATAATTGTGACGAATTCTAAGTCTAACCGATGGCATACTTTGGCTAATAAGCTGTACAGCTTCTTGATGTGTCATACCAATTGTAGATCGATCATTAATTTCAAGTATCTCATCACCAATCTGTAATAATGAACTGGCTGGACCATTTGTTGCTATTGCCAATATGAATAATGGCATACCATTGAATTCAGCACCACCACGTATAGAGAATCCATAACCATTTGTACCACGTATTAATTCACAGCTATAACAATCGGCTGGTACGATTCGTAATAATAATGTATCGTCTAATCGTAAACAACAAGCAGCAATAAGAAAATTATTGAAAAAAACTAGAAAAAAAACTTACCAGATTCTTTGATTTTATTAACAATTTCTGGATGTGACATATTCGTAACATCAACACCATTCACGGCAATGATACGATCACGTATATGTAAACGTTGACAACGATATGCAGGACTACCGTCAATTATTCGTCCAATCAATGCACAATTACCACATGAAATAATGACAAAACCAAAACCTTCATAATCTTGTCGATGTAATTGTACATCATATGCATTTAGGTAACGTTTACGTCTTACAAGGATAGTAACCTGTGCACCAGTTTGTGCCATTAATTGTACCACTTCTTGATGGCTTGAACCAATAACATATTGTCCATTTATAGCAATTAATTCATCACCTGCTTTCAATGTACCATCTTTATGTGCTGCTCCACCAATAACAATTGATCCAATTGCAACATTACTACCATCTTCAGAGCCACCAATAATACGAAAACCGAATCCCGTATCCGTACGATTCAATGTAATCTGATGATATTCATAATCTATATCAATTTGACCAAATAAATTACCCGTTGATGATAATGGTGGTGGTAATGATCGATCATCATTTGTAGTCATTGTTGATAATATTGGTGCCGATTGACTTGACTAAATAGTGATAAAAAAAAAAATCAATTAAAACATTGAATCCAAGTGAATGAAAAACAACTTACCTTCATTGATGAATTATTCATCATTACCATTGGAAAATTACTATAATCCATTTGTTGTTGTAGTGGTTGTTTTTGTAGCTGTTGATTACTATAAACATGATTATTATTATCACCACTAGCCATATTTATATTATTATTATAATCATCATTAGTATATAGATTATTATAACATTGTTGATCATATTGATCATCAATATCATTGTTGATTATTATTATTATTATTATTCTGAGTATTTGTTATAGGATTCATCATCGTCATCATCGTTATTGGATCATTATTATTCCAGGTATCACCTGTTGCTGCTACCATCGGATTCGTTAATAATGGTAATGTTGTATTATAATTTCTATTATACATTGTTGATTGTTGTTTTTGCTGTTGCTGCTGCTGTTGTTGTTGTTGTTGTTGATAGAATAATTCTTCATTTGGTGTTTTACAATTCCGTATTATATTGCCCGATTGTTGTCCAATAGCTAAATTATCCATATCGATCATATTATTATCATTATTATTTGTCATTGGATTATTCATCATCATCATCATTGTTGTTGTTGATTGATTTGGTGTTTTTGATCGAAATCTTTTTTTACGTTTTACCATAAATTCTGTTGGTTCATCCACTGGACATTGTTTCAATAATTCGACAACATCCAAATGTGCTAATTGTGTTAAATCAACACCATTTATACTTAATAGAATATCACCTTGTCGTAATGAACAGCAACGTTCAATGTCAAGAATTTTCTTTACTTTTTGTCCATTATGACCTTCACTTATGGTGAATCCAAATCCTATGTGTGGTGGAGAGAAAAAAAAATTGTAAAAAATTCAAAAAAACAAATCAATTTTCAGTTCTCAATACCTTGAAATCCTTTGATTATTTTCAGATTAATTATATCATAATCTTCATCACTAATACCGATTGGTAATTGATAACCACGTGCAAATGTTAAACGTACACGATCACCAACAGTAAATGTTGCAAATAATTGTGCAATATCTGAATGTTGATAACCGGCAACAGAAACACCGGCAACCGATACAAGTACATCACCTGGTTGTATAACACCGGATGCAGCAGCTGAACCACCTTGTATCAATGATTTAACCACAATTAATCCTTTATCGATTTCAATCAATGTAAAACCAAATCCATTAATGCCTTTTACTAATTCAATTTCATATGGTCGTTCATATTGTGTACGTTTATTGATATGATCAATATAATAAACACCATAATGTGAATCGGATATACGTTCCCAGCCATATGGTAATGATGCTGCATCTATAGCAACAATATTCGATCGATTTCGTTTACGTTTTGCCATTGCTGTCATTGTTGACCATGATGATGTTGAATCCATTTTCATGTTTGATTCATTCTTCATCATCATTGTTTCACTGTTTTGTAATTAAAAATTAAAATAAAATAAATATTTTAATGGAAAAAAATTATCCAAGAAAAAAAAAAATACCTTGCCATCGTCGTTGGATTATTATAATCAGATGATGGTAAAGCTGTACCATAATAATAATTACAATAAACACCTGATTCTAATAATAATCCTGAACGTTCCATTTGTATAAATTGTTCTTTTGTAACAAATCGATAATCAACACCATCAATTTCAGCATCACGTTTTGGCCTAGTTGTTATTGGTATTGTACGTGCATAAATATTATCACGAATTAGTTCCTGTAATTTATGATCCAATGAACCGCGTACAAAACGTCGTGATAAATATTCACGTAATTCTAATGGGAATCCATGTTGGCCACCAGTCAATACTTTAAATGAATGTCTTGATTGTCTTGATAATATCTGTTCAATATCGTATGATGTTAATCCAGCTATTTGTTCACCATCAATTTCGATAATAATATCTCCAGTTTCAGTAAAATAAGGCATTTGACCATAATCTGAACCTCCCGATATAAGATAATCTCCTGATTGATTTTAATAAAAAAATTTGATCAGTGATCATCATGAAAAAAGAAAATCCAACAATCAAAATGACACACTTACCATTGGATAATGATTCACAAATGGCTATATTTTGTGACCAATGTGGTAATTTACCACCACTACTACCACCACCACCACCACCATTGATGATGATCATTATTAACACTTTTGGCGACATTATCATCACCACCACCATTTTCATTAATCATTTCAATCATCATTGTTCTATCATTGTTTGATGAATTTTTATTATTATTATCCACTTGTTGCTGCTGCTGATAATGATGGCCATTATTATTATTTGTTGATTTTAATGCTGATTTTTTTACATTTAATATTGATGAATGATGTGATGATGATGATGCATCAATATCTTCAACAACATCGCCACCACCAATAACAACAACATCATTATCATCATCATCATTATCCACGGTATTATCGACAATATTTTCATTATTCATTGTTTTAGCCATCTTTTTTGTATTATTTTTTTCCAAAATAAATGATGATTTTGTTTGAGGTAATAATTTTGATACAAATGATGATGATGATGATGAGGTATTATTATGATTATTTTCATTTAACACTTTAATTTTTGTTGCTGATACATTTTCATTATTTATAATTTGATTATTATTATTATGATTATGATGATGATTTTTTATTATCGATGATGATGATGATGATGAACCATTCATGGATATTGATGTTGGCGCTGCTGCTGCTGCTGTTTTTGTAGTTAAATCATTTAACCGATAGGTGTTACCATTATTATTATTATTATTATCAATGGTCAAAGTTGATGATTTGGCTGCTGCCGCTGTAGTTGTTGTTGTTGTTTTTGATGCTATTGACGTTGTTGTTGTCGTTGTTAATGATGATGATGAGTCATGATGAAGAACAGCCATATCAACATCAACAACAGGTATGCTATCCGTATTGTATGGCTTAGTGTTGTTGCTGCTGTTCTTGTTGTTCTGGTTCTGATTATTATTATTATTATTATGGCTACCACTATCCAGAACATCATCATCATCGTTTATGATGATTTTATTTGATAATAATGATGATGATGCTAGCATATCTGATTCTGGTTCTAGTTCTAATTTTAGTTTTTGTTGTTGTGGTTGTTGTTTTTGCTCATTCAATTTTAGTTGTTTTTGCTGTGGTTGTTGTGGTGGTTGTTGCTTATTACCTGTCTGATGTTGATGGTGGTTGTTGTTGTTGTTGTTATTATAATTGTTGCTGCCACTAGATTGTACACCATCATCATCATCATCATCATCAGTACGTTTTTTATTATTTTTAATAATTTTTATTGTTCCATTTGGATCAATCAATGATTCATTATCATTATTTGAATCATTTTGTTTTGATTTTAATTGTAAATTCATTAAATTCAATTCTAAATTATTTGATTCATTATCATCATGTTCATATGGTAATGAACTCGATGATGATGATGAAATAGTTGATAATGGTGATTGTTCTTTTGTCATTTCAATCATCATCATTTCAACTGTTGATTCAGATTTTTCTTGCTGTTCTTTTAATGATAATAATGATGATGATGATGATGATGAATCGGATGATTGATGATTATCATCATCAGCCATATTTTATTATTGATTAATTTATGATCGATTAAAAACGCAAAAATTTTCAATTCAAAAAAAGAAAAAAAATTCAATTTTGTTTTTGGCTCACTTGAAAAAAAAAATATTGTCAACGATTCACGATAACAACAAAAAAAAGAGGGTGGAGAGAAAAAGTCAAAAAAAGGACCAAAGAAAAACGGACCTGTGTGTGACACATGTTGCATATGGTTTTTTTTCTGGTCTCACAACCGCTGCCACCACCACCACCACATTACTGCACACACACACACACACACTTTGAATCATGACCGTTGAAATTATCCAAAACTAGAAAAAAAAAACGGCCACACATGTCACCATTTCCATTTTGATATACACTTAGGTCACAGATATATGCACATGTCACACATACACACTCACACGAAAAAAAAATTTTGTTTCTTGATGTTGTGAGAAAATTTTTGTTTTCAAATTTTGTTGTTGTTTAGATCAATCAATCAATAACAATAACTGAATGACGACGACGACGACAACGAACGTTGTCATGGTATTTCTCTATGTCTCACTCTGCGGAAATAAATCAGACAAACACGCACACACACACACACTTTCAATGGATTTTGTCTGTATGTGTGTGTGTGTGTGTGTTTGTATGTATGTTTTTGGATTTGGATTCGGTTATTTTATTCATCGATAAAATGGATTTACATTTAGATTTTTGTTCACTTCCCATTTCATCATCATCATCATCATCATCATCAATATTAATCAATCAAATCAGATCAGATTCGGCATATTTGTATATTGATATATAATGTCTGTCTGTCTCTTTCTCTCTCTCTCTCACTCTCTTTCTCTTTTTATATGCAATTTAATGATGTGTTTATGTGAGTGGATGATGTGGATTGATGATGATGTTGAATGTGGATATAGATGAATAAAATGTTTACAAATGAAATTCAATTCAATTCGATCGATTGGATTGAATTGAATTTGAAAAAAAATTGTTTTTCAAAACAACAACAAATGGGCTTGTGATTTTTTGTTTAAATGATGACGAAAAAAAAAAAACAAAATCACAGAACAGAATTGAATGAATGTGAAAATAATGATGATGGTGATGATGATGATGATGAGTAACTTGTGATTGAAATGAAGAAAAAATGAAAAAAAATTCTTTGATATGAAACAAAGAAACAACAACAACAACAAAAGAAAAAAAAAAACAATTGAAGCAAAAATAATGATGATGATGATGAACAATCAAGAATCGTGAATAGTTGCCAAGAATTTTTGTTGTTGTTGTTGTTGTTGTTGCCGATTCTGTTTGAATGACGGGCGTATGTGTACGTGTGTATTTATGGCATCACAAATAAACATTAAATAATTGTTAATGATGATGATGATGATGATAAGTAGTAAAAGTAAAAGAAAATGAAAAAAAAACCCGTAAAAGCAGCAGCAGTATTCTTTGATTCTTTAATTGATATTCTTGCCGTTGTTGTTGCTGTTGCTGTTGTGGTAGTAGAATTTTTATGTTTAAAGATTAAAAGTTGGTACTAATACACACTAATACACCCACTATCGTAAGATCATAAGATGAATTCATGACTTTTAAACTTTTCATCATCAAATATATAATCATTAAGAAAGAAAAGATTACGATTTTGAGCATTTTATTCTTCAATTTCAAAAAATTTTTTTTTTCATGGCAAATTTATTCTGTGTGTGTGTGTGTGTGCGATTGAAATTAACAACACAAAATGTTTTGCTATATGGATGGATGAATGGATGGATGGATGGTTTGTTTGTAGTCAAATAGAAAAATAAACATACAAAATGAAAACATTGAAGAAACTGCACTGGTCATACTACTATTGCCACTATAGTCATATGAAATTATCATCATTTCATCAACAAAAAAAAAGATAAAAAAAATAACATTACCCGAAATAACCGGTAAAAAAAATCCTAAACACACAAACTTACACATACAAACATTTAAAACAAAACGAAATAAAAAAAAAAAATGGAATGGAAAAAATTCAACACATTCACAGTCACAAGTGTTTGGTCGGTTTTTGATTTTAATGATGATGATGATGATGAACTTGTGCTACTTGGCCTGTTCTCTATCTCTATCTCTCTCTCTCTTTAGCTCTCTTGTTCTCTCTTCAGCTACCAATGTCTGGCTACACAAATGTTTAAAATTTTTCTTTTTATTTTCATTTTGCTGAAAAATTTCTGCTAAAAACAAGATTTTTTTTTTTTTTGGCCAACTCTCTATGATGAAGCATACTTGATTCTGGATCATCAATTCAATTCAATTAAATTTAAAAATGGTCCGTTAAAACAACAGAACAGAACAAAACAAAACAAAACAAAACAAAGAAAAGAAATTTTTCACATTTTCTTTTGATGTTTATCCTGGTTATATAAACATGTTTATATTACACACACTTATTCATTCATTCACAAAGAGTGAAAGTTAATCTCATATGTGTTTATCTCAATCTCATCAACATTTTCCATCATAATAATAATAATAATAATAACTCATCATTTTGTCAGAAAAAAAACTTTTTTTTTTTAATAATATATAGTGTGATGTCCATTGTGGTCATATGTGCATTATTATTATTATTATGTCGTGATGATTGATGTGAATGAATTTTAGTTGTTGTTGTTGTTGTTGTTGTTGACTGACATAATCAATTGGCTATATGACTATAACAACAACAACAACAACAACAACAACAGCAGCACTGTATATGATTCTTTGAATTGAATGATGAAAATGTTTAAAGTTTGTTGTTGTTGTTGTTGTTGTCGTAACAATTTTCATACATACACACACACACACTCAAATGATATGTCAATCATTTTTGAATTTTTCTTTTTTTTTTGTTTTTTTTTGTTTCATTTTCATTCATTTTTTTTAAATGAAATTTTTTTTTCGACATCAATTGTTACACACGCAAACACACACACACATACACACACAGACGGTGGTCATATGGATAATTTGAATTTGGATCATCATCATCATCATCATATGTGAAACTTTTCATTTATTTACTTGTAGTTATGGCCTACTTTTTATCTTTTTTATCTTTTTCTTTTTATCCGGTTAAAAACCGGTATAATAATAAATTCAAAAGATGAACTGAATGATTGGCTAACTGACTGACTTGGCTGGATGGCTGGCTGGCTGACCAAACTGGAAATAGATTATGAAAAAATAAACTAAACGAAGAATCAAGTTATTTAATATACACACATGTAGAAATACACTTGAAAAATTTATAGCAGCCAAATCAATTTTATTTTATAGCCAATATCGTGCATGTCCAATCGATTTTTTTTTTTTTGGATACTGATGCTGATGATGATTGAGGCGTCATTCAATGTGAAAAAAAAAAAAAACAATTTTCCATCCCAATCAATCAATCAATCAGTGAATAGATTAATTATTGAAATATAAATTTAATTATTTTATCGCCATCTATTGGTTAAAATCATAACAAAAATCAAAAATGTTTATAATATCAATCAATAGATGGAAACATTAGCAATCATGTGATAAAATTGGAATTTTGTTCCAAATAAAATTGAGCCATTATATATATAGAATAAGGTCGTCATCATGTGTTAATGATTGTTTTGACATTTTGAAAAAAAACTACATATGGTCAATGTTGTGTTTTCAGGAAAAAATTTAACAATTTTGAAATTTGAAATTGTAAAAATTTTCATTGCCATGTGCAATATATACCATCATCATCTATATAATGATGACAATAATTATTGGCCAATAATTTATGGTCATTTTCATTGTCTCAATCGTTGTTGTTGTGTGTGTGTGTGTGTGTGATCGAAAACATCTTAATATGTTCCAGATGGCCACACATATACAATAAACATGAAAAGATCATATGATGACTATTGTGTTGTTTTTTTTTTTTTTTTGCTTGCTGCATTATGTACGCACACATCAAAGTCTAATTGTCTGTAAGTTATTGAATATATATCCTCTTTATTTTTTTTTTTTTTCTTAATGCTTTTATATCATTTTTATTTATCTTTTGCCTTTTATATATATTTATTGTATGTATATGTATATTGTTGTCACATACACACACACACACACGCAAACAGCTTAGATATATGTCAGTTTATAAATGAAAGCCACGTATTATCATTTTTGTTGTTGTTGTTGTTGTTGTTGTGTTGTATTACCTTTGTCATCAATATGTGTGTCATGAAATGAGATTTTTTTTTTTGTTCATAAGACGAAGAAAAGAAATTAAATTAAAAATGTCAAAGAGAAAAAATGGAAAGAAAATCAAATTGAATCATCTTTAGTTTTTTTTATTTCTTCATGCCATGACCTCCTGTCACCGAAATCACTGTTCATCATCATCCAAGAAAATTGCTTTTTTATCATCATCATCATCATCATCTTCAATGCAAACATTCGTGCTTATAATTACATAATACACATACACACCTTGACTATATTACCGAATCAGGTAGCAATTCTGGTTCATGTTTGTGTGTGTGTGTGTCTGTATGTTCATATAAACAACAACAAACATTCAATTCAATTCAATTCTCACATATATACACAATATAATGAATTACTCATGTTGTATACGCGCCCACTATTGAAAAAAAAACACAACACACACACAAAAAAAAGAAAAGAAATTGAGAGAAAGGTCCACTATCTTTCTCTTTTTTTTCAGCGAAAGAACTATGTATAAGCCTTTGTCTGTATTGGACATCATCAACAACAACATGTAATCATAAATTCAAAGAAGAATTGAAATAGAAAAAAAAACACATTAACCAACACACACACACACACACACATGATATCCTTTTTTTTTATACATATATCGGTCTCTCTGAGATGTATATGTGTGTTTGATGGTATAAGCAAACAACCACCAGTTGATTTTATTGTTGTTCTTCTCTGTCTGTGTGTGTGTGTGTGTGAATAGAAGACAATTGTCATTCATTCATTCAGTCATCATCATCATTTATTGTGGGCTGAATTGATAATGATAATGATGGTGGGGATGATGATGATGATGATGATGATGATAGCCAAGCAGATGTTCATTTCAGATGGTGGTTATTATTGTTCCTATTTATTTCATACGGCTGGCTAAATATTAGTAGATTTTTTGATGAATCCGTTATCCATTTGAAATTTCATTTTTGTTTGTTTTAATCAAGAATCTTTGATAATTCGTGCATGTTTTTTTTTGTTTGTTTATTTTGTTTTTATGTGATTCAAATTCATTTCATTCGACAACAACAACAACAACAAAACACTTACAGACTTTATTCATGTGATTTTTTAAATTTTATACGTGTTTTAAATGATCATCATCAATAATCACAGCCATCATCGTCATCATCAAAAAATGAATAATAATGGTATGGTATTTGAAAAGTAGTAAAAAAAAAATTTGAAATTTTTTTTTTACTTCCGAAAAAAAATGAAATGAAATGAAATGCGGAAGTCAATTTTCGCTTTCCAACAACAACAACAACAGTAACAATCAACGATGATTATTATCGATAGTGACAAACTAATAATAATAATGAGGATTATTGTTATTCATTCGTTTGTCAATTAGAAACAAACCGAGAAAAATCAATGAACGAATGAGTTTTTTTTCCATTTTAATGAACTAAATCTCCATAGTGTTGTTCAGATTATTTGTGTGTGTGTGTGTGTGTGTGTGTGTGTGTGTTTTCAGATTGATTAGTTTTTTTTCATTTTCAAAAAAAAAAAAAAAAATAATAACATAACGGTCCAATAAACGAAATAATAGCTGAAGCGTAACCAAATGTGAATCATTATATTTCATTGAATGTGCATGTGAAATTGAGTGACAGAGAGAGAGAGAGAGAGAATGGGCCACAATTTTGTTTTCAAATCTCTTATTTCATTTCATTTCATTTCAAATTTCATTTTAGTTGCAATCAGATATTGATCATTGCTGCTTCATATGTAATAATATTTTCGACGTTGAATAATTCTTGAAACGAAATCGAATCAGTAACAAAAAAAAATGGAAGCACAATTAATATGGGCACCAGATGCACAACATGGCTACGTTCTTGGCAGAGTTATTGATCTTAAAGCCGGTACAAATAATCTGGCAACCATACGTATTGAATATAATCAACCGATTGGTTTCAATGGTCAACATGGTGCTAGTGGTGGTGGTGGCCATCGCACAAATATCACCAAAGATGAAACGATTGAATGTTCAATTGAAAATGTATATCCAACCGAAATTGATTTACATGCCGAATATGATGATAATTGTTCATTAATGTATCTGAATGAAGGTAATCTACTACATAATGTTCGTCTTAGATATTTTAAGAATAAAATCTATGTAAGTTGATTGATTTTTAATCAGTTTGATTGATTGATTAATTGGCGAAATTTTTTTTCTTTATAGACATATGTGGCAAATATATTGATTGCATTGAATCCATACCATGATCTTCGTGAACAGCTTTATTCATCAAAAATATTGAAATCATATCAGGGAAAATCATTGGGTAAAATGCCACCACATGTATTTGCTATCGGTAAGTTATTTGCCTTTGTTTTCTTGTTGAAATTTTAATTGGTTTCATTTTTATGAAAATATAGCTGATAAAGCATACAATGATATGAAAAGAATGTTACATTCACAATCAATTATTGTTAGTGGTGAATCTGGTGCTGGAAAAACTGAATCAACAAAATATATTCTACGTTATATTTGTGAATCATTTGGTGGATCACAATCAGGTAGTGCCATTCAAATTGAACAATTAATTTTGGAAGCAAATCCATTACTTGAAGCATTTGGTAATGCAAAAACATCACGTAATAATAATAGTTCACGTTTTGGGAAATTTATTGAAATTTATATGAATAGAAAATTTTCTGTTGCCGGTGGCCATATATCACATTATTTATTGGAAAAAAGTCGTATTTGTGGCATAAGTAGTCCATTAGAACGTAATTATCATATATTCTATCAGCTTTGTGTTGGATTACCTGAACATTTATGGAAAAAACTTTGTCTAAAACCACCGGATAAATTTGGCTATCTAAACAAAGGTTGTACGCGATATTTTCTAACCAAGGATGAAGATAAACGCTTGAATAGTGATCGAAAATCTCGCCAACATTTAAATGAAGGCCATCTTAGTGATTCAATTGTGAATGATTTGGCTGAATTTCATGCCATGGATCGAGCTTTACATCATTTTGGCGTCAAAGAAGCAGACAAAATGATTATCTATGAAATCGTTGCAGCTATTCTACATTTAGGCAATATACAATTTGAAGAATCACCAAATGATTCACATGGTGGTTGTCGTGTTGCCGAAAATAATGATAGTCAAATGGCGCTTAAAGATGCAGCACAATTATTAGGCGTCGATTTGGATCAGCTACAACAATGTTTACAGACAAGAATAATGCAAACACAAAAAGGTGGCTACAAAGGATCAACATATATGGTACCATTAAAAGTACATGAAGCACAAAATGCACGTGATGCATTAGCTAAAGCAATTTATTCCCGGTTATTTGATTATATTGTATCACGGATAATTAATCGAGCATTGCCAACAAACGATACAAATGATCCAATGAAACTTTATTCAATCGGTGTATTAGATATTGCTGGTTTTGAATATTTTCAAAATAATTCTTTCGAACAATTCTGTATCAATTATTGTAATGAAAAATTACAGAATTTTTTCAATGAACGCATTCTGAATGATGAACAACGATTATATGAACAAGAAGGTCTTGGATTGAAACGTATTGATTATGTTGATAATCATGATTGTATCGATTTATTTGAAGCTAAAAGTAATGGAATTTTTGATTTACTTGATGAAGAATCACGATTACCTAAACCATTGGCACAACATTTTACTGAAATGGTTCATCAAACGAATCGTTCGAAATTTCGGCTAGATGTACCAAGAAAATCGAAATTAAAATTATATCGTGAATTACGTGATGATGAAGGTTTTATTATACGTCATTTTGCCGGTGCTGTTTGCTATCAAACTGGACAATTTATTGAAAAAAATAATGATTGTCTACACACTAATCTTGCATTTTTAATGCTTGAATCAAGTAATGAAATGTTGAAGAATTTTTTTCAAGCTGACACTCAAAATCAACAACAACAACAACAACAGCAACATAATTTCGCATCAACTAGTTTAGCCGATAAATCGGTAAGATTAAGTGCAGAATCAGTTGGTTCAAAATTTCGTAAACAATTAGCCGATCTTATTGGTAAACTTGAATCAACTGGTACACATTTTATTCGATGTATTAAACCGAATCTAAATATGGTTGCACAAAATTTCGACGGTGGCTGTATTCTATCACAGCTTAAATGTTCCGGTATGACATCCGTTCTACATCTAATGCAATATGGATTTCCATCACGTGCCACATATGCTCAGATCTATGATCTTTATTCTACACGTTTACCATCACGATTATCCATGATTGAACCACGTTTTTTTTGTCATGCATTAATCAAAGCTGTTGGTCTTAACGATTCGGATGTTTGTTTTGGTGTGACCAAAGTATTCTTTCGACCAGGTAGATTTGCTGAATTTGATCTACTGCTCAAGAATGATGATCCAAAATCATTGGATCAATTAGTGAAAAAAGTTCAACATTGGCTTATTGCATCACGTTGGCGTCGTGCACAATGGTGTACATTGTCCGTTATTAAATGTAAGTTTTTAAATGAAAATTTTCAATGAAAAAAAAATATTCAAAAAATTTTTTTTTCCAATCCAAACACAGTAAAAAATAAAATTCTATATCGTCGTCAATGTATAATAACCATACAGAAATATATACGTATGTTTCTGGCCATAAAACGTTATCGGCCACATTATGAATGCTGTAAACAGTTACGATTGATTGAAAAACATTTGATCAATGTTAAGCCATTGATTGAAAAAATACAAAACGATCATGAACGGCAAACATATTCGAAACAATTGATGGTATTAAATAATGATTTTTCAGCTATAGCTGTCAATTCAACCATACCGAATAGTGTACCAAAAATATTGGACAAGACTAAAGTTGTCAAACAAATCAATGGAATACGAACGAAAATTGATGAACTTGTATTGAATCTAGAAAATGCATTGAGTGAACAAGAATTACGTTTGAAACGGCTACAAGAAACATTGGAACAAGAACGACTTAAACAAGCTGAAGAAGAAGAACGCCATAGGCAACAGGAAGAATTACGTCGTAAGAAAGCAGAATTAGAGGAACAGAAACGTCGTGAAATGGATGAACAACAACGTGAATTATTATTATCTAAACGACATAAAACGGAAGCTGTCAATCATCATCATCATCAACAACAACAACAACAAAATGGATCATCACCAGATCAACCATCAAGTCTAATAATGTTGAATGATGAAGAAAGACAAAGACAAATTGATTATTTAAAACGTTTGGAACAGGAAAGACGTGATTATGAATTAGCATTACGATTATCACAGGATGGTGTTGTTGGTCAATCACAACAACAACAACAGCAACAGCAATCAACCAGCGTTGTTCATGATGAAATTCATTATAATCCATATGTGGTAAGTTTTTTTTCTTGTTTGTTTGTATTTTCAAAAACCATTGATAATTTTGTTTTTTATCAATCAATCAATCAATCAGAATGTTCGACAAAATGATTCAATATCAAATAATAATAATAATAAGAAATATAAATTAGAAAGTTGGAATTATGCAAAATTACGCGATACAATCAATACATCGAATGATATTGAATTATTGGAAGCATGTCGTGAAGAATTTCATCGTCGTTTAAAAGTATATCATCAATGGAAATATCGTATGAATAATAGTCGATCATCAACATCGATGACAACAATGGCAACAATGGCTAATTCTAATGAAAAATCAATGAATAATAATCATCATCATCATAATAATAATAATACTAATAATCGTGCACCTGTTAGTGTAATGAATCCATTCTATTCAGATATGGCTGCATATGCACATGAAGTACAAGCATATTTGAATCCAACAGCAACAACAGTATCAAATAAAATACAGCAGCAACAAAGACAACGTTATTTTCGTTTACCATTTGATCGTCATTGTGGCCAATCAAAAGGTATTTGGTATGCACATTTCGATGGTAAATGGATTGCACGACAAATGGAAATACATCCAGAAAAGGAACCAATTCTATTGGTAGCCGGTAAGTGTGGTACAGAACAAAAAAAATAGAGAAGAAAATAATGAAAAATTTTAAAATTAAAAATAAATTTCAGGCATTGATGATTTAAAAATGTGTGAACTAAGCCTAGATGAAACAGGATTGACCGGTAAACGTGGTGCAGAAATTTTACCCGAAGAATTTGAAGCTGTTTGGTGTCGTAATGGTGGCCAACCATATAATCGTCGCCATCATCATCAACATCAAAAATAATGATGATAACAGCAACGACTATATATTTGAATTTTATTTTGGATTGAAAATGCATTCTTTATGTGAAAAATGGACAAAAAAAAATGAAATAAACGAATGATCATTGTTTGTTCAGTGTTTTTATTTGTTTTTTTTTTGGTTCAATTTTAAACTTTGAAATTTATTGATTGATTGATTGATTGTTTTATATACGAATAATAAAAAAAAATTGGATCAGGTGCAGATCATATATACGATATATAATTTGATTTGATATATTTACGTTATGGGTGTTTGTTGTAACTAGAAAAAAAAGATACGAAATAACCGCAGAAGATAAAAAAAAATCGATGGTCATTCATGTGTATAAAAACCGAACAAATAATAACTTTTTTTTGGAAACAATTTTCGTTTATTTTTCGCAATTTTTTTTCTCTTTTTTGTATACAATTTAATTAGCTAATTGTTCGATCAACCAATCGATGAATTGACTGAAAAAAAATTGTATCTAAGCACCGAGTTTGATGGACACCTGGTAATTCGTTTTTGTTTTTTTTTTTTTTTTTGATTTTCGATTCATTGTAAATTGAAATGATTAAACTCTACTCTTGGATACAATAATCATCCCGGTTGATTTTTTTTAGATTTTCAGTTTTTGGTTGGTTGGTTGGTTGGTTGGTCGATTTTTTTTTTTGGTAATTTATTCGGAACAAGTTTGACAAGCTTGATTGTAGAACACAGTGGTGGTTGCGATGGCGGTGGTGGTGGTGGTGGCTTCCACATGATCATCATCATCATCTGGATGATGAGAATCATGAGAGCCGGTGTTTTTCAGGTAGAAAGAGAGAGAGAGAGAGAGAGACTATAAGTTTTTTATTCGACCGTATAAACTAAAAAAAAAATTTACTTTTTTTTTGTTTTGATGATCATTATTTCACAATAAGTTTAGTTTAAGTTTGGGTAAACTTGTGTGTGTGTGTGTGTGTATGAAACGCTTGTGTTTGTTGTTGTTGTTGTTGTTTGACCCAATAATCATCAATATCAAGTTTTGTTTTGTGTTTTTTTTTTCATTCTAAATCCAATTCATAATTTGATTATTTTCCCATTGATTTTGTTTGAATTGAAATCATCATCATATCGATATCGGTAAGTCAAAATGATTGACATCTTGATTGATTGATTGATTTTTTTTTATTATTGACAAATTACAACAACCAACAACATTTTCTGCTGAAGAAAATCCGATTAAGAAATTTATTTTTATTGTTTTAAAATCGATATATTTATTTGATTTTTCGTCTAAATTTAGATTTTATTTTTTTTTAATTTGCAAATCAAATTAGAATTTTGTAATTTAAAATTCGTAAAATATAGTCTATACGTTTGACGACGTGTTTCATTGATTGATCATCATCAATGTGTATAATTCAATTGATTGAATTTATCAAGTTTTTTTCCCCGTATCCCCGTTGAACAGAAAAGACACATGAAACCATTCATTTGTCGTTGTTGATCGATTTTTTAAAATTCATTTTTTTTTTTTTTTTTAAATGTCATAAACACACATATATACATTATATGTGGATTGTGACGTTTTGTAGACTATTTTAAAAAAATCATCATCATCATTATTGGGGAGGAAATTTTACAGAAAAAAAAATTCAAAAAATCAAAAAATGCCACTGCCCTAAATTATTCGAGCAATGATAATAATAATGATGATGATGATCTCCAATAGGGAAACTAACAAAAAAAAGGACATTTGCATTATTCGGATTTTTTTATTATCAGTTCCAATTGATGACATACATTATAATCGATTTATATTGATGATAATTATTTATTTTTTTTTCTTATAAAAATTATATCTCACGATATTTATTCATTAAATTAATTAATCAATGAAAATGATTTATTGATTGATTGATTGATTATCTGGTTAATTGTATTGTATTTTTATATATATTTAGAGAAGACGAAAAATGTGAATGTCACCGAACCGAACCAAGCTGAACAACATCAAGGTTAAAGATTCAAGATTTTCTCTCTCTTTTTGTCATTTTTTCTTTGTTCATCATCATCATCATCATCAGATATTGGGTCATCATATCGATTGATTGATCGATTGTCATCGATTTGGGGTGAACATCGCATTGATGTGACATTCAACAATATAAACAATTTTTTTTTATTGTTTTGTTGGTACAAAAAAAGAGCAAGGCAGAGAGAGAGAGAGAGAGAGGAAAGAAAAGTAGACATCAAAATCTTTTGTGAATTGTAAAAAAAAATCAAAATGAATTGACTGAAATATAATCCAGTCATCAATTTATTGGACATTTTAGTAAGATCTGTTTTCTTTTTTTTTTGATGATAAATACCGAAATATTTCTCTTGGAGAATAAAAAATAAAAAATAATCATGGATAAACATGGATGATGATGATGAATGGTGCAGCCATACAACAGTAACGACGACGACGACGACATCGACGACTATATCAACATCAGCAACGGCAACGACATTAACAACGATTAATAATGATAATGTGAAAACAATAAAACATTCATCATCATCATCATCATCAATAATAAAACCAGTGATTTCTTCAATTCAATCCACAATTATTATGGCAAATGATAAAAATAAAACTGGGCCAATCGTTAAACATAATCATCATCATCATCATGATAATTTCATTGACCATCATCATCATCAAAGACGACAATCTAGTACAGATGAAACAATGATGACATCGACAACAACAACAACAACAATGATGATGATGATGACTACATCAACAACGAAAACATCTGTTGAACAAGTTATTATCGAAGAAGAAGATGAAGAAGAAGAAGATGTAGAAGTGGAAGAAAAGCCAGATTATAAACCAGATGATGAAGGATTTAATGATGATGATATTGATGTTGAAAGTAAGATTATCGTTTCAACACCACCACCACCACCATCATCATCATCAATATCAAATAATTTGAATCAAAATAATGAAAAAAATCAAGATCAAGATGAAGAATATTATGTTCAACCAGTGATATTTAATTCAACAAATTTAGAAAATTTAGATTTTTGTTGGCCCATTCATGATAATAATGATAATGCTGATGATGATGATGGATCGACGACAAAAATATCGACCATATCAACATCGACAAGTTATAATGATGATGATGATGATGATGATGCTGCTGCTGTTGTTGTTGTTGTTGTTGGTGATGGTGATGATGATGATGATGATAATGTAGACAATAATACTTGTCAAAATCTGTCAATCACTAATAAAACAGGTGTCAATGATGTTATTATTGACGACAACTATAACGTTGACGATAATAATCCATTATTTGATAATGGATTATTATTCCATCACCATAAGGACCATGAAGATCAAATTAAAGTGGATAATAATTTACAAAATTCCAACAATGTCTATGACGATGATGATGGCGATGACGATGATGATGTTGATGGATATTATTGCCAAAATCATTGTATAAATGGAAAAATTTTTCGACAACAAAATTTAATCAAAATGAATCCTGTTGATGTCGATGATTCGGAAATTACACAATTGAAATCTAAAACTGATGAAGTACCAGAAACTTTGAATGAATTCCAGCCACAACAACAACAACAACAACAATTATTAATAAAAGCAAAAAATGGATCAATTCGTGGTAAACGTAATAATGTACGACAAACAATAAATAATTATATACGTCTTGTACAATCATCATTGGTAAGTGACAAGTAAAAAACTGCTACTATATTTTTATTTTTTCAATTTTCAAAACATGACAATTTCATTTCATTTCATTTAAAACAAAACAAAACAAAACGAAAAAAAAATTAGCCAATGTTGAACTTGAATAATGCATTATTGGATTATCACATTTAGTGGCTTTGGGGTGTTTGTAAAAGAGAATAACACAGATTTTTTTTTTTTTTCATTGCTTGATTTGGTTAGCCGGTAGTTTTTTTTTAATAATGGATTCGCTAATTCAATATATAATATGATTATTGTCGTTGTTGTTGTTGTTGTTGTTCAATTTCTGGTTTGAAAAAAAAGAAGAACAACAACAGCAAAAAAAAATGAATAAATGGACCAAAATAGATAGAATAATTTGCTTTATATTTCAATTCACAAAAGAAAAGTGATGTATGATGTTAATATCAAAATGGACAAAAAAGAAAAAGAAAAAAGGCCTGAAGCTAATTTTTTTTTCTTCCATCGTTCTGATTATTTAACATCATCATCATCATCATCAGAACAACAACAACAACAAAAATGCCATGTACACCATGTCGACACAAACACGAAAACTATTTAGACGATATAAACTTTTAAATATTGTCACACGATATAAATGTGTACATATGTGTGGTTGACAAATAAAGCAAGAAGAAGAAAAAAAAATTCGGTCATCCGTATGTGTTGAATGGTGGATGAATGAAATGTGAAAAAAAAACTTTCATCACCATCAATTTCAATCAATCAAAAAGAAAAAAAAAATTTTTTTTATATATCTGCCTTATGGCGAAAATTGAATTTTTTTTCTTCTTCTTTTCATTCATTCAATTCAATTTTGATAAACTTTTCAAAGTGTCCAAAATAACCTTTCTCTCTCTCTCTCTCTCTCTCTTCTCTGTGTGTGTGTGTGTGTGTGCGTGTGTGCATGCCACCAAAATCAGAATAATGAAATTGGTCAAAGAAATTTCATCGAAGAAGAACAGAATCGTTGCATTCTTTATGTTACAACATTAGGTAAGTTATTTTCGTGAAAAGAACCAAAAAAAAAAAAAAAAAAAAAATTCCAATTAACTTGATTGTAATTTGATTGGTGTTTTTTTTCTTTCATCCGACTGATTGGTGATTTGATGTCCGCATTCCGTTCTCTTACTTGTACACTACTGTATACCACGAATAATAATAATAATAATAATCACAGCAATCATCAGAAAAACATTATCCGATTCAAAAGGATTACAGTAAGCAACGAAAAAAAATCAATTTGATCAAGTTTTAATTTTTACTGTTCGGTTTTTCTTTTTCAATAAATCAATAGATCAATATTGAAAAATCATTTCATACAATTTGAATTAAGAGATGTTTATATTAATGATCAATATCGTCAGGAATTAATTGAACGTTTAAATGGTAAACTGATTATTCCTTCATTGTTTATTGATGGTCAATTTATTGGTGTAAGTATATATCATATGATACTGATTATTTGATTATATGATTTAATTTTATCCATACCTGTTCACCGTCCAAAAGTCATTCACACAAATTGAAAAACTTAATGAAACAGGTCAACTGATATCTTTATTGCAAAGATTTAAACGTTGTACAATTGATTCATCATCATCATCATCATCATCAGTAGCAGCAGCAGCAACAACAAAAAATAATGGAGTAATTGATGGTCAACAAATATCCAATATAAATGGTCAACATGATGATGATCATAATCAAAAACAACAAAATCGACAACAACAACAACAACAACAACAAAGATTATTAATCGAACCAGATTGTATACGTTGTGGAAATAGACAATTTATAAATTGTATACGTTGTCATGGTTCTGGACGTTTTATTGTACATCATTTTCCTGGCTGTAGTGTTGGATTAAAATGTACCTATTGTAATCGTTCCGGTATGATACGTTGTCCTGATTGTCATGTAATAATAGATTGTTGATTTGATAAACAAACCACCGGTAAAACATTTTTTTTTTCAATTTCATTCGAAACAAATTACACACACACACACCTCTATCCATCATAATGAAACATATCAATTTAACACCATCCCCACACCATCATCATCATCATCATCATCATCATTGCATGCAAAAATAGAATTTATCCATTCATTACACGCATACACGTACACACGATGTGTTGAATTGAAAAATTCCAAATTCCAAATTTCAAAATATATCATTATTTTGTCCATGTCACTCACATATGCACCACCGAAAACAAAACAAAAAAACTGGTCAAGAATGAAAACAAAACAAAAAATCATGAATCGTGACTATCAAAAAAAAAAAAAAAAAATGATGAAAATAAATTCATTTGAAACACCTAACCACTACATATATGAAAAGATCAAAAAAAAAAAAAAAAAAATTCACTTGTATTCTGTATATTGCTACTGTTTTTTTTTCACTGTTATTTTGCTGAATTATTAACCTGATATTTTACAATAATATTCAATATATATTCAATATACGCCTATACAATGATGATTGGTTTGGCTAGTTTGTTGTTATTTAGATCATTCCATTCATGGATCCACATCATCTTTATTTTTTTTTTTTTTTTGGCCGTAAATAATAAATAATAGTGTGTGTGTGTGTGTGTGTCCAATTTCAATTTCAAACAATTTTTTTTTCTCTCGTCGATGGTGGTCGTTGTCGTCATGGCACGTATCATATTATTATTCTCTGGGTTTTTTTTCTCTGGTACTTGGTGGTGGTAGCCATCATGAATCATTTATATATGTGTTTACGAAATGAGAAAGAAAAAAAACATCATTTGAGATTCATCATTGAATCCGATTAAATTTTGTTTTTCATCATCATCATCATTATTTTTTTAAATAAACAAAAACAAGATATAAACAGATAAACAGTAAAATGATCACACAATCAAACGAAAACCAAAAGAAACCAGAATTTCTTTTTCAAACATACAGAATATTCAAATAAAAAAACAAAATTATTCAGGTAATGGTCATTATCATCATCATCATCATTATCGAAACATTCGTGACTCTTATATATCCAGCATCAGCATCATCATCATCATCATCATCAACTATGGAATTCAATAAAATAAACTAAAAACATTACAGTATCTTTTGCAACAAGTGATGATGATGTTTTTATTGACGCTTATTATTTTTCCCGTTATTCAGCGCTTAATTTGATCAATTTCTTTCCATTCTTTATTTATTTTTGCAGTTGTTGTTGTTGTTGTTGTTGATGATGTTGTTACAAATCACACATCTAACCTCTAACGTATATCTTCTATGTATCTATGTGTGTGTGTGTGTGTGATAAATGATTCGTGATTCACGCCATATATATCCAGATATCGTGAATAATATACGTAATAATGATTGGGATGGACATAGAAAGAGCAAAAAAAAAAAAAAAAATTGATGACAGTCCAGGTTTTTTCTTTCTCTCTTTGGTCAGTAAAAAAAAATTTTATGGTCATTTTGGGGCCAAAATAATTTTTATATTGAGGTAATAATAATGATAATGATGATGATGATGATGATATACGTACACGCACGAATGGTTGTTTGAAGCTGTACACACACACACACACACAAATCATACAGAATTCTGGTTGGTTTTTTTTTCATTTTTCTTTCTGGCAATTTATGTTTTTAGGTTTTATTTTCTTTATTTTCGGATAATAATAATAACAACAACCGTATTACAACAACAACAACAACAACAACAACGACAGCGACAACAACAACAAAACGCTGGATTGAATTTCGATGATTGATGATCCAGAAACAAAACATTACGAGAAAATGAAATAAAAAAAGATTTCAGGTAACCGTTTGTGAGAGAGTGAAAATTTAATCTTTTCACCTATTGTGTGACAAATTAATTGAAAAAAAAATTTTAAATTAAACGAAAAAAAATCATAAAAAACACAATAAGAAAACAGTAACAACAACAACAATGATGATGATGAAAAGAATTTTTAATTGAAATTATGTGAATGTCATTTTTTTCAATTTACAGAAAAAAGTCGACATTTTTTTCAGAAAAACAACAACAACAACTATAACAACAATTCGCCAAAATAAAGTCTCAAATTAAGATTTCAAACAAACAACAACATCATCATCCAGGTATGAAATAATTTTTTTTATTCTTGTTGGTGTTTGTGTTATTCATTTTTATTCATTGAAATTTAATTTTTCTTTTCATAAAATAAAAATTTTCCCCGTGGGATTTGTTCGGTGTGTGTGTGTGTGTGTGTGTGGGTTGACATGATAATTATCATATGACAAGTTTGTCCACTTACCAACCTACATACACACACACACACACACACACACACAGACCAAAAGGTTTACATTATTCAATGATTCAATGATTCATTCGTTTGGAGAAAGAGGAAAATTTTCAGAAAAAAAAACCAAACCAGTGCCGAGAATAATTGTATTTTAATTTTTAAATTTTCACTATCTCTCTCTCTCTCTATCTATCTCTTTTTGAATGTCAAAGGTTTTTTTTTGGTTTTTTTTTGGAATCAACCAATTAAATCAAATTCATTTGATTCATTTGATTTGATTCAATTCATGGCTAACGGATTTATTTTCACAGTTGAACAACTTTTAATTGCAAAGCAATTATTGCTCTTTTATTGCGTCAATGGCCAACCAAAAATCATGATCAAACAAAAAAAAATGTAATCCTTTGAGATTATTTCGGTTGTTGAGCTGAAATAGATTTTCTAATTCCGAATTTTTGTCTAGAATTGATGAATTTGTAAATTGGAAAAAAAATTATTTGAAAATAGAACGAAAAAGAAAACCGGAAAAAAATGAAACCAACATGAATTTGTACGCAAACGCTGGTTTTTGTTTTCATCAACAATATATACTATATTATTATTATTATTGGTTCCTGGTTACTGGTTTTTGTTCGTTTTTGGCCATCACCATTATTTGATGATTCTGGTTCAGGCTCAATATGTTGATTATGATGATGATGATCCATGCGCATCAAACAAACACACACACACACACACACACACACACACTAGGCATATATATTTTTTTTCCAGGTACCAGTTTTTTTTTTGAATTTTTTATCAAATAATAAAATGAAACGTGCGCGCCATTGTATAAACACATACATATCACACCGTATAAATACAGCCGGTCAAGTGTTTCATCTGTTAAGTTCGTGTGTGTGTGTGTGTTTGTGTTTCATCGGGTAAATTGAAAAAGGAAAAATAAATTCAAAATTCTTTTCTGTGTAAATGTGTATTTGTGTATTTAGTCAGCACAAAATTATGGATTTTCATGTAAATCTTATCTGTCTCTCTCTCTCTCTCTCTCTACATTTTAATATTTGCAAATAATAAAAATAAACATAATTATAATTATCATCATCATAATCATCATAAACTACTTTACCTGGCATGTGTTTGGTCCAGGATCCAGGAAAAGGTGGTATACAGACACACACACACACACAAAATTACATAAATTAATTGACCTTAGAAATTTTCTTTTCTCTTCATTACAATTCAAATTCAGTTCGGATTCTCCATTTTCCATTCCATTCTATATATAAATATTCATTATAAATAGTTAATGAAACCAATAACAACAACAGTGACAGCAACAACAACAACAACAACAACAACAGAAAAAAAAATTCAAATTCCATTTGTGATTTCAATATTCAAATCGTTGCCCAAGATATTGTGCTTATGCATTAAGCGTTTGGTTTCAGATGAACCATTTTTTTTTCTTTTATTATATAAATAAATACATTCGCAACATAGACACACACACAAACAGACACAAATAGATTTACCTTTCTTTTCCACTTTTACCATTTTTTATGGTTTTCTTTCACTCTCTCTCTCTCTTGCTCTTTATGTTTTGTCTGTTCAATTTGATTGCTTTTGCCATTTATATAAAAATTTTTTTTTCATTCGATTCATTCACTGTGTTTACTTAAAAAATTTCAATTGAATTTAAATTTTCTTTTTCCATCCGCAAATACAATGATGATGTTGTTCCATTAGAAAGACAAGATCGACCAACAACCAAGTTATCTCATCGATGATGATTTTTCTATGCATAAAAAAAACATTCAGTTTCATCATCATCATCATTCTAATTTCATCAATTAATAAACAACATTGTTGTAGTTACATTTGATTGACTTATTTTCATTGGATGAATAAATCGATCCAAAATAATAATGATGATGATGATGATGATTTTTTTTATTTTGATGAATAACAAATGTACATCTTGTTTCTTTTTTTTTGGTATTTGTTGACGTTATTTTTTTTTCTCTTATTATTCCAAATTTTTCTAGGATTCTAGGACTCAGTACCCAACACAAAAACAAAATATTTTCTTTTTGGTTTTTTTTTGCCGTTATTTTTTTATTGTTGTTGTCGTTGTTCAAAACATCTTATACATTATTGATTATTGATTCGGCCATCGCCATATAATCACCATTTTCATTTTTTCTCTTTCTATTTTAGATCAAAATACCTGTGTGTGTGTTTGTATACTATCACAAACACCACCACCACCATGATGTCAGCCAGCCAGCAAAATATTTTCTGCTGACTAGCTTGATTTTTTTTTTTTTTTTTGGCAGTTTTTTATCATCACAATTTTTTTTTTTGTTTTGTTTGTTTCCGCAAAAAAAACACTTTCATTGCCATTTGGATGGCTGGTTTGGTTGGTTGTCTCGCTCTCTCTCTCTCCGTCTGTGTGTGCGTGTGTTCGATGATTATTATCGATATACTCTCCAGGCATCAAATGTAAGTTTTTTTTTGTTGTTGTTGTTGTTCTTTTGTTCTTTTATAATTTCAATTAAGATTATCACATTTTTTTTTGTTTCTGGATATTTGATTGTCAAATTAATCGATAAATTAATTAATTGTTTTTCTTTCAAATTCATTGAAATTTGTGGGGCAAAGTTCTGGCAAGATGGGTAAGAGATGATTGTGAAATCAGAAACAGAGAAAAAAAAATTTTCCATCAACATTGGAAAGCCAAATTGATTAATTTGATTTTCAGGATTATCAATCAATTGATTGATTTATCGAAAACCTTTGTTTGTAATGATGATGATGATAATAATGATTAGTGATCGATTTTATTCTTGATCCAAATCCAGAAAAAAAACAAAAAATCATCAGATTCATTTTCAATCAAAAGGATTTCGAAATGAAAATCGAATAAATTGTTTGGGATGGCAGAAAAAAAAAATTTTTTTTTTTGTTTTTGAATTGAAAATTAAAATATAAAAAATCAACTTCCCATCTTATCAAAGCTATGTTCAAACACAATGAATGTCAACAAGAAAAGGGAATTTTATTTTTATTTTTTTTGTTTCTTTCAAGCAGCCACCAGTCAGCCAGCCAGCCAGTCAGCCATGATCAACATTCAAAAACAGATATTTTTTTTTTGTTCACAAATTTAAAATTTTGAAAAATTAATGCAAAAGAAAAAATTGATTTTCATAATGATTCCATTAAAATGGTCCAATCACATGATGTTGATGATGATTTTTTTTTACAACAGACCGGCATACGTTGTACTTGATAAGTGTTTGTTGTTGTTGTACATTTTTTTTTTTTTGTTCCAAATAAAAAAAAATAGCTAGATTTTTTGTTTTTGTTTCTAGATTGTGTATGTGTGTGTGTGTGTGTGTGGGTTTTTTTTTTTTTGACAGCTAGATTATCAACAATTCGTTGTTCAATTTGTATTTTTGTTTTTGTTTTCATGGTTCAAATGGCTTGGAATTTTTTTTCTTTTTTCACCCTAATCACATTATTACCACCAATGAAAATGGTTCTCTCTCTCTCTTTCTCTCAACATTACAAAAACAAAAACACAATGTTTATAATTTTTCAAGTTGTTGTTGTTGTTGTTGTTTTTGCTTGTGACAACAGCTTTCATCGATTTAAAACATAGGTGTAACATATCCATATTATAGAAATGACCAAATCATTTGACGTTCCGCACATACATACACACACACACACACACAATCATTATGTTGATGTTGATGATGATGATGATGGAACGTTCCAGGACCAACTTTTTTTTTCTTGCCGTTTTTTTTTTTTTCATTTTCGATGGATGTGCACAGAATGCAAAAAAGTATTTTTCATTTTCTCACTCACTTTCACATTCACACTCAATTTTTTTTTGTTTCGTTTGCTGATGGATGCTTGATTGTTATCATCATCATCATCAACATAATGTTGTGTGATGAACAACAATTTTATCGACCAGAAAGAAAAACATCACACACACACACACAGACATACTGAGAATCATTAAACACACATCTGAATGAATGAAAAGGGAAATTTTGAATTTACATTCCGGCTTAGATGAATGAATGAATGAATAAATAAATTTCAATCAAATTCTTTGGTTATAATAGCAGCCGTAGCTTTTTTTTGCCGGTCATTTTTAAATTGTTGAGCAATATATTACGAGATGAAGAAAATCTCGATATATACGATATAAAAGTTTCGAAAAAGTTCAATGGCATTCTAATATTTGAATTGACGTTTAATTTTTCTAAATTCAATTATCCATTATTTTTTTTCATTAATTAATCCTAATGTACCATTTAGAGAGAGAGACAAGAGAGAGAGAGAGAGAGAGAGAGAGAGAGAGAGAGAGAGAGAGATAAAAATCATTCAGTCAGTCAGTCATTCAGCCATTCATTCATTCATCAAGCAGAAAAAAAAACATAAACATTTTTGCAATTCCAAAAACTCTCAACTGTCACTTGAATTTTGCAGACACAGACACTATGACTATGTCTGTGTGTGTGTGTGTGTGTGTGTTTTAGCTGTTAATTAGTTTAATTAGAATCAGAAATGGACGGTAATTTTTTTTTTTTGAAACTAAACAAATATAATGATTCTCATTTGTCGACTTTTTGTTGTTGTTTGTTGTTTTTTATGATTATCAAACAACAACGTTTCAGATAATGATGAATGAATGATGACAACAACAACAACAACAACAAGGACAAGAGTGAATAATTTTTTTCTTTTTGACAAACAAACAAGAATAATCTCTATTTTTGATAATTTTCATCATTCAAATTGCCATAACCATAAGCTGACTTTGGGCCAACAACAACAAAAACAAAAACAATTTTACGCTGTAGATTTATCCGATTTGAATGGCCACGGATATCCGGTGGAACAACCAAACAAACAAATCAAGAAAAGAATAGATTCCCTAGAGCAAAAGTTATGCTGATGATGATCTGTTTCTTGAATCATAAACACAAAACACACATACACATATATTCATACATACGCGCACCTACAAAAAAAAAAACACAAATCAAAGATGTTTATGCGTGCGTATTGTATGTGTATGTGTATGTGTGTATGCGTGTTTTGTCACATTGTTCATCGATATCCATCAATCAAAAATGAATTAACAACAACAATAACAAAACAAATCGTAAAACCAACTGATCATCTCATTGATTTATTGGATTTATTGATTTGTTGTTGTTGTTGTTGTTTGGTGTTCATTTTTTTCATTATTATTTTCTTCGTTTATTTGAAGAAGAAAAAAAAACAAAAAAAAAATTTTCAAAAATCCAAAAACACGCTCATCTTGGCCTAACTTTTGCGTTTAGAGGAATCAATGTTCATCATTATCAACATCATCATCATCATCATCGTCATTCACTTTGGGCTATTTTGAATTATTTAACACTTGAACAATCAACTAGCAACGGTATTTGCTTTTGTTTGTTCATTTTCATTCTTTTTTTTTGATCTCATTGATGATGCATGACAGTGATATTATACCAATGCATGAAAAAAATTTTTTTTTCTCTCCTCTCCATTCTCTTTATTCAATGAAAAACGTTTCTTCTTTCTTTCTTTTTTTCCAGTGAATGATGATGAATGAATATATTTAATTTTCTCAAGAATATAGAGTGAGCAAAAAAAAAAAATAAAACACTGCTTCAAGCGTTTCAGAAAGCATGAAATGGCAACTAAAAAAAAAAAAAAAGAAGTGAAAAGAATTATCAATCAGAATTAGTGATTTCCAAGGAATAAAAAAAAAGACAAAAAATTCAGATTTCTTTGCACTTTTTTTTATTATTTAGATAACAAAATGTCAACATTAGTGAAAGAATAAAGTGTGTTTGAATGAAATGATTGATTTCATCATCACTATTATTATTATTATTAGACGAAAGATTTATCATTTGAAGCAACTGAAATTTTATTTCTTTTCATTATCATCATTCATTATTCATTATTCATTAATTGAAAATGTAATTAAAAATCAAGATCGGCATCAATTTCCGTCATGGTAATCAAATTGTTACCATCTTTATCTAATTTCTTAAATTCAGCAATAATATTCATTGAAGAAATTTGATCATCCGTCAACGTGGTTTGAATTAATTGTTCAAATTCTTTACTATTCAACATTTTATCATCATTTTGATCATTATCGATGAACATACGATACATAAGATCTGTTTGTGCACGTGAATCACTATTATCCAATGACATTGTTAATGATGCTGGTTCTTCAATAAAATCTGATGTTTTATTTTGATTTTCACAGAATGCAGTATTCCAACACCATAATGCTGGATTACCTTTACGGCAGCCACCATCACAATTACAACCGAATATATTACATGAACCATAACCACAATAAATATTTGCTTCTTCACAATCGGCACAACGTTTAGCAGGATGATCTTTTGGTTCTGAACATTTAAAAACTGAATAACAACATTCGGCCGTGGCCATATCGAATTCAATCATTGCCATTATTGTAATAATAACAATGACCATTGTTACTGTTGTTGCCATTACACTTTTCGTCATCATCATTAAAAATCAAAAATAGTAATCAATGGGAAAAACAAAACAAAAAAAAACACAAATAAATTAAGATTAAACTCAATGTCTAAAATGTTGCCAATTTTATAGCCCAAAAAAACTAAATCATCCATCCAATAATGATGATGATGGTACTTCAAACAAAACAAAAAAAAAATCCAGAACAATCGAAAAAAAAATAAAATTTTCAATTTCAATTTCAAGTACAAACAATACATAAAACAAAAAAATTTCCTCTCTTTTCCCTCTTCAATTTTTTTTTTTTTTGGTGATTTTGTTGATTTCAATTTCATCTAAATTTTATTGATGATAACCGATCAATCGATTTCTCTTTTTTTTTGATCATTACACACATTGATTATCATAAATATACGTGTACATGTTTGTTTGCATTTATTATGAAAAATTAATTGTTTTCATCCTCATTTGATTCTTTTGTACTTATCATTTTTATGAATCTCAGGTTTGTTTTGTCCTTCAAAAATAAAAAATAAAAAAATATTGCACATTAATTGATTCAATTGCTCAATGATCATGAAATAATGTTGATGATGATGATGATTGTAATACCAGCCAAAAAAAAAAAAAAAAAATTTTTTCTATTTCTCAATGACTAAGATTTGTTATTTGGTCAAAACAAAACCCAAATATTTATACGATGACTATGACATTATCATGTGCAATGTTTCTCATCATCATCATCATCATCATTCTATTCAGTTTTGTTTGTTTTTTCACTGGTATAGATAGAATATGGTGATCAAAAAATAGATTGGCCAGCAAAGTATCAATGTAATGGACATACACACACACACACACACACACAAAAGACAATTAATCCATCCACATATCGACCTGGAATAAAAATCTTTATCGATCCATCATATTGTCCCTTTGAATTTGTGTTTGTTTTTTGTTTTTTTTTTTTTTCGGTAGATAAAAATTTGCTATTTATTCTTACTCCTTACTTGTCATAAGGTTTTTTTTTCTCATTATTTTCTAATACCATCACACCGTTCGTGGTTCGTGATCGATATTTTTATATAATAATAATAAATAATAAATTTATTCGTCTAAATTTATAACGACTAAATGAAAAAGAAACAAATTGAAAAATTGCCCGGATATATAAACATGTGAGGATTATCGATCGATCGATCCATCGATTGACATAACAACACAAAAAAACACGAAAAAAAACAATCAATCCTGGATTTATTCCAATATACTAAACATTGTTGTTTTTACTGGCCAGATTCTGGTTCTTTTGGATCCAGAAAAAGATGAATTTTTAGAATTGAAAAATAGATGGCGACTTGAATCACCATTCAAATGATTATTATTCACTTTTTTTTCATTTTGAATTAAATTTTATTATTATTTTTTCGGGATTAAGAATTGAAATCATTATTATATTAGTAATTTTAATTTTAATAATCGGAACACTTTGAAAGGGTTAACAAAAAAAAAGTTCCGAATGATTTAGTTGACATTTTATTGTAATGGTTGGTTAAAATCTAATCAACAGTAAATTGAAGTACACCACCAGGTATTGGTTGACCACCATATTTCATTTCGATTGTATAATTACCCGGTTGTTTAACCTTATAATTAACACTATATGTTCCATCAGGATTACGTACAACTTTACAATCAATATTTTCTTGTGTTTCACGTTCGGTCTGTGTTTTGGTTTCACGTCTTGTTTCACGAATTAAACGTTTACCACCAGTCGGTGTTGTTTCAATTCTTTCCGTAACAGTTTCTTTACTTTCCGATGATGATGTTACACGTGTCACTTTACATGTCAATGATCCCGGTCCAGCTTGTGATGCATCCACTTTAACTGAATATTCTTGATTGGCAACACATTTATCTTTTAATTCACCATCTTATTTGAAATTATTTTTTTCCAATGAATATAATGAGAATGAGAATAAATATTAAAATATATAACCATTGATGGATTACATACCGATAATTTTGCATTTACTAGCATCACCAGTTTGTGTGACATCCACTTTGAATGGTGGTGCAACTTCTTGTCCATCGAATTTGACAACAATTTTATGTTCACCAATATCTTCCGGTATATAAGTGATCTTATATGTACCATCTTTAAAATCGGTTTTCCAATAACGAATTCCTTTATCTTTTGGATTCTAATTTGATTTACAAATACAATAAAATTCATTGAATTATGAATAAATGGATTGTACAGATTGTCATACCATAATGCCAACTTGTAAATCACCGATTCCAGCTTCTTTTGTATCGACAATGAATTCAGCTGGCATACTTGCCGGAACTTTTTCCTTTAGACCACTGATTTTTACTTTATTTGGTTCAGATTTCTTTTTCACTTGCATCTTGAACGTACTAATAAAACAGATAAATGGAGAAGAAAATATTGAAAAGTAAACATCATCATATACATACCTGCCCTTAATATCTTTACCACCATAAGTGACTTTAACATTGCATGGGCTGCCTTCAGGTGGTGGTTTATAGGTAACATCATATGTACCATCACCATTATCTTTAATGACTGGTTTGTCCGGTATTGGACCTTTATCGCCACTAATTTCAACACCAAGTGGAGCTTTAGCAGATTTTTTAGCATTCACTTTGAATGACAATGAATCAGTGGCACGACAATTATTCGGATCGACACCAGGTCCAGAAGCAGTAACTTTTGAAGCATCAACTTCACCTTGAACCGGTACTTTGAATGGGCTTCCTATTGTGAGCAACAACAACAAAAAAAAGATGTCAAACTCAGTAATAACGAAAAAAAACGAACAAGAATCGATAATACATTACATACCAGGCACTTGTTGATCACCAAATTTAACTGCAATATTATAGTTACCAGGATCATCCGGTATATATTGAACCGTACATGATCCATCACGATTATCGATGCATGTAACTTTTGGTTCAGATGGACCTTCAATAGCAATACCTAATCCACCGTTACCGGCACCAGCGGTGACAACAGTAAATTCATTCGGTTGATTAGCATAACCTTTTTCAATACCAGGTCCAAATACTTTGACTTTTTTAGGATCAAAACCGGCTTGTGCTTTAACTTTTTGTGGCATACCGGGTATTTGGCTATCATCATATTTGCAATCAAAAGTATATTCACCTAAAAAAAATAAGAAATTATAAATACAGGTAAATAAATAGCAAAAGAAAAACAATTTACCTTCTTCTGGTAGAATATATTTAACTTTATAAGTACCATCATTGTTATTATCAACAGAATTATGAATCTTTTTGCCAGTTGGTGAACGAATAGTACAGGATATCTTGCCATCACCAGATTTTTCGGTTCCTTGTGCATTAACAGTAAAACTGTTGATACAAGATGAATATTGATCTATGAAATGAAGAGAGAATTTTGGTTGCATTGGTCATCATATTTTATAACTTTTTTGTTTTGTTTTGTTTTTGTTTTGTTGATCGTTCACCAATATGCAGTAGTAGTAGTAGTAGTAGTAGTAGTAATACGGTTAGTGAAAACAATTTGACAAGCAATACAATCAATCAATACAACATTTTGCGGCATGCCAAAACAAAGGCGACGATAATAATAAGGAAAATATATGGATTATATATGAATAATGATGATGATTTGAATCTGTAATCAATAAAGAATACTTCTTCGTTGAATTGATGCATTAAATGATTTAGATCGTTGTGGTTGTTGTTGATAATGATACATTTTTCGATGGATAGTGGTGGATTTCATCATATCTTCGATTGATTGAAATTTTTGTTCATCATTTATTACTTCCACACGATATGGTGAATTGGATAAATGATACATATTATACAATACTGATATATAATATATACCAATTTTTGTTGGTATATATGCTATTGAACAACTACGATCACCATTATCTTTACAATAGATTGCTGCATGTGATGGTCCTTCGACAATCACTTTGACACTTGTAACACAAGCAACAGAAGTATTTCCACTGTTACGTACTTGTTTTAGATCGACAACAAATTGACCTAAACGATTTACATGACAAACTGGTCCCAGACCTGGTCCATATGCACGAACTTGTTGTGCTTGTTGTTCTTGTTCAAGTAATTGATAATCTTCATCCGTAATTGTAGGTAATATCGGTAATGGTAATACTTCCACTGAATATGGTGAGCCAGCAATATTGACACTGTTTAATAAAACTCTAATCTGATATGTTCCAGTTAATTTTGGTGTAAAATGTACAATGAATCCACCAGTGGCAACGGTCAATGTTGGCAATATGCTGATTCGTGGTGCTGTCGTTCGAATATTATTATCATCATTCTGTTCCATTGATACATAATAATCATTTGGTTCATCAATAATAACGGAAACATCATCATATTGTCTACATCCAGGTCCAATCAATACACGAAATGTTTGCATCGAATTTATCATCATAACTTGGATCATGGTTATTGATTTGATTGATCGATATGATGAACGAAGAAAACATGTGACAACAACATGGAAACATAGATAGAATTCATACAATAAGGTTCATGTAGCATTTGACATTTTTTGTTTTGTTTGGGAATTTGAATGGATGATAATTCAATCGTAATAAAATCCATTCAAATCTCATTATATCTATCTTCTATAAATATCAATCACTACGTATAATTGTCATGGCTAATTGTTGCGCATTATTTTTGTTTATTTTTAATATTAAAAAAAGCTATATAGCTAATCACTAATAGCGTGCATATGGGCAAAAAAAATGTTAGTCATATATAATATGTTAATAAATGTGTATATGAATTTGCCAAACAAAAACTAAATGAATACATACTTGGTTCTAATCCTTCAATTTTCACTTTGGATACATCAGCAGCTGGTGTTACATTAACATCGACAGGTAATTTAGGAATTTGTTTACCGGCAAATGTAGCATTCACTTTATATTTGCCTGGATTTGGGGCAGTATATTCGACAGTATATTGACCATTTTGATGATCGGTCACAGCTGTTGGTACATCATTGCCTTTTTCATCTTTGATCTGTGGAATCAATTCACCTGAACCGGCCGATCGTGCATCAACAATAAAATGTGTTGTTTTGCCCGGTTTGACACCTTTTTCCAATCCAGGACCATATAATTTAATCTAGTGGAATCAAAACAAACAAACAAACAAAAAAAATTTGAATTAATTCACCAAAAATCCAACAAATCTACATACCTTGGATGGATCAGCAACACCACCGACTTCTACTCGATATGGACTTTTAGCTACAGCTTGTCCACCATAGTTAATCTGAACAGTATGTTTACCCAATTTATCTGGTGTATATTTCACTTTATAGGTACCATCTTTGTTATCAGTGATTTTTGTTTCAACCTCTCGATAATCAGTATTATCCATGACGGAAATTTCCATTGGAATATTCTTGCCACCAGCTTTTCGTGTATCGACAGTGAATTCAGTTGGCTGAGCAATAACAACTCCTTTTGGATTCAGTCCTGGACCAGTTGCCGTAACCAATTCGGGTTTGAAATCAGTTTTGGCCACAATAATTGGACAGTATGGCGATTTCGGTATATCCTCACCATCGACAGTAATATGAACAGCATATTCACCCGGTGCGGTTGGATGATAGATAACTTCAGCCGATCCATCGCCATTATCATTACATTCAATTTTAGCATATGACGGTCCTTCAACTGAAAATCCTAATGTACCAGTTTCGCCATTAGTATCAACAGTGAATTTGGCTGGATAGCCAACAATACCGCCTTTTAATCCCGGTCCATAGGCAACAACTTTACTATCAATCAATGGTCCAACTTGAACCTCAAATGGACTTTGAAAGATTTCCTGATCACCAAATGAAACTTCAACCACATATTTGCCTTCTTTCAATGGTTTATAATCACAATTATAAGTGAAACCATCTTTAGCTTTAAGAATATTGCATTTGACTTCTTTGCCTTCAGGTCCAATAACTTTGATTTTTGGTGTACCTGGACCGGCACCTTCAGTTGTAACACGAAAATCGGCAATATCATTAACACGAACACCAATAGGTTGTAGACCACGACCAAATGCACGAACTTTTCGTGGATCACATGGTGGTGCAACAGTAGTTTTGAATGGGCTTTGTGGTACTGGTTTGCCAGCAAAATTAACCGCAACTTGATGTGGACCTTGTAATTGTGGAACATATTCACAACGATATTTCTTTTCATCTTCACCATCTTGACGCAAACGCATTGGAACCGAATTCGTTTTGCCATTCGGATCGGTAATGACAACTTCCACTTGACCAATACCGGCACCATTTGTATCGACATCGAAATATGTTTGTTTACCAACTTGTGGTCCTTTTGGTTTTAGGCCAGGACCTTCACATTTAACTTTAGATGGATCACCAGGATTACCTTTCACTTCAACTTCAAATGGTGATTTTGGCACTTCAGTTCCAGAATATTTGACAATTACTTTATGTTTTCCTTCCATTTTTGGCGTATAGGTGCAAGTATAAGTTTTGGCTTCATCATCATTGAATTTAACATCAACTGGCGTTTGTTTTCCTTTTGGATCTTCTAAAAACACTTGAACCTCACCATCACCAGCACTAAATGTTTCTACTGTGAAATTTGTTTTAGCACCATTAGTGACGCCGGTCTTTTGAATACCAGGACCGTAGCATCGTACACGTTTTGGATTGTGTCGTGGTTTGGTTGGCGCATTCTCTTTCAATTTAGCATTAGGAAATTGTGACAAAAAAGTCATCATTGATAATTCATCCACTTTAGGATTAACCATTTCTTCAGCAGTAACCAATGGTGCTACACCTAAAAATTCTTCAGCTGTACTCATTGCTTTTTGAACATTTTTCAATGATTCATTTGGTTTCCATTTATCCCAATCTGGACATAAACCAGGTGCACATGCATCAACCAATGCGCCAAGTGCTACACCATTATTCCAATCACTGGTAAAATTATTAATTGGAACATCGGGCACTTTATTTTGTATCCATGCCAATAGACGTTGTTTAGGTGATGGGCCACCTTTTTCTTTATACATTGATTCATCTTCACCTTCCCACATTGGCATCGATATCGAATAATGTAGAATCAATGTCCACATTACACCACAAATTAATTTCACTTTACCATCGACAACATCGATACTATCTATAAATAATAAATAACAAGGAATGAAAAAAAAAATTACAATTCAACAAAAAAAAACCATTAAAATACGATACCAATGTTGACGATGCGAATTTTTTCATCATTTTTCAAAAATTGTAATGCAATATTAACATTTTCAATTTTCTGTGCACGAACTTTTGGACGTTTATTATAATTGGGCAATCGTTTACCGGATAACACTTCAACCAATGCAATTAAACGAATACCATCGCTAAAATCGGTCGTAATATCAGCTATATGTTTATTGACCGTACGAAGATGTTCATTTGCCCATCTTTTCATTGTTATTTTAATTGGAATTTTTTTAGGGAAAGAAAGAGAGAGTGAAAAAAAACATAAATCAAATGTTAATTGAATACCTTGTAAACGTATTCTGTTGCATTTTTTTCCATACTGCATCTTCGGCCAAATCTTTGGTCATACGATCTTCATCTTCATCCGGTTTGCCGGTACGTTTTTTTTCATCGGCCAATGGTTTGACCATGGTTTTTTTTATCTTTAAATTTTGTTAATTGAAAGAAATTTAATCAGTAGAAATAAAAACAAACACAAATAGACAAAATCTTGAACAAAGATGAAACTTTAGTCAATTCAAGTATGGCATCGAATTCACTGAATCCAAATGAATAAGAAAAAAAAATTTTCTGTGCTAAAAGGGATAATATCAATGATGATAATGAATGATGGTGATGGTGATGGTGATGGTGATGATGATGATTACCCGCCGCTATATTGGTATGAAATCGAATGAAATTTGTGTAAAAATATTTTCTGTCGTTGTAGGACAGTATTACAGGCGAAAATAATACCATCACCATCACACACACACAAAAAAAAACTGCTGAATTTTTTTTCTGCCTTTCTTTTCCTTGCAAAAATTTTTTTTTTCGTTCAATATTTCTGTTTCTAATTGATGCCAAGTTGGATGGTTGAAGGGAGAAGAAAAAAAAATATATCTAATTTCCCTTATTATAAAAGAGAAAATTTTTCTTTTCATACAAATTTTCCATCAGCATCATCATCATCATCATCATCAGAATTTTACTGAAAAACGGTATTTTGTTTATTTATTCATGTGTTTTTGTGTTTGTTTGTTCATCAAGATTGGCATCATAATCATCTTCAAATTCAAATTTATTTTTTTTATTATTTCACCCGATCTGTACCCGGGATGTGTATTTTTTTTCTGCTTTCGCTTTCATTTTTTTTATGATTACTATTTTCGTCGTCAATCCGGTTACATTATTTGATGATGATAATGATGATGATGATGATGATGATGTTGGCGGTAATAATAATATTTGTTTGTTTTCAAAATCAAAATACAGAAAATGATGATGATGATGATGATTGCAACAACAGGAATGCTCACTACTATATGAATAAGAGCAATAGACTTTGTTTTTTTAGACGATTTTCTTGGTAAAACAATAACAATGACAACAACAACAACAACAGTGGTAGTTCAATTGATGAAAGTAAGAATAAAGAATCCAATACACACACAGCATATACTAAAATGGTTTCCAAAATTAGAATTTCATCATTTTAGAATCACTTGATGAATGTTGGGGTTTTTTTATATGGCATGTGTGTGTGTGTGTGTGTGTGTGTGCAGTGATTACTTGTTCACAAATTTAATGTTTTCGTAGTAGTTGTTGTTGTTGTTTTTGTTGGAAGACATCATCGTCATCATCAAATGTCTAATTTTATCATCAAAAAAAAAATTCTGATGATTATTACAACGCCCATATGAATTGACAAAACAAAACAAAAAAAAATTGAAAATTGAACTAAATCGAACGACAAGAATCAGATTAGAATGCAAAAAAACAAACAAAAGTGTTTTTTTGCACAATCAATGTAGAATTATTCAAATTGGGCGTAGGTGTGTCTGTATTCAATATTCTGATTTGTAGTCTTTTTTTTTTTTTAGTTCAATAATCAATCGATAAATTTTTTTTTCTTATGTTTTTAGGTTAAATCCTACGTATTTTTTGTAGATCATTAAAAAATGAATGGAATTCACTTTTTTTCGGGTATTTCGAAATTCTTTTCTTTTCTATTTGATGGCAATGAGAACGAAGAAAAAAAATTTCTTGTGAAGCAAAGTTTTTTTTGGTTCCATAAATTTTTCTCGTCAAATTCTGTTGGTTTTTTAATTTTTGTTCATTTTCAAATCAAAAAAAAAAAAAAAAAAATGAAGCTGGAATTCATCAACAAATTCGATTGATCCGATTAAATTTCATGAATTTTTTAAATGGAATTTAAAATTTCGAAAAAAAATGAAATGAAATATATGATGATCAAAACTTACCAGAATTTAGTGAATGGATTGAATATAATGAAAAAAAAACAAAACAACTGAAAATTTGATGTGATAATCTCTTTGTCAGCCAACAAAAGTCGATTGGATTTGATGTTATTTGCTGTTGTCGGTCGATGGATAGGGTTATATATTATAAGATGATGATAATTTGTTTTGTTTTTTTTTTATTATTGTGAATGATGGATGAAGGAGAATGCAAAACAAAACAAAACAAACAAAAAAAAATCCACCTGAACAGTGAGAATGCGAAAAAAAAACTACAAATACGTTCAAGTAGATGAAAATTTGAAATGTTTCGCTGTTGTTGTTGTTGTTTTCAAATTCGAAATAAAAAAAAAACTTGTTAGCATCCATAAAGAGACACACTGTTGCATATACACAATTGAAAAAAATCAACAAGAAACGGGAATTCATTCTTACTTACGTTGCAAATATTCTTCATTCATTCACATTTATTTTTTTTCTCTGTTTATTTCGAGCATGCGAAATAAATGGCGGTCAAAAACGATTACGACCAGGACTAAAGTTCATCATTTCCTTTTTGGTCTTTCTATTTGTCGAATGGATGCCCATTTCCTTTTCGTTATAAACCATGACATATTTCCGACGGCTTTCGGGATCCGTGGGCCCGCCAAATCAATACTGCGACAGTCGACAAAATTTTCTTTGAGTCCGTTTTTTTTAGGGCCTGATTCGTGGTTAATACGCTGCGAAGTTGTCGACAGCGACAGATCACCTTCTAGTCAGTAACTGAGAAAACCACCTTAAATATCGGTTTCCTCAACCAACTGACCTTAGTCAAAGTGGTAAACCCTTTCCGCGCTTCAAATTCCAAAGCCTGATAAGCCCAGAATTTCATTTTAACAAGGTCTGAGAAGGAGAACACGGTGTAAGACGGGTGAACGTTTTCCAGTGTCGAAGCCGCCGTTGCGTACCGGCCGCACAATCAAATTGCAAAGTGAAAATGTCGGTCGTATTTCATACACGTATTTGTATTTCGCTGAGTCCAATTATTATTTATTCTGACGCCATAAAACTCAATTTGAATGTCTATTGTCGAACTTGTTTCTCGAAGAAGAGTCGATTCAAATAACATCAGCCTGATTCGTGGATCCTGTTAAGACTGCTACGCGCGCCGCCGCGGTCTATCGAATTGCAGAGAAAGAGATCGCTGAGAATCCGAGTGGCTCGCATGCCAGGTATGGTCCAACTGAGAGGATTGCCGCGATTATTTATAACGGGAGGCGTTAGCGGCGCCTGGTCTCCCCAAACGAACGTCACTCCCTGCTTCAGGCTACGGCGGAAAGCAGACTTCCAGTTTCAACTCAGAGCCCAGATCCACAAAAGCGATCCTTTCAGTACCCTGATGGGTGACCCGCTTATTTGACGACGGCATTCAAGCCACCTCTGGGTCTCTGACGAACAAACGCTGAAACTATCACCATCGATTGATTACTAGTTTTGAGCATCTACTGTAAGAATCCATCCACCTGGGAGAAAGATTAAATAACAGGTCGGCCATTGATTCATCCGTTTCGATTTATTTTGATTCCGACGGATTTCCCCGGCCCAGGTTTCTGACACCATGAGATTCCGAATAGTCCACGACTGATCCATTATGATCCTGGTTATATCGATTCATTGAACCGGTCGATATGGCCCGAATCTGTTAGATTCAGGTATGGAACCAGTTTCGAAACTTTAATATGCAGAGGAAACCCCAAACTCCCGACGTTTGAAACCTCATTTCGACGCTCCAATTCCATTCAATCCTATACATCAAACCTGATGCCAGATGGCAAAATTTATTTGCCAGAGAGAAACCAGATCCTTTGACCTCATTTGAGCCAGAATCCGATGCCCGCCAATGGATCATCAGTATATTGATTAACTAGATACTATTCAAGCCTCATTTCATTTATCAGAAGTTTCGAAATCCAAGGTAGGCGTTCTTGTAGACAGAATGACAGGGTCAACGGATATCATGCGCAATTCCCTTTGTTGATAAAAGATGGATAATAGCAAACGAGTAAAATTTCAATGGAATACCTTCTGAAACCGACTTCTTTATATAATTAAGGAGAAGCGAAATTCCCCATTTGGAAGCCACAACATTATGTGATTTCCATGTCTTGTGGATCTTAACCATTAAAGCATTGAACGACTAGAGAGAAGCCTGAAATGGAGCAATTTATTTTATGTTCGAATAGATAGATGATGCCGAACATCTCGAATGAAATATTTTGTTGTAGAACTGAAATGCACCAAAGATAATCAAATATTGTTTCAGAAGTTGAATATTGAGCACAAAACGATGTTACGACGTATGGGCTTTACTATCCAAATAATACTGTCAAGTACAACTTCATAAACACCCCCCTTCAACATCTATTAATTGAGGACATGAATACGGAACTAATCAACTTTTCGGTACAACCGGTGTTAAACAAATTTGTTTTTTCTCAAAGGAAACCAACCCCAATGCCCCCAGACCAGTAGAAAGACAGAGATTCCCAAATGAAGCTCAAAAAAGAGCGCAGTTCATATGATAAATGGTACTACCTAACTAAAGTATTAACAGGCCATACCGTATCGTCAACCTACTCACAATATGATGGTTTCTACTCCAACTATGATATAGAAAAGATTAAGATTACATTGAACGGTAAGAATTGAAGCGTTATATGATAGAACAATACTCTTTTATTAGCTGTAGGATATTTGTGGATGTTTTCATAAATTACTCCTGAACCTTTGTGATAATCTGTAGCGCTAGATGTTGTAACACATGGGATATCATTGATGGGAAAGGCAATCTTAAGAACTAAGATTGGTCAGCTTTCAGAGGAGAACAATTTTATATCTTACCTGCTTCATTACATTATTGGGTTAGATCCTCATTGACGATTCAAATTAATGAGAATCTCCTGGAGGTAAATAAATTATTGGAAAATAGAGTAGTTCCAATAGATATGATTAGAATAATTCCAAGATCTCCTTCTTGCTAATGTAATAGAATTGCTGATTTATCTCAAATCTGATGATCCATTAAAATCTTTTCGATTTTAAAATTTTAATATGGTATCTACTAGTTCGTGAAATTGGTTCACCAGCATAGACACCTGCCGAATTAATTTGGTGAATGAAGTACTAATCATCGGTGACCCTACCGTATATCATCTCCGGTAGATCAGAAAAAGTTGCTGATGATCAAATCAAGGTTTTACTTGAGAAAAGAATTGACTGTACTCATCTTACTTGAATTTATTCTTCTTTTCCGGTGGTTTTAGTCGATAAAAAGGATGATGGTAAGAAAACACGTCTTCTTTGTGTTGGATTTTAGGAAGTTGAAATTGATAGTACTTCACAACTCAATGTTATCCATCGCCATTACACATAAGACAGAGGATAGAATGCTAAATTCTCAGTCTTTTCACTTTATAAGTTGCTTTCCTGGTTTTCATCACATTCCACAGGAAAGGATAAACATAAACTGCATTTCCCTCTATTTCGCGACGGGAACACTTTGAGCGGAATGTCATGCCTTTGATTGTGCAAATGCAAGCGAATGCCAAAGGTGTATGGGAATATCCTGAAACATACTAAGTTGATTTGGATTTTGCCTGGCAATACGGATATAATTGTGTTTTCCAGATTTCAATGAGCATTGAACATCTGGGAAAAGTTATTTTGGTATTGAAACACAATATCATTTTGAAGCTTCAAAATGTAAATTTGGTTTACCAGAAGTTGTTGTCAGGGACATCAAACACGTTCAATACAATAAGACTTTAGCAATAAACAAGCACTGTCGATTTTCCTCCCACCTAAAGATCTTAAATCTCTTAGAAGGTTTTGCAAAATTGGTTTCATCAACGATCTATTCCAAATAAAACGGAATTATTAACACCATTATATGAATTATCAAAGAAAGATTCCGGCCTTCAATTGACAGCATGTAGAACAGCATTTAATAAAGTAATTGAAGTTCTATCATCTGATCTTGTATTGCATCTTTGATCCATCAAAAGCTGTAATTCTTATTACAGATGCTTCTTCAATGTTGGTATTGAGCCGTCCCTTTTAAACAAAAAGATACTGGCACTAGATGATGATCAGATATACCGTGATATTTTTCACGGAAATTACTCTACTAAAGAACAATATTCTGCCATAGAAAAGAATTAGCAATTGAGTCGATTGTTTACTGGCATCATTATTGTATGAAAAGAGTTCTTAATTCAATCCGATCATAAAACTACTGAAGCACATCAATTCAATTTCAAAACTCCAACACTGGGGACCCAATTGGCATTATGTTGCCAGCACTTTAAGATTGAATATGTTCCTGGTGAAAATGTTGAAGCTGATTTTCTTTTCTAGAAATCCTACTCCGAAGCAAATCTGCTTACACTTCAAGAGATTTCTGATATTCATGCCATTATTCCAAGTTACCCCTCCAGGGTGGCATTATTTAACGGTTGCGTTAAATATACTTTTAAATTTGATCTACTAAACATCGATCACACCCATCACATCATCATCATCATCATCACCCGGATAAAATTGTAATTACGATGATGATATGTAAATGATGATTCGTAACAAAATCGTATACAGTGGCTATTCGATTTACGAACATCATTCTGTTTGTTTATGGTTAACTATCATATATATATTGAACGAATATCGTATCATCAATCATCATCAAGCAATTTAAATTAAAAATTAGAAAAATTCGAATTTTTCACTTTTCCACAATCCACATCAAGTTAATACATTGTGCAAGCACTTGCAGAGTATAAAAATTGCAATTAAGCTTCTTAATAGATAGCGATAACATTTTTTTTATTATTATTAGTGCGCGTTTTTTCATGATGATGATGGAAATTATTGTTGCTGATTGAATTGAATTGAATATTGGATTCTTCCATTTTTCTTTTTTTTTCTTCTTCTTCTTCTTCTTCGCCCTTCAACCACACACACACACTCTTTCATTCATTCATGCTACTGCCAAAATGACCATATCATCATCATTCATTATTATCATCATTCTTGCTATACTTTATTTGTATCCACTCATCGTTTGTTTTGCTCGAAATATAACGTTGTTGATGATATTATATTCGTTCATTTTTGATAACGTTAAACTGTTGAGCTCATTTGTCAATGTAAACAACAAGTGAAAGTTTTTTTTTCATGAGTTTTATTTTGTTTTCATCCTCAAATTACTCAATTGATTTTTTTTCTACTTTTTGATTCATTGTCATCTTTTGTTTGTTTGTTTGATAAAAGTAATTTTTTTTGCATTGATTTTAACACAATCATAGCCAAAATGTTGAGTCGTTCAAATTTTTTATTATCAAATTTGAAAATGAAAAAATATTCGAATATTCAACCAAATTCTCGCCACGACATCCACAACATGACCATAAAATAATAATCAAGGATTTTTTTAAATCTCATTCTCCATATCGATTTCGATTATATTATTTCCAGGATGATAAAATTTTCACAACATTTCCATTGCAATCTGACCATATTGAATATAATGTAACCACAAATTCAGATGAAAAGATCAAGTTATCTATTAATTTGGAAAAATGTTATGATAATTTCAAAGAATCATTGATTCGTCCTATTGAATTTGTTCGATTTGTTATTGGACACAAACGTAAACGGATTGGTTCCAATATCATTATTGACCATAAGATATCAAATGATCGATTAATTTGCTTATCAACTGAATTTGTATCTAATAATGATTATGATGATATTGATTCACCAGCTTGTGAATTTGATTTTGATAATTTGCTCTTTATTTTCAAACAAAGATTTATGGTTGTTGATACAAATTTTAAACCTCTCCAAATGAATTATGATGACATTAATCAATTGATCAACAAACATTATGGCGGATTAACTATTGAAAACTACATCGACAAAATCAATTTGTCTGATTGTGTTTTTTTCAAAGAATTTGGCCTAGAATTCCAACATTTCGCGTTGACCTCCCATGCGATGGTTAAACCAGTAATATTTCCATGCTCTTTTTCTGTATTCAATACTCCAGAGAAAAAGATTAAATGGGTTTTTTTTAACTTTGACAAAAACTTTCAAAATTCAAAAGAATTTGCCAAATTATTTAAAGAAAATGGTAAAAAATTCAACTTTAATATGGATGATTGTTATTTGCAACAACAATGTATTGAAAACGTTGATTTTAATGAATTGGAGAATATTTTCCAAAATATCGTCGCACATGGTGTCGATTATGCCCTTTTTGGAATACCTGATGGTATGTGTATTTCTTAACAAAAAAAAAATTAATTTCAATTTTTCAATTTTATTTTTTTTTTAAATTTAGATATGAAAATTAACGGTATATCTGCACACGACATTATCAAATATTTTAGTCTCATCAAGTTCGGTCAGCCATGTCAAATTTTTCGCACAAAAAACTTTAATCATAGAATCGATTTTGATGTCAGTTTATTCATCAAAATGTGCCATCGATTAGGTGTATTTCCTAATATTATTAAACAAACATATTGGGGTTCTATTGGATTTAAAGATTTTTGCGATTCAATCATTATGGCTGTTAATTGTGATACACAAGAAATTCAAGGCCAACCATATTGGATCATGTCACTAGTTGGATCAAAAAATCATAACTACATGTTGTACAATGAAGCTCATGTAATTGGAAAGAAAAGAAATTATGCACTTTTACGTGAACAATTGTATCAATTGATCTGCAAATATGAAAAACGACATGAACGAATGCCTAAAACCGTGATTCTTTATTACAATGAAAGAAATGAAAATGATCTCGTTCAGATTAAAAAAATGTGTAAACTTTCAATGTTTTCTAGTCAAACTGAATCGATAAAATGGGTGATCATCAATGTTGTTTCTCATAAAAATATGGCTGGAAAATTATTTGAAAAACCAGAAAATGAAGGTAGCTCATTTTTCATTGCTGATGACAAATTTTTGAAACCAAATGAATTCATTCTTGGCCACGATTCAAATCATGATAATCCAACATCGGTAACTTTAAAATACAATCAATTGGTTGGTTTATATATTCATCTAATAATTTTTTTTTCTCTTTTTCGACTAGGAAACAATTTTAAAATGTGCTAAATGTGTAATCAATTCGGATCAAACCTTTTATGGAGATTTTGCAATCGCACATGTCACTGATTCGCTTTGTTATTTATACAGTGAAAGCCTTACCCTTAAGAATCAACCATTGCCATTAACATATGCAATCAATTCCACAAGACAAGCTTTCTCACGATTGAATGGAAAATTGACCGCAAACAAAGCATATTCAAATGATTACGATGAAGATGAATGGTTATCGATTCTCAATACATCAATGAAATTTAATTTTCTTCACAAAAAAATTGCTAATCCATTCGTATAAAAAATGGAAATTTTTTTTTTTTTTTTTTGCTTACCTCAGGGTTGAATACCTTGATTTTTTTTCTCTTATTTACTCGAATTTATATTTTTTCTTTATCAAGTTTTTTTTTTGATTTGATTTTTACTGGAAAATTGACACTTTTTTTTCATTATTCGTATGTATACGAAAAAAAAAAGAAGAAGAAGAAGAAGAAGGTTTTAATCAGTCATTTTATTGTTTTTTTGGGAAAAGTTTTCAGTTTTAAATGATACGAAAATTTTTTACTATTAATGACTATATAAGATAATTTTTGTAAGTTTGTTTTTCTCTGAAAAAATTGATAAAATGAATAGTAAAAAGATAATGATTTTCTTCGAATAATAAACACAATACAATATATAATATGATGATTATGAATGTAAGTTGAATGATGACAAAATTTGATTATTAAATGTTTTTTTTTTGTTGCTGTTGTTGTTGATGATTAGTTATTTTTCAAAACAACTCGCCGTACTTCAAAAAAACGTTTCAAATAGAATACCTGGCCCAATGTAATGGCAACCAATAATAATGCCTCAAAACATGCCCATAATAATACACGTGAATTAGTGGAATCATTTATCTGTCTATGAATACGATCACGTACAGTCATATATTCTTGTTCATGTTTTACTGATGAAAGGCCACTAGTTAAATCTTTGACCATTTCTTCTAATTTATTATGATCATTTGATCCAGATGATGAATCATGATGAGCACCACCAATACCATCTTTATTTTCATGTTTAGCTTTTTCTTCAACATCCATTGAAAACATTACCACTTTTGGTGTCATTGATGACATTTTATTACCAAAACAATATTGATAATCACCATCCATATGTGCAGCAAATGTATATTTTCCACTTGATACACGTTCTTCATGATGAATTTCTTTATGATCGGGACCTAATATTTAAGATGAAAAAATAAGATTTTAAAAAAATAGCCATTTTATGTATTGTTATTTAACATACCAACAATGGAAAGATCGAGATCAAGGAATCCACCTTCAACCACTTCGAATGTTAATCCCATTTTTGTACCGGATGCAACACGTTCAAAGAAACATTCTTCACCATGTGCATCTATCACAAGAAAATATGAATGAACAGAATTCAGGCAAATGGCTAGAATAATAGCCACAATAAAAATTGATTTTGATTTGACTGTCAGATTTTTCATTGTTCAATATATTTCTCACAATAACTATGATGATTGAACCGGACTGAAAAAAAACGATACAAAAATTCGTAGATTGAAACCAAATCAATTCACTTTCAATTTCAATATTTGTTGTTTATGGTCTGGAAATTCATGAAAAAAAAAAAAATGCAATGATAGTTGATCAAGATTAAATGTTTCTGTTGGTGTGAAATTGTCGGTATTTTTCACCGAAGACACGTCACACTGAACGTTATTGTTGTGTATGTTTGATTCGATTTGATTTCCAAGAAAGTTTTTTTTTTACTCAATGTGTTTGCCCAGAAAATTTATCATCATCCTGTTGATTTTATATTTGGCCTAAATTGCGATTTTTATTTTTTGCACTTTCAATTTTTTTTTCACTTGAATCAAGCTGTTTAAATATTTGGACAAAATGAACAATTGGAAATAATTTTTTTCATCGAAATTGTGAATTCATATTTTGTTCCAAAAAAAAATTTTTTTACGCCAGTTATCATTTTGTTTATACAGCCAGCCATTTAATGTGTAGAGCTTTTTTTTGTTTCCGCGGTATAAAAATGATCAACAAAATCGAAATGAAATTCTTGGATTCATCATCATCATCATCATTTCATCAAAAATTTAAAACGAAATGGAAATCTATTCGATGAGAATAATAATAGTGATTATTCTCAATCTTTCCATGGCATTATCAATGGATCGAATCGATGTTCAATTACGTCGTGAACAATTTCGATTATTTCAATTATATCAACAACAATGTTGGATACAAAATCGTCGTAAGTGTTTTCTTTTCTTTTTTTTTGTTTTTTTTTCATTCATCATATTGACTTTTCATCTAATGAATCTACAATTAGCAATCAAAGTGGATCAACTTTTATCGTTGATAAATCAATGTGCACGACCACATTTAATGAGAGCTGATTTTATTCCGGTAAATTTTTGCGTTTTTTTGTTTGCAAATTTGAAACAAAAAAAAATTTTTTTATTCCAAAAAAAGCATGATATATTTCCATATCATTTTGATCGAATCAATTATGAATGTCTTAATGGTTTTGTCAGTCCACAATGGAATATTTGTGATCAATTTGTATTGGATTCAATGATGAAATGTTGGCTACAACCAAAAGATATGGCCATTTGGTTTCGATTACAATTATTATATCAATGGAATCGTGATTCTATGGCAACATTGGTTGAACAAATAATGGTATATGGTATTTAAATCATATCATCATTTCAATTGATTTAAATTGAATTTTTTTTTTGTTTCTTTCAATCACATATAGAATGATTGTACGTATCTATTGGAAATGATAAACAAGAAAAATATGGATGAAAATGGCAATAATGAAATCGTAGACAAACGAAATCAAACAAAATCTTTGTAATTTAATAATCCTGTAATCATAATCATTATGGTCATCATCATCATCATCGAATGACCTTGTGTGTGTGTTTACAAACATTATAAACCACACAATTGACCATTGACACATGCATGTGTGAACATCAAACAGAACAAATAAAGCACAACAAAAAAAATTTTATTAATGTCAACAAGGTCATTGCAATGCATGAAAAAAAACAACAACAACAACAACAACAACATCTGGCAACATCTTTATTCTATGGCCAAACGAAAACAAAAAAAAAAAAAAAGGAGAAAAAACTCTTGTTCATCTTTACCAATAAAATCACAAGACTTGTGAACTGATCGCATCACCAAAAACCACCACCACCCCTCCCCGTCACACATACAATCAAGCATCATCAAACAATTGGTGGATTTCATTTTTATTCATTCAGATTGATGGAATGATGATATTATTATATATATATTATTATTATGGCTGTTAAAATAACGAATAAAGAATAAATAAAAAAAAACGAAATTTTATGATTCTAGAAATTTTTGTTTTTTTTTATTATTTATTTTTTTCTTCCATTTTCATTTTTTTATTTTCCATTCTCATTCAGCTATCTATCTATATATGTGAATAGAAATCATTATGATGATGATTTTTTTATGATCAAAAAAAAAGCAGCGGTGCTGGTGGTGGTGGTGGTGGTATATATTTAAAATTTTCATTATATACGCAGAGAATATCATTAAAAATTTTTTTGCTGTTTTTTTTTTAATTTGTTCTGTAATATAGCTGTTTTATATATTTATTTTATAGCTTTCTTCTTCTGTCATCGCGTTGTCGATCGACCTCGGACCAACCAACCGACCGAACAAACGACCAACCGAAATTGAGTTTTTTTTTTCTTGATTTTTTTTTCTCGATAAACCAAAACGACGAAAATCCCATTCGATTATAGCCCCGATATATATATATTTTTTTTTTATTTTACTTTTTTATTTATTTTTTTATTTTATTTTACAAACTAGAAAAAATGGGGGTGATGGCGATGGTAGTAGTGGTGGTAGTGGTGGTGGTTGTGGGGGTGATGAACAAACTTTGAAAGTTTGCCGTTTGAATTTTTATTTTTTATTATTTTTTATTTTTATTTTTATTTTATTTACACTGGATTGAATATATACATGAATGAATGTGATAAATTTCAGGGATTTGCAATGTGAAATGGAATGTATGAAAAGATAGTTAAATAGATAGATAGTTAGATAGATAGATAGATAAAACGACCAACCGAGAAAGCTTTTTTTTTTTGTTTGTCCACTGAACACAAACACACTACTGGGGAGAAAAAAAAATTGAAAAATTCAAATTTCTAAAATGCAAACGAAAAATGAACAACTTATTACCATTTCATTTCATTTATAGATATAGATAATATAATATATGAGCTGTGTGTGTGTTGAGACAAGCCCAGACTATTTTCATTTCATTTCATTTCATTTTCATTCATTCATTTTTCTATTCATTTATTGTTGTTTCTTCTTCTTCTTCTTCTTCGTTTTTTTTGTTGTCTTCAACATTAACATCTTCTTCTTCTTTTTCTTTAAACGATAATATATAAAACTCGCTTTTTTTAAATTTTTTTAAATCATTTATTGTTACCTTTTGGGAGAAAAAAAAATGCTGTTTAAACTCATAAAAATAGCGAGAGAAAGACGAACGATTCAATTCCACTTCCATCTACACACACACACACACACACAAAATACCAAAAACACCGACATTGATCATTAATAGAATTATGGGATTTTTTATTATTATTATTATAAAATGAACAAAATATAAATGAATCCTGTTTTTTTTTCTGTTGTCTTTCTTTCTTTCTTCTCATCATCATCATCATCATTCGGTTCGATGTTCGATGTTTTGACTTTTTTTTTTTGCTTTTCGTTTGTTTGTTGCTTTTACCAATTCACGTTCATCTTCGTCGTCGTCGTCGTCGTCGTCGTTGTCGTCGTCATCGTCGTCGTTATATTGCTATAATTTGGTTTGGTTTGGTTTCTCATATATTGATTATGATGATGATGATGATTGATTGTGCCTCTGTGTATGTGAAATGAAAATCTTTTTTTTCTGTTTTTTTGGTTATTCAATGCCTTTTATTATTGATTTACATTTGATTTGAATTTTTTTTTCGTTTTTTCGTGCGTGTGTGTATGTGTATGCATGTTACAAATTACGATTATCATCAGAAAATTTCAACATTTTTTTTTAAATTTTATTCCATTGCATTCAATCAATCAATCATTCAATCAATTAATCAATCAATGGAGCAGCCACTTGAGTATATATGGGATTTTTTTGTTTTTTTTCGTTCATACAAGGCAAATAACATTAACGTTATTATCATCATCATCAGCATCAACATTGATAAATTAGCTATAAAAATCGAATCATTTTTTTTTTTTTTTTTTAAAGCCATTATTCGATTGATAATAAATAATATAAAGAGATTAACTCTTAGTTATTATATATTATATTTTTTAATTATATTTTTATTATTATACATTTAATGACAACAACAGCAACATCATCATCATCATCAAACGACAGCATCAACATATTTGATGATGATTGATTGATTGATTGATTGATTTAGATTTAGATAATGATTCGATTGATTTAATTGTATATATACAAGAGAAATGCGAGAAAGAGAGAAAATGTACAAAATATCATGGATTGAATACATTTGATCAATCGATTTAGGATAATAAGATATGATGATGATGATAAAATAGAAATAAAAAATAAAAAAATTACAGGGAAAAAAATTGTGCGTGATTGTATTTGTCGATTGATTTTTCATTCATTCATTTTTTTTTAAAATTTCATTTATCAAATGTGTGTAAGACATTGATTTTGATTTTTTTTTGTATGTAAAAAAAAAAAATTTTAAAATAAAAATTCTATTCTATATCAACACATTTAGATTCCTGTGTTTTTGTTGTTGTTGTTGTTGTTGTTGTTTTTTAGACTGTAGCTGTGTGTGTATATCGTCATGAACTTTTGAACTTTATTTTTTGTCGTCGTTGTTGTTGTTGTTATTGCTGTTGCTGTTGTTTTAGTGAATGTGTTCCAACATTAATAGAAAATTTTAAAATTTTTTTTTTTTTAAATAAATTATTACCACTACTAATTTTTTTTTTTTTTTGATTCCATAATATTTTAATGTGTATGTGTGTGCGATGATGTGTGTGGTGTGATAAACAGCCACCACACTACTTGTTATTATTGCCACTAGGTTTTTATTACTAAAATGGTTCTTCCATTTTAGTAATAAAATGGATTAAAATTATTATAATTTTTTTTTCTTCTAAAAAATTGAAATAAATAAAAAGAATCCGCATCAATTTTTTTTTCATTATTTTTTTCTCCAACATCTTCATCATCATCATCATCATCCTGATTGAATTGTATGAACATCACATCGCATTTATCAGTGTATGTGTGTGTGTGTGTGTGTGTAGAAGTAGAAGTGGCAGTGAATTCTAAATTACACCACTACTACTACGACGACGAAAAAAAAAATTAAATATAAAAAAAAATCTAATAAAAAATAATGGCCATATTTTTTTTTAATATGAATTGAGACAAAAATTCTTCGATTCTTTTATGATAGAATAATGAAAATGAAGCTGAATTACCAAACGATATAGTTTTTTTTTGTGATGATTCTGTAGTATTCTGTATTTGCAGTATTATACTCTGATTTATATATAATTTTTTTTTATTATTATTATTCATAATTTTGTTTTCCGATTCTTCATATATTCATAATAATTATTATTAATGATGATGATGATGAAAAAAACGTAGAGAATTTCTCCCATTTCAATTCTTTCTTGTCTCTCTGTGTGTGTGTGTGTGTGTGTCTGCTATGATGAACTTTTATATACAATTTTTATTTGGCTAAATGAAAATGAAAAAAAATTTTAATTCCAAAAAGTGCATGGTTTTGTGTGTGTGTGTGTGTGTGTTTGTAAAACAACGCCGCCGCTGCTGCTGTTCATCTTTTTTTTTTTTTTTTTTTTCACCCCCACCCCACCACATTCATCAAAATCAACTTTATTCAATGCTTCTACAATTCTACTTCTACTTCTACTTTTTTTTCTATCTAGTTTGTTCGTTGTTCGTTCTTTATATTGGATTATTATTATTTTCATTTTGGAAAACTGGTACTCGTTTAGATGATCAAGAAAACTAAAAAATTTCATTTTTTTGTGGTAGAAGCATTCTGAAAACAAACGTTAAACACAAAAAAAATTCTGCTTTTTTTATAATAATAATAATAATCATCATCGTTTATTATTATTATTATTATTTTGTAATATTGAATCATTCGCTTGGCTTGTTCAGTGTGTGAATTTGTATTGGATGAAATTATTACTGGTTATAATAACTGGCAACACTACCACCACCACCACCATCAATAGTCAAGCAATCAACCAACTAAACAACTATACCAAGCCACACAACCACCACCACCACCACCACCATCATCATCATCATCATGAATAAATAAATCCACAATAAGGATTCATTTTTATTTTTTTATTTTTTACTTTCTACCCTATTTTACAATTATTACAATTATAAAATTGCAACAATAATAAATGTGATGATGATGATGATGATAATTATTGCCATCATCTTCATTGTTCGTGTGAATGTATTCCAGATGAATTAAAAACGATTCTTCAATTCTTTTTATTCTTGTTTAATTGAATTCTAATCATCAAACTTTGTCTCTTACAACACATTTGACATTTGTTTCTTTTTTCATATGTGTGTGTGTGTGTCGTTATCATCATCATTCTCCATTCCATTATGACAACAAAAATGATAAAATAATGAATCACAGTGACAGCGAAGTGAAATATCAAATGACATAATATGACACATTATGAAATTGAATTCTTAGAAAACTTTTTTACATACACACACACATACACACATCACACATTTTACCATTTATCGTCATCAATCAATCAATATTTTGAATTTGAATTTTGTCGTTGGCTTCCAAATATTTGAATTTTTTTAATACAATTCTCATTCAAATTGTCGATCAACGGTGTGTATGAATTTTCATTTTTATTTTCTTTTTGATCATATTTCAAACAAACGTACAAGAGACAAAAAAAAATCAAATTAAATCCACTTTGTATCCAAAGTGGAATGAAAAGCAACAAGAAAATTTTGGCCATTCATGATTATCACACACACACACACACACACCTGCACATCCATAATCATCATTAATGGCCATGAATTTTATTGGATTCAATTTAACATTTTTCTTTTTCATTATGAGATGATGTTTAGTAGTGGTTACAAACAAACAAACATTACATTACATTACAAAACATCCTATTTAGTTACAATTTTTTTTTTGATTTTAATTAAATTCATCATCAAATTAACATAAAAAAACATAGGTAGGTGTCTGTGTGTGTGTGTGTGTGTGTGTGTGTGTTTGTATACGTTTTCACACGTATTTAAATGAAGCCAATAGCGGCCGCTGTATTGTGTGTGTGTTTAGTGTGATGATAGTTTGCAGGTTTATTTGTTTTGTTTAACTTGAATTTAAATTATTCTTGATGATTTTTTTTTCTTTCGGATACATTTGATTATAGCGTTGGTGATGACGCCCACACACCACCATTCGATTTATACCACATTATTTTGACATTTCAACTTATTCCAAATGATGATGAAAAATCCAAAATGAAAAAAAAACTTAATCAAATGAGATGACTGATTTGCACTTAAATCTTTTCCATTTTATTTCCATTTTTAATCTCATAAATGTCATTTTTCATAAACATAAATTTTGAATTTTGAAAAAAAAGAGTTTTTGTGTTGTGCTCATTACATGAATCAATTTGATTTGATTTGATTTTTTTTTTTGCATCATCAAATTTTCAAGCCAAAAAATTAAAATTCTATAAATGAATTGAATGAATGAATGAATGAATGAATTGAAGAAAAGAAAAAAAAATTATCATCATGAATGAATGGAAAAACATGGGAAAAAAATTTTTTTTCTTCTTTTCATTTCTTTCATCATATATAATATTTACATCACACATCTGTCTTGATTGTGGAATGAATGATTATTGAAACACCATATAATCATCACCGATAATAATAACGATTATGATGATGATGATGATGATGATGATGGAAATATTCCTGATAGAAACAACCAACCAGCAGCAAGCCAGCCAAACAAACAATTTTTTTTCATCGATTCAGCCATTTTTATTTTAATATATCAAATTATAATGGATTTTATTATTATTAAACAACCAAATGAAATTTCCATTTTATCCGTGGCAAGAGCATCAAGATTTACTTCACTAAAAAAAAATTTTTTCATTTGAATTTCATTTCAAGTGCTGTTCATTCGTTTTTAATGAATAAAAGTTTTTTTGTTGTTGTTGTTGTTGTTGTTGAATAGAATTTGAAATTTTTTTTTTCATTTTATTTTTTAAAAGTTATAATTATGTGTTTACAATTACAATTGATTTTTTTTTTTTTTTTAGTCAGTCCATTGAATGAATCGAGAAAGAAAATAGAAATTGTTTGCTTGCCACACTCAAAACCACTCAAACTACTATCAACCAGATAGCTAGAGAGAGAGAGAGAGAGAGAAAGGTGAAGAAAAATTCAAATTACAAATTTTCTTCCATGTGAATATAACGAATGAATGAAAGAAAGAAAGAAAGAAACAAAAATTTACATACAAATTTCATTTTTCTATTGCTTTTCATCTTTTTTTCAAATGATAATAAATTTTGAAATTTTGAATTTTTTTGGCTGAAATTTTGAATTTTTTTTATTATTATTATTATCAAAATGAACAAATGAATTGAATTGAATTGAATTGAATATGAAGAAAAAAAAGACGTAAAATTGAATATATATGGCCACCACACCTTTTAATCAAACACATACAGTGTGAAGTGGAGTGAGAGAGAGAGAGAGAGAGAGAAGGGAAAATAGTTTTTTTTTACCTGAAAAAAATGGCGCATATCAACATTTGGTCTGATCTGACAAACACACACACACAGTCATCATACAATCTATTATTATTATGTAATCAGCCATTTATTCATATACAGTCGTGTGTATTTGAATAATCTGGATGTTTTTTTTTCAAATTCATTTATATATTACGTGGAAGTTTGTTTTTTGTTTTTGAATTTTTTTTTTGTGAATATTTTAAAAATCGATAAAATTTTTGCAATTTTAACAATATGATGATGATGATGACTCACATCTTGACTACACTACACACAGTTGTTCATTTTTTGTTTTGATGAAAAGAATATCCGAGATACTTGAAATTTTTTATTTTTCACAAATATCTGCAGTATATAACACATCATCATTATCGAACATATAGTGAGCGAAAAAATTGAGTGAGAGAGAGAGAGAGATGGCAAAATTATGAATATAATAATTAGTTTTGAAAGAAGAACAAAGAAAGTAAAAAAAATTTCCAAAATCCCATCCAATCGACAGGCAAACACAAAATTTAAATTTCAATGAATGAATTTTTTTTTTTTTTTATTTTTTAAAATTAATCATTAACACAAATATGAATGTGTGTGTGTGTGTGTGTGTGTTTGTAATTCAATACAATATACATTCATTTGGTTGATTGAACGCCGTATACGCACGCAAAAAACACACAATTTTTATTATTATTATTTTGCCTTTTGTTTTTGTTTTTGTTTTTTTTTTATTTTGGTTTTGGTTTTGGTTTTGGTTTTGGTTTTGGTTTTGGTTTTCTTTGTTTTGTTTTCGTTTGCCTATTGATGATGATGATGATGATATATATATAATATATAATATAATCCTGGTTTAATTCACCAAACATTTCTTTTTTTTTTGATATACACATGTATGTAAAAAGGTGATTGAACTTTTATTATTTTTTTTTCATTTCATTTGATTTTGATATATATATGATTTTTATTGACTTAATATACTGAATGATGATTGTGAACAACAACAACAAAAACGATTGATTCTTCTTCTTCTTTTATTTTCGGTTTTTTGAAAAGACCAAAAAACGATTGTGATGATGTGATTTTTGTCACCACAATTTAAATGATATAATATCTCTCTCTCTCTGTCATTACGGTGAAAATGATGATGATTCGATGATTCGAATGTGTGTAAAAAAAAATACAAAAAACTTGGCGCCATCTTGTTTCTGCCGTTTGAGTTTTTTCGAGTTGTTTATTTTGTTTGTTTGTTTGTTTGTTGTCGTTCATATTTGTGTAAATGTTTACAATTGAAATTTTCAATTTTACTAATTCTTTTTTTTTCATTTATTTCAGATTTCTTTCTCCTTTTTATTGAATTCACTTCTTAATGGACTATATTTATATATATCTTGATGATAAAGACAAATATTTCATTGATATTTTTTATTTATTAATGATTTGAAATCTTACCCGAACAAAACAAAACAAAAAATGAATGATTCGACAGCCACAACGAAAGAAGTTGATGATAAACTTATCATCAATGATGATGGATGTAAAAAATTACCATCATCATCATCAACAACAACAATATCAGCAGCAGCAGCAGCAGCATCATCAACAGCAGCAGCAAAAATATCAACAACAACAATACGTGATGTCAACAATGATCATGATAATGATAATAATATGATGAATCCAATTATGATGATAAATCGTAATAAGAATAGATTAAAAGATAATAATAGAAATCAACGGAAAACGATAAAAATGTTGGAACAAGTAGAAAAATCATCCAAACTAATAATGTTTGAACAACAAAATCGTCGTTTAGAGACTGAAATTGATGAAATGAAAGAATTAATATTTTCAATGAAACATTCGATCAATATATTGGAAAAAATTCGTCGTACATCACGTGAATACATTCAATATATGCGTTTATTATTTTTTGCATGTGTCAAGAATAATTCCAATGAGATAAACAAATTGCATAAAATTATTGCCGAAATTGATCATGATCTAGATAATTGGGATCAAAAATATGAATCAATCACATTGTTTCAGACTAATAGTGGTAATGATGAAAAAATACGTTCATTATTCACTCTTGGTAGTAGTGTTGGTGGTAATAGTAGCAGCAGCAGTAGTAGTATAAATTCAAAACAACAACGACCAAAACAATCGATCAATTTGAAACGAAGAAAATTGAACAATTTTAATATTAATATTCATTCTGATGAAAGATTAAATATGAAAAGAAATTCAATGAAAAATATCATCAATGAACAAGCACAAAATTTTAAACAACAACAAACCAGATTGCCATCTACCTCAAATACAATGATCAATGATAAATTTTGGTTGAATGATTTGAATCAAAAATTTCGTACAAAATCATCAAAAATGATGATGATGCCAGAAGATGATGATTATGATTATGATGATGACGATGATGATGATGATGATGATGATGATAATAATGATAATGTTAATGTTAATGGTATCAGTGGAACTGGTAATTATGGTTATGATGAAAATATTGATGATAATGATAATGATGACCACGGTGATGGTGATGTTTATCGTGATAGAGATGATCTCATTATATCTACAGGTGTCAATGATTGTTCATATGGTAATCAATCGATATCATTACCAAATGATAATGTGATCGATCTCAATATGTCTAATGAAACAAACAATATGATAATACCAACAGAACTTTGTGAAGTTTCTATGGATACAGCATCCAATAATAATGAATCATCATCAATTGGATTAAATTTCTTAAATTCTGGAATGGAAATGGCCACTGATTTATATGAATCAAAAAATGATAACAACAATATGATGATGATGAAAAAAGATGGTTCAAAACAATCGGCAACGATTCAAACAGTGATTGAAACATTCTATAAGAAAATTAATAAAAAAAATCTACAACGACGACAACAATTAATGTCAACATCAAATATAAATATGAACATGAACGATATGTTGTTTTCGTCAACAAAATCATTGAATAAAGCAACTATTGATACTGCTGCACAAAATCTAGCTAATCGAATGAATCATACAGCTAGACGTGAAACATTGACACCCATTCAGATGCAACAACAACAACAACAACAACAACAGCAAATGACCGGTACATCATCTTGTATTGTAACAGCCAATAATGACATACCACAAACAGATTCTATCAATCAATCGAAATCAAACGTTAATGCTCATCAATCTTCATCATCAATCAGCAATAATAATAATGTCAATAACAAATCATACAATGATTATGATAATCGTTCAAGTTTAGGTGGTGCTCATCGTACAAGAAATTTGCGAAATTTACCAGGAAACGGGAGCCAATCATCAATGGTTTCAACATCTGTCAATAATAAGCAACAACAACAATCAATATATTGTTCATCATCATCAACATCATCATCATCATCATCATCATCATCATCTAGTGTACATAACCAGATTGTACCAGTTCCAACAAATGCAACTACCAATCGGAACAGTATTCATAGTGGACGAAATAATAATATTAATAATCAACAAAATACCAATGATCATCAACAATCAAATTCATTACAACAAAATTTTATGCAACAACCAGCTAATAAACCATTATTATATTGTGATTATAATGGTTGCAAATTTCAGACCAATATTCGACAACGTTTAGTTATGCATAAACGTGTTCATCTAGGTGAAATACTTTATCATTGTGATGTTGAAGGTTGTGGATATTTTTCCAATTATAAAGGCAACATTAAAATTCATAAAAAACATCGACATCGTTCAACAAGTTCGACCTATACAGGATCGACAACAACGACAACGGCAACAACAATTTCGTCTTCATCACCATCAATAACGAATCGTGCAACAACCAGATCAATATCGGCATTAGCAAATGAAGCACAATCACAACAAAATCAAACAATGAATGCAACAAATACACAGCAACAATCAACATCATCCTCGTATATGGATGATGTTGTTGATAATGGTAATAATGATAATACATGCGATTTAATTATGGATAGTGATCCAATTGTACCAAAACGCCGTGGTCGTAAACGTAAACAACGAATTTATTCAAATGATTCATTTCAACGACAACAACAACAACAACAACAGCAGCAGCAGCAGCAACAACAACAACTACAACAACAACATTTTGCATCAGGCAGCTATTCCAACATGAATGATGATAATAGTAATGGTAATATTAGTATGGATGATTCAATTACAGCTGAATTTGATTATGGTATGGATGATGTTTCATTATTTGTTAATGATCAATTTGGTACCGGTTCAGTTGGTAATAGTTTAATCGATAATAATATGATTGAATCATCATTTGATAAAAATCAATCTAATGAATATGAATGTAATGTAGATAATTGTAATTACAAGACACGTTGGCGTCAATGTATTATTGGACATCAATATCTACATGCTGGTATTAAACCATTCTGTTGTGATTATCCTGGTTGTAAATTTCGATCAAGTTTACGTACAAATGTTGATGTACATAAACAATCACGTCATCGAGATTTTTATCTAACACAACAACAAAGATTACGACAACGGCAACAACAACAACAACAACAACAACAGCAACAGCATCAGCTACAACCGCAACAACAACAACAAATGTCAACAAAATTATATAGATGTCGATATCGTGATTGTCAATTTTCAACACCTTGGTTTCAATCTCGTAATAATCATGAATCACGTGTACATCAACGGAATCCAAATTATGATAATAATTTGAAACTATTAATGAAAAATCAGATTAATAATCGACAGAATAATGGTATCGTACAACCGGATGATGATGATGATGACGATGATGATGAAGATGATGAATATTATAATGATGATTATGATCCTGATTATGATGAAATTGATGACGAAGTTTTAAATCAATTTAATGGTGGTACTATAATGAATGAACATATCGATAATAACAATAACAACAATAATGATGACAATAATGCAAACATTGATGGTAATGGTAATGATGAAAATGTTGAAGATGATGATGATGATGATGATGATGAAAATCCAGTTTTAATTATTGATTGTCAACAAAATCAACAATTAAATGATGATAATATTAACGTAATTAAAAGTGAATCATCATCATCACTAATAATAAATCAGAAAAATGATATCCATAACAACAATAGCCATAATAATAATATTGATGATGATGATGATGATGTCAGAAACAATAAAATTGTTACTGATAATGATAAGAATGTTGATTGAATGCAAAAAAATAAAATAAAAAATAATTAGCAAACAGGGTAAAAAATAATAATGAATTCGGTATTGAATTAATAGCCAATATCTACATTAAAAAAAACAAATTCATCAATACACACACACACACACATCCACTGCCTAATTGTATGGGGATACATAGTTTAAATTTTCATTGCTGGATCAATATTTCTTTTCATTTTAATATATATAAAAATGCCTTAGCCAAAACAAAACAATAATGATGATGATGATGGTGATTTTTTCAATTTTTCCATTATGGAATTCATTCATTCCTGGTATGTTTTTCTTTTTTGTTTAATTTAATTGATTAAATGACTGTTTTTTTTTTTTTGGTTGTTGTTGTTGTTTACAGATTCTCATCTCATTCATTTCATTCTGGATGATGAAATTCATTTGTCGTTCTTCCGCATTTCTTCAACACACACACACAAATCCAGATCCAAATCCACCTACCCGCACACACACACTCATCTATAAAAGACTCATTTGTACCACCAATAAATGACCGAAATTTTTTTTTTGTTTTGTTCTCTATTCATCATCAATTATTGTGTTTGTGTGTGTGTGTAATTTATATATTCGAATCTCATTGTTTTTAAACAACAACAAAACAAAACCAAAAACACAACATTTCTTTTCATTCCAGTAAATACAAATCTCTTTCTTTTGTTCATTAATTTATCACTTTTTTTGTACTATCAATGAAAAAAAAAAAAATAAAATTTAAATTTTTAAAAGTTTATAATCGAAGTATCACTGTATTTTTCGAAAAAAAAACAAAAATTCCAGTGGCAACATATTTTATGAAGGGATTCGAAAATTTTATTGCATAATGAAAAAACATATATAAACACAAATTTTTTGTTCATCATAATAATAACAATGAAAAATTGAAAATAAAATACGATACGATATGTTTTCATTTCATTTTCAAAATTTTCTGCCCATAGCTGAATATTTATGAAATTATTATTATATAATATATGTTATGGTCTCATCAATATAATATTCTCAATTTTTTTTTGGTTTCCTCCCAAAATAATACATCATTCCTAATCATCAGTTTTTTTCACACTTTATTCTTGTCATCAATATTTTGATTTCGTTAATTCTTATCATCAAATAAAAATACCATCATGGTAAAAGTTTTTCAAGTCAACAAATCTTCCACTTATCCATTCAATGCTGATTGGATGTCAAAATTGAGTGATAAAAAGAAACGGCAACCAATTACAGAGCTAATTATACCTGGTATAAGTTATGATTTGATTATTCATAATATATTGAAATTGATTTGATTTTTTATTTATTAATAATTAAAATAGGTTCACATGATTCCGGTGCATATAAATTGTTTACCGAACTAGGCATTGCAATCGACCGTCCTGAATTGAATACATTTTGGATTAATCACTTTTCATTCATCACATTCCCGATTATTAATCGTTATTCACAAACACAAAATCAAAATGTATTTGAACAATTGAAATCCGGTATAAGATATTTGGATCTACGTATCAGTTTGAATCCACTGGATGATGAATTCTATATTACACATAATTTCTATGGTCCACCATTATTGATTATTCTGTTTCAAATACGACGTTTTATTAAAAATTATCCATCTGAATCAATCGTAATTGATATACAACATGTATACAATGTTGATTCTGAAAATAAATTTAATCGGCTTATGGATTTGTTTCGAACAATTTTCCTCGATCAAATGTTTTTACATTCAAAGAAAACCGGTGAATCGTGTATACCATCCATACACGATATGGTCAATAATCGACGGCCAATTATGATGATTTATCGTGGTGATTATCATTCGAATGAATTGCCGGATTTTTTTTGGCCAAAAACTGCCATTTATAGTCCATGGCCAGATACACGATCTCCATCATTGCTTCAGAAATTTATCGACAAAATTCTAGCCACATCAATCGATCATAGTCGTTTGTTTGTCATACAAACAGTGTTGACACCGAATAATCGATTTGTAATGAAAAATTTTTGGAGTAGCTTACGTCGTTTATCTGAACCAATTGGTGAAATTATTACGAAATTATTTGCGAAATTCCACTCTAGTGATGATGATGATGATTATGATGATGAAGATGAAGATGATGTTCAACATGAAAAGATGAACAAAATCAATATTGTTATGTATGATTATATTGATCGTCAAACAAATAATGGACAATTTCTTATTGATCAAATTATTGCAGCTAATTTTAACGAAACTACTATTAATCATCATGACGAATTTAATTTGACGAAAAAAGAACAATAATTAGGCGCTTTGAATGAAAAAAAAATGAACCAAACAAATTCATTCTCATTTGAAATCGATTCTTTCTTCATATATAATTTGATTGATTTACATATCGATTGTTTTTTTTGAAATGTAATTGTGATTTTTTTTTTTTAAATTTTGCTTTATTTTTTTTTGTTTGCTTTTCATATAATTCATATATATGTGTTGTATGTGTGTGTGTATTTGAATTGATAATCAATCTCATGCTTTGATGTTTTTGAATTTGAATGTGATTTTAAGATAAATTAAAAAAATTTTTTTTTTCGTTATTTTAGTTGACTGTCTTTTAATGATGATGATGATGATGATGATGCATTTAAATTTGTCAAACTTTTTGCAAGTGTCCGATGATGATTACGATGGTGATGATTATTATTATAACGACGTTGATGATGATGATGATGATAATGATGATGAGGAGGATTTTTCTGTTCTTGTTGTTGTTTAGTTCGTTGATCTGATTGATGATTCAATGGTGAATGAACACTTTTAGCCGATAATGATGATGATTGTATCGAAATTTGATTGATTTGATTTCTATCATTTGTATTGATTTGATCGAAAAGTGCAGCTAATAAACTAATATCGGTTTGTGTAGACACTGTACGATTATTGCATCTTTTTGAACCGGCCATTCGACTTTCAAGACGTGGTAATTTTGCTGATGATAATGTTTTTCGTTCGATGCGATTTTGTTTACCATTATCATCATCAACATCGTTATTATCATTATCGGAATTATTTATATCTAGATAATTTATTAAACTTGCCACACTAGATGATCGACGCATTTTCATTGATTGCACTGATGGTGATTTCAATGATCGCCGATGATTATGATGATTATCATTATTTTCTTTTGTTACTGATTCTGTATGATGTTCTTTATCGAATTCTTCACGCATTTTTGCTTGCTGTAATCGAATTTTTTGATCCAATAATTCATTTTCAACACGTTCAATTTGTTGAACTCGATTCATTTTTTGACATTTTTCTTTCATCTGTTGTTCTAATTGTTGTTTATATTCACGTGCTTTTTGTCTTTTCTTTTCAACATCATCTATCGAAAATTCTGGATCTCTATTTCGTGCAAATCGACGATAATTCGTGGCTACCGTTTCACCGAATGGCCATGATGATGATGATGATGTTGATGGCCAGAAAAAATCCGAATCATTTGATTTTGGTAATTTAATTGTAGATGATGACGACGATGATGCTGATAATGATGGTGTTGAAATTAAATTCGCAGATTTTCTATTCATGGTCGATATTTCTTTATTATTTGATTGATTTTGATCATGATCACTATCATCTTTATGTTGATTATTATGATTAAAAATTGTAGACAAATCATTTGATGATTTTGAACATTTACGACGATGATTATTATCCGTCATGATTATTTTCGGTGTAAATGATTTATCTAAATTTTGATTGGTCAAATTTATTGATGATATTGATTTTTTTCTTTGTTGACCAATAGAATTATCATCATCATCATTGTTATCATTTGTTATTGGTCGAATCATTTCTCCATTATTTAGATCATGATTATTATTACTAAATATGATGAATTTCTTTAGATTTTCCAATAAACTATTCAAATCTTGTGGTGTAGAATTCATTCTGAATTATTTGAATGGAAAAAACACAACAATGACAATTAGTCAAACACAAGTAAACAAACGAATAAAATCAACAAAACCTGCTTGATTCTGATTCCTGTACTTTTTTTTCTCTTCACCTATGGTTACCATGGTTATTTCAAATCAAATCACAAAAAAACAACAATTTGTATGCATGCGCTCAGAATATTCTTCTGATTCATTCAATTCAAAATAAATGTAAAATGAATTGAAAATTGTTAACATTAAAATCTTGCTTATAACATGTGAACAATTTCGTATATACATCCATGTGAATCTAAAGTGCAACAATGACAAGTTCCTTAACGTTTTGATGTTCTGAGAAAATCCCGATCCATTTCATATGATGATGATGATGATGATGTGATGGGAAAAAAATGGACGAATAAATTAATTTTCGGATTTTTTTTCATATTAAAATACGACAAAAAATGATGAGTTCATTTATGGTTTTATCTTGGATAAAAGTCTCACGAGAGTTTTAATTAAATGATGATGAAGATGATTATGATGACATAAATGAAATTATACCATGGATTTCAAGTGAAAGTGAAAGAGAAAATTTTTTTTTTTTTTTGAAACAAAATGAGAAATCTTTTCGTTTGTAGAAAAAAAAGGTTAAAAAAAATCATCACGAAACATTTGACCAACAATCTTCAAGTGAACAACAAATACAGTTTTCAATTCAGTTAAAATTGAATAATGATTTGTCTATCACGAATGAATTCATTTTTATGGATTAGTATTGGCCTAATACAATTATGGTCAATAATAATGACAAGTGAATCGGCAATTCATCTTGTGAAATATGGCCGTCGTAATCCATTAAAGCCCAAATCCACACGAGCATTATTGAATAATGGTATGGAAAAATTTGATAATTCAACAATTCAAACATTATTTCGTAGTGGTTCACTGGATAATGTTGATGGCAATGTTCATCTTATCACCAGTGTATCGAATCAAACATCATTGATTAATGGCTTTGAACGATTCACCAATGCCGATAAGAAGAATGATATTATTGATGATTTGAATAAATCAAAATCAAAATTGGTCCATTCATTCAACGACGACGACGACGCGGCGACGATGACAAAAATTTTAATGGAAAAGACATCGATCAATCCGATGAATTTTACCGCTAATCGTGGATCATTTGGATTTCGAAAACCAAAATCAACAATTTCGAATCGACAATAAATTGAAATTCAAAACATTCAAATTGATGTATTTTTTTTTTTTAGATTTTCACAAAAAATTTATTCATATCGATTAATTTTAATTTTTAAGGAAGAATAAAATTTCACAAAAAAAATCATTATGGCTTGAACATTATTCAGGTTTCAAATTTGAACAGCAGTTGTTTGTTTAATATTTATTTAATTAATTAAAGTTATAATATGGTAAGCCTTTCAAATTGTAAAATGGGCAATCAGTAATCAAAATCTCCACGTTTACCACGCATTTTCGAACGATTCATTTCACGATTTTTACGATTAGTTTCATGTTGATTTCTCTAGTAGTTTTTAAAATGATAAAATGTTTTTTTAAAATATTGATTGATTATGATGAATATGAATCAACTTACGGCATTTAATTTAGTGTTTTTAGTATTCAACACTTGATCCAATAAAACTGGACCCAGTTCAAATATATCTCGTAGCATTGGATTTTGTGATAGATGTAGATTCATACCTGAACCGAGTACCGAACAAAATGTATCATAATAACGTTTCATTTTCCATGAATCAATTTCCAATTTTTCGCATCCAAATTTAATTGTTTCAGGCCCATATGAATCACCTTCAATTGTACGAAGAATTTGTCGGAAATTTGATCGTTGTGTACGAAGTTCTTTTTTCGATTTTGATTTCTGTGAATCAGTTGCTAGTTGACTGAATTTCTCACGTAATTCATGTATGTTGAACAAATGCAAATCTAGATCATTTTCCATACAATTTTCATATAACAATGCAATACATTCACCGGCAGCTAAACGTAGCTCTAAATGACTTGATTCCAAACATTTGATCAATTTATTCATATCTGGTCCGATTAATTCGGCAACAAATTCATCATCAGCAATGGTAGACAAAAAATTGAACATATTCAGGCACATTGCTTTCAATAAATTGACGGCCATCAATTGATTGGCATCTGGATGACCACGTACAGGCGAAAAGGCAATCAATAACAATTGGTTCGACAATTCGGCAATTTTTTCCATTCCATAATCGGTAATGAAACAACCCAAACTGAGGATGAATAAAAATAAATTTTTACAATCATACAATTGAATTAATATTGATCAAAATACCTTAAAGCTGTGGCTGCTCGTGATCGAACCAATGGTTTTGCTGTTGGATCAATCAAAATCCGTTCAATGTGGCCATATATTGAACGGAAAAAATCATCACATTCATCACCAATGGTAATCAATGTCAAGCTAAGAATCAAGGCAGCCGAACCGCTTTCATCACCAAGTCGTTTTATGCCATGTTCAATCACTTCTTGAAGTGTCATTTTCCTAATTGAAAAAAAATGATCAGCGGTTTCTATTCTGAAAAAAATCCATTACCTATTGTCAAGATAATCATCACCAAGATATCTAGTTTGAAAAGCTTTCACCAATGAATCATAATGACGTAGACGATCTTTTTGACTTTTAGTTGATTGTAATTCTTCCAGAACCATCGATAATTTCGATGCAAAATCATCAAAATGTGCGACACCATCTTCATTGCCAACGATTGTACCATTAACATCTTCTTCACAATAATCAGGGCTTTGTTGTCCACTAAGAATACCATCATCAAGATCATAACGTGCATTTGGATGTGATGCATTAGAATAAATCGATACAATTGATGCTGCATCATTCAATACAGAATCATTATCTGAACCATTATCATCAATGATTTGTTTGGTTGGATGACCTACACATGGGAAACCAATTATAAATCAAATTTCCATAAAAAAATTTTTACTTACGTTTTGAATATCGATTATTCGATTTACTTGAATCACGTTTTCGACCCATCTCGAATTGGCAATAATTTACCACTCTCCTCTCTCACAAACAGACACACGCACAGATAAAATTTATAAAATTTCAAATTCAAAAAAAAAAACAACCACTACGAGGAGAGAGTGACAAAAAAAAGAGACGCACAATGAAAAATTGTTTTCTTTCAAATGTGAAATTTGATGTGATTAATGAGTGTTGTTCAAGTTTCCCTTCCCCCTCAAAAAAATAATGTTAAAGGAAAAAATTTCAAGTTTTTTTTTATATTTAATTGTTGTTGTCGTTGCGGTGGTAATGGTTGAATTTTCAGCAAAATAATGTCTATATATATATATGTTTGTGTTTCTTTCAATTGAAATGATAAAATAATTTTAAAAATTGAATAAAAAATGTTCAAACCTAGACTATTCTGTTTTATTATTACTATAAATTAATAAATATAAATTAAATTAAATTAAATTAAGAAAAAAAAAACGAAAGAATGAACGAATCTCTGACTAAAATGAACAATAACCAAAACCAAAAAAAAAAAAAAAAAAAGAAATTTAGCACGTGCACAATACAGAGGGCCGTTGTTGTTTTTGTTGTTGTGGTTGTGATTGTTGTAATGGCCACCAATAATAATTGTCATTGATTTGTTTCAAATGATTATTGTTTATCATATGGATTGATTGTAATAATAATTGTTGTTGTTGTTGATAATAATAAAATGGATATGAAAACCAAATATTCGAATGATAGTTTTTTTGTTGGTCCATAAAATATTGACCATTGTTTTCATTGTATTCTTGATGTTGTTGTTGTTGTTGTTGTTGATTCTCCCAATTCTTCTTCGTATTGTTTTTGGGATAATTTTCTAGAATAAAATGATTGTTATGGATAAAATTTGTAGAATAATTTAGATTCGGAAATCGATTCAAATGGCAAATTAGCATGTTGGTGTTTTTTTTTTGTTTTGTTTCTTTTGTTGTTGCTGTTTACGTGGCCTAGGCAAATTGATGAAAATATTACTTTGAAATCAGATAAAAAAAACAAAGTTCAAATATCGAGATATAATTGAATGAAAATTTGTTTTGTTTTTTTATTTTGAAATTCAAGAATTTTTATTTTCAATTCTAAAACGTAGAAACAAACAAACGAACAAACGAACGAACGAAAACACACAAACGCACACGTGTACAACACAAAATGGAAATGGGTAACAAAAAAAAATGGATCCAACAATTGAGAGAAGGCTGAAAAAAATGCTACTAAACTGGCAATGACGATATAAAATAAGAGACAAAAAAAAACGCGAGTGGTCGTGTTGAATCCAATGTTGATGATTGGCCACCATTACAAAAAACAAAAAAATCCAGAGAAAACTGGAAAAAACTTCACATACACTATACGCTACACTGTGTATATGCAGAGAAAGTGGATTGTGTGAGCAAAATAAAACAGCGTGTATTTTTCCACAACCAATGGATATATAAAAATGTTATGAATGTGAAGATCATACTCTCTCTCTCTCTCTCTTGTGTCCTTTATATTTATCTTTGTATTCAATTTGGATTTCCACACACACACACACACACACATATATGTGTATCCAATGGAAATGGAGTCGAATCCATCTATCCTCCTCTATATATATTTATATTATATCTTCATCATCATGTACATTGATTTTGATGAAACAAAAATAGGAAAAAAAAACAATTTAACATTGATTTTAAATGGTAATCTGTCCATATTATTATTGCTTTACACACCGTTTATGATGACGATATAAATAAATGATTTAATTGCAATCATAAAATTGATATATATATATCTATGACATTTAGGAATCTCAATTATTATAATCACCATCATTATCAATTATATTCTTTATTTTTTCACAATAAACGTTTTTTAGCCACGTTTACATTCATTCATGTATGTGTATAACAAACACATCAATCGATGATGAAAAAAAATTTTCAATGATGACGAAATTTAAACGTTTTGTTTGATCTTTTCTCTCCTGAGGATATCTTTGCATTGAAATCATTTTATTTTCAATAATAAAATTTTTAAGGCACATGTATAGAAAAATTGATTGATTTATATAAATATAAATAATAATATAATATCTGAAAGAATTTGAGAGAGTGTGAAAAAAAAATCACGAATACAGAATGATTATAAAAAAAAATTTTCAAAACAAAGAAAAAAATTGGGAGCAAAATAAAAATGAAAAAAAAATACTAATAATAATTTAGAAAATTCACACTTCGATAGCATTCGTATGTTTTTGGCCATCTTTAGTATAATAACGATCAATAATGGAAAATATATGATTATTATGATCATTGGTTCGATTAGTTGGCACTATATTCGTTTTCGATTGTCCATTTGAATGATGATTTTGAGGAATTGAATTTTGATTTTTTATATATGACGATGATGATGATGATGATGATGATGGCAGTGGTGGTGTTTGTATTGGTGATGATGATGATTGTATCATCATAGTATTATTATGATGATGATGATGATCAGCAATATTATTTGCTGACATTGTTATCGTTGGTGATGTTGATGATGGTGAACAAAGTTCACGTTTTAATTGTTCAACACGTTGTTTTGCTTCTGTTAATGATTGTTGTAATAATAATGGATTCTGTCGATATTGGTGGCTTGTCATTAGTGGTGGCGGTGGTGGTGATGATAATTGACCATAATGATTATGATTCTTATTATAGCTTGGTATGGCCACCAATGATTGCATCGATGATGTACGGCTATTATTATTGTTGTTATTATTATTGATATTGTTATTAATATGAGAATAATTATTTCCAATCGATTGTGATGAAATTGCTGACCGTATTGATGATAATGGTGGTGGCATTGATGGTAATGCAGGAGGTAAAATAGAAGCTGGTTGTGGTGTTGCTGATAATAATGATTGATCAAAAATCGTATCAATAGTAGGATGGCTAACATTGTTTGTCGTTTGATTATATAATGAAAGGTTAGCATAATTATCCAGATCATCATTACTATTATTATGTTGTTGATGTTGTTGTCTTGAATAACAATCGATGACAGCATAAGCAGAATTTTCATCAAATTGTAGATTAATCTTATTGATTGATCGATTATTAGTATTTACGGTAGTCGATTGCTGGTGTTGATTCGTATTATCACCATTAATGTTTAAATCATCAATTTGAATATTATTAATAGCCAAAGCTAAATCATTTCGATTCATATAATCATTTTCAACAGCAGTCACATTATTATTACTAGTATTGGCCATTTCATTTATCGATATTGATGAGTGATTAGCAGCAGCAACCATAGATTCTGTATTAGAATAAATTTGTTGGTCTTGTTGTTGTTGTTGTTGTTGTTGCGTTGATGTAATTTGCTCATTTTCATTTACAGCACTAGCCTGTTCAAGATAACCGATAACCATATTGGCCTGTACAGCTAACCATTCAATTCTTGGATCATCTAATTGATTGATTCGTCGTTTATGATCGATAAAATAATTTCCCAATAATGGATGACATGCTTGTTCCCAACCAACAGGTAATTCATCACCAATACAATCAGCAAATGTAGCCGGTTTTGTATAGCTATTGTTGGAACGAAAAAAAATTTAATGTTTCATGTGTTGTCCGAAAAAAATCACTTACACATCACGTGGATCAAACCATTGTGTTTCTCTATTATTATGATTAACAAAATATTTTCGACCTGATTCAGGATCGATAGCATGTTCCCAATCTTGTGGTAATGGCATTGTATGATTATCATTAATTATTTGACCATTGTTAACAACAACATCATTTCCAGTGATACCATCATTTAACGTCATTGATGAATTATTATTATTATTATCATTGGAAAGTTGAATATTATTATGACTAATTCGATTATTATCAGCTATTGATAATGGTGTTGAAAAATTCTGGTTATTATTATTAATCTGTTGTGATTTCGCCGTATTATGGAATGTTGTGGAAAATGGTTGTGAAAATTTGCTAGTTCCAATTGTTCGATCATTATTATTATTATTATTATTATTTATATTGTTGTTAGAATTTATCATTACAGGTGATATAACATCTCTGGATGAAAATTTATCCACCGTATTATTATTAGTCCATGATTGTCTTGATATTAATGATGATGATGAGGTATTCATTGGTTGTTGCGGTTGTTGTTGTACATATTGATGAGGATGATGATAGAAATGACCAGCATTTCGATTAATAATATCATATTGGCCATTATTATTAATCAATAGGTTACAATTATTATTAACATTTAATGATGACATTGTTCAATGACTATCGAAATCAAAAAAAAACAACAACAATAAATTATTTGAATGAATCAATAAAATTCCAATACATACCATCCATATAAATGGAAATTTTTCCAACATCTGAAGAAAAAAAATGGGATAAAAAAAATCCTGCAAGAGTTATGAAGAATGTGTTTCAAAGGTTAAACACAGAAAACAAAACAAGAGAACCATAAAAAAAGAGAAAAAACGATAATAATGGATGAATGAGATGATCACAAAAAAAAACATTTGATGATGATGATGATAATTTTATTTTGGGGCGTTTTGTTTTGTTTTCGTTTCCCTGGAGCGTTTTGTTTCTTGTGGTTTTCATTGAATTATCTCATTTTTTGTTTGAATGTATGAAAATAAATCTTCTTGATGATGATCACAGATTGGTTTCAATCAGGAGAAAAAAAACTGAAAATTAATAAATAAATAAAAGATTTTTTTTTATTGTACAAGAAAAAAAAATTGGAATGGACAAATTCAGAATTTGGAATCCGGGAATGAAAATTATTTTTCAGAATAGGAATTTTTTTTCATTCTATATATAGAAAAATGGAAAAAGAATCTTTGATTTGTGCTCACAATGTGGCGTTCATCAATCATCAATGTATTATATTACGAATAGCCGCGTAATCTAAAATGGTAGTGGTTCATAAAAATGAATTTGATGATGAAAATCATATACCAGAAAAAAAACCAATTATAGTAGTGGTAGCATTTTTTATACAAAAAAGAATAAAAAAAAAATGGAATTTGCTACAGTATTTTTACCCATATATATTTATGAATGCAGACCGCAAATAAAATTCCCAATATGAACCGAATAATTGAATAAATTGAATTTTGTTTGATAAATCCGATAAAATACTGTATATAATTTGTAGTGGTATAATAAACACAGATATGTCCAAAAAAAAAAAAAAAATGTCAAAACACCAGGTGTGGTATCATATTGGTAGTGGTCTATGTAATAGTGGTGAGGAAATTATTCTTTTGTTACAATGAGATGTGTGTGTATTGTGTGTAAAATTATTTCACCAAAATTGCATGAATGAATTTTAGAAAATAAATAAATTACATATTTATAGAGAATGATGATGATGAAAATACGATGATTTTTGTTAAATATTTTAAATGTTTCCAAAAAAGAATTCATATCAAACAAACAAAAAATTTGAATATAAATATACAATCTTTAAATCTGAAAATTAAATTTTGGCGCAATTTTCAACCGGCAACATAATATTATAATTAAGAAATATAGAAATGTCGACAACATCGATAATGATTGATAAAAATAATGATGATGATGATGAAAAATGTGGTAATGATGATGATCAATCGAACGAAATGGCCTTATTTCCTGGTATAACCATATCGACATCATCCAATTCTTCGACAATCATGAAAAACAAAAATGATGATGATGACAACAACAATAACGATAATATTCCTATAATTACAAATATAAATTCAACAACATCGACATTGACAACCGAAACAATTGTTGACAATGATGACAAGATGATTGTTGAAACGACACCACTAAAACAATCTGAATCGCAATCAGAAACGATACAAATGAAACAAGAAAATGTTGATAATACTAATGAATCGAATGAATTGATCGATAATAATAGTAATAATGTAAACATACAACAACAACAACAGCAGCAGCATCAACATAAATCAAATATGTTACATTTTAAGAAAGCTTTAATATACTCATCAACAACAACGACGGCAATAAATTCATCATCACCATCAAAATCGAATACATCCTCATTATCGGATCAATCATCATTATCATCATCATCAGATCATATCAACAATATATCATCGAATGAGATTAGTGATCAACAACAAATTCAACATGAAGAACAGAATACCGATACAACAACAACAGCAACAACAAATGTACATAATAATGAATCAGAACGTTATGAATCACAGAATCATTCCGAATCATTAACGAATATCATTCAAACACATAATGATGACGATTTCGATGATATTGATGAGGATGCTATTGATGATGATGATGATGATGATGATGTTATTGGTGGTGATGATGAAGATGAAGATGATGAAATGATTATCAATAATCATCCTGATATGATTGATGATCATTATGATGAAGATGATAACAAAACACAGACGGCTGATCATTCAATCGATGAACATGATGATGAAGATAAAGAACCAATGGATATGATGGTAGATGATTCGATTGCCAATAGTAGCGGTGCTGATGATGATCAATCTTCAACAATGACTATTGGTGTGTCAAATACATCAATGAATATTGGCGATTCAGCCACGAATGTAACGCCATCATCAGTATCATCATTAGCATCACAACAACCAATGTTCAACAATTCAGTGACACCCACATCGACAGCAGCCAATACGATTATTCCACCTATACCACAAGTTATCACACATGTTGGCAGAAAACCATTGAATGGTCCACCATGTAGCCTAAAAACATTGGTCGATGATGGCATTCTGGAACCAATGGATGGATCATTGACATATGAAATTCTGGTTAGTATGATTATCCAGATCAATCATTAATTAATCATCATTTGTTTTGTTTGTTTAGGGAGCAAAATTTTTCGGTGATCTATTAGCTAATGGTTTTATTCGAATGTCTGGTACAAATCAAGTATTTGCTAATCCTAGTTCTTGGGCCAATTATTGTCGATCAACTATACCATCAACAAGTAAAGATCATAAAAATTATGGTAGCGCATGGTCAATTATTCGATATCTTGGCAAACGGCTTGATTCATATAAATTACGTTGGTATCGAAAACAAAAGAAACAATTCGTTGGTGGAACAACAAATGGTCAAAATTCTACATCAACAATCGGACCCATCACTGTAGCCACAACTACAGTGGTAGGTGGTGGCACTCCTGTAAATCATAATCATAATAACAGTATTCAAATTGCTGTCAGTAATGCTGGCATGAACACAACACCCACTACCTGTAAAACAATAAATCGTAATCAATCAAATGTAGGTGTTGTCAATACTACAACAGGAATCATAACGCCTGTCGGTAATACAACGTCAACAGTTTCTATTGATGGAAATTCTTCGGCCACATTGATACCGTTTTCAAATGGCAAATTCAATCATCTTAATAGTAATGGCAATTTCACTCCGATTACCCAGCATTCATTTGCACCGAATCATTTTTCAACACCCATACAATATCCTCGTGGTAGTGTGGAATATAAAAATATATACTCAATGATTAATCGAGGTATGATTCAATTTTTTCTGTCAAAATTAAATATTTTCCATATATTTTAAATATAGATCGACTTTATAAGCTCGACAAAATTAGTGCTGGTGATCCGGAAATTTCTGGATTGGAAAATATTTCCAATGAAAATGTTATCAATTTCAATTCAATCGATTTAAATAACAAAGATGTCAATCTGGATGATCGAACTAAAGTTGCCTGTGTACCATTCAATTCAGTGTTTTGTTTACAGCCATTTTTAGTTACCATTTCAACCAATGTATTGTTGTTGATTGATTTTCATTCACATTTGATTTCAACCGAAGTAACAGGATATTTAGCTGGTTTATGGGATCCACGTGCACAACATTTAACCATTACACAAGCATTTCCTCTACGATGTAAAGCATCAAAAGAATTTGAATCTTGTACATTGAAAATTAAACAGAATCTAGTACAAAAAGGCTTAATATTGGTCGGTTGGTATCATAGCCATCCACGTACAGTACCTCATCCTTCCATTGCCGATATAAAAAGACAACTCAAATATCAGAAACAAATGTTAATGACCAAAAAAGATGTACGCGATTATTCACCATGTGTTGGTCTAATTTGTTCACCATTCTATCAGAATACTGAAGCTACTGAAGCAACCACCAAATTAACTACATTATTTCAAATGTTCTGGGTAATGCCAATATTCACCATGGGTAATCGTAATATTGGTCGGCCAATGCAGATTTCATACCAGATTGCTCGCGATGCCTTTCTCACACAAGATTTACTCGTCGAAATGGTAAGTAAATCGATAATTTTTTTTTTTGAAAAACAAATCAATAATAATAGTGTTTGAAATTCTGTTTTCCTTAATTCAATAGCGAATTTTAGCCGCTCATTTTGCTGTACATCAAAAATTCATAAAATTCAATGATACATTCCAAGGTGAATCAACAAGTTATTGGAATAAATTACAAGAATCATTGAAAACAAAATTACCTCGAGATCTAGTTGAAACACAATCACAAGCAGTACAAAATGATATTCAACAACAAGCTTTGATGCATTTTTGGTCATTTTTAAAGAATCTATTGCTTATCTCTTCATGATTTATGATATTCATCGATGTTGATGATGATCAATTTGATTGACAAAAAGAAGAAAAAGAATAAAAAAAAATCCATTATATGCATATGCATGATTCTAATTTGATATATATCTATTTTTTAATATTATTCATCGCTCGACTTTTTTTTGATATTTGTGGTAAATTCAAAATATAAAGTATTTATATTTATTCTTGAACACATTTATAAATTATAATAGAAAATTGAATGATAATAAAAATATGATTTTTTGTTCAATGATAATTACGTCTTTATAATAATAATAATGATGATGATATATATATGGTGGATATAAATTATGTATTTTTTTTGTAATTAAAAAAAAATTATTCACATCCACCATTATCTAACCATCATGATAATGATGATGATTATGTTGATGGTTAGATATAATGGTGGATATCCACTATTGATCCATTATTGATTAATCAATAATCAATATCCACCATTATATCTAACTATCATGATAATCATCATCATTATCATGATGGTTAAATAATGGTGGATGTGAATAAAAAGAAGACTATATTTATAAAATCACAAATTAAATGAAACAATGATCAAATGACAATTTTGTAAAGATTTCATAAAAATGTGGATGTCCAATAAGCAATTTCAATAACGTTATTGATGGCTGTAAACCTCTGGTTTTAATTGTAATAAATTCCAAATTAACTTTTTTAAGATTCCAACCAAATACAGAATTTCGGCCATTAATTTTTCGATCATATTTATTTGGTATCTTAATATCTTTTAATCCACCAGTCAAAATTTTCCATTTTAATTTATCTTTCTCGTTCTATTATATATATATAGTGTTTATCAAATCATTAAAAAAAATGAGAGAAAAATTAAACAATGCATAAAAGATTATATATTATATATAAATAGCACATACCAATGATAAAAAGCAATTAAAATAACGTTGGTCCAATATTGAAAATTCAAAGTAACGATAAAGCTTTTCTTTACGCATGATTATATTATTGAATAATCGATTAATGTGTTTCAAGTTCATGTCAATAAAATCAGCTTTAGTAATATTAAGCAGCGTTTCATTTGAAACATCACTCATAGATGAGCCAATATGTCCAATGAATTTGGATGCAAACAAAGCATATGGTAACAGTAAAATTTGTTCGATTTTCGATTCAATAATAAATGTATTCACTTCATTACATAAGGAATGTAAATGTCGAAAAAATTCATCGATTAAATAGAAAATATCTTGATAACAATGATCTTCATCTTTTTTGAATGATTTTTTAATAGCAATTGAATCGATAACATCCTATGAAATAGTAGACGAAATGAAACAATTAATCATCAATGTTAAATATTATATATATAATTAAAAACCATACATACATGAATATATTGAGCAAGAAATAATCGTAATGGCATTGGTGTTTTTGAATCAAATTTCACGGACAAATTTTCAATATTTTTATAGTTTTTGAAAAAATTTTCTTGAAATTTTTCCATCCAACAAAGTATGAATTTCGTAGACCAATCGATACATTCCTGATAGGAAAATTGAATCATTTTATTCAATGATGATTGATCTTCATCTGTTGTTACAATTGGCTCAACAGATTTATTTAGATTGATGTAATAAGCCAAATTGATCAATTCATTGGATATCATGAATGGTAAACCAAGCAATGGCCGTTGTTTATAATGATATTGAAATAAAGTTGATTTCTCGAAACAAATCGCATACCAAGCCGATGTTAAAAGATGTTTTTGATATGGATTTTTTCCAGCCGATTGTCTAGCATAAACACCTCGAATATGATCGGAAAGATCGTGAGATAAATAAGTTGCAACTTCGGGACGTTTTTCATATAAATCCGATAAAAATGCAGCTTCTGAAGCAATGCCCATCGTTTCCATTGTTTCCACAATACGATAATAGTATTCTTTGAATGCGTTATTAGCCAATGTTTTATATTTTTCCCATCCTGTTGATTTGAAAAAAAAATTCTATAAAATTTTACATAAATTTCAAATATTCAATCTAACCTGGAAGGATTAATTCTTTCTGTGGTTCAATATATTCCTGTAAATCTGGTGATAATTCATCAGCATATAAAACAATATTTTCGATCAGACAACACTGTCGATAGAATTCGCCAAGAATATTTCGAGATAAATAATTATTTTGTCTCAATTCTAGTTTACTCATGAAATCAGGCCGTATAAATTGTTTATCCGCATTATATTCACTGTTGAGATTGGATTTTTGTTTTGTTTTGAATTTTAATTTTTTTCACAAAAAAAAAATACAAATTGGAAAAAATATATACTCACCGTTCCAATTTAGCGTTGATACCATTTTTCTGAAAATCCAATGATTTACTGTATTCTTTAGCCAATTCAATACATTCCCCAGATAGTAATCCTTGAGGATGAAAATCTGCAAACATTAGATGACAATTGGCTATTCTACCCAGATTTGATTCAGTCAAAAATTCTATATAAAAATCGATCATGTCAGATGCTTTGACAATATTCGCCAAATCTGGTCGTTGATGACTTTCAAAATCTAATGGTTCATGATTTTTACCAGGAAAAATTAAATCATCATCCCAAAAAATTGCATATTCATCGCCATCTAAATCTGAACCAGCCATTTCATCAGTATGTGGACGGTTTCCTTTTGCTGGAAACACCAGACAATCTTTGATGTGTTTCAAATCTGGTACATTAACCGCTTTGAATTTTCTAACATCTCCCATAGAAGTGCATGGAAATTTGGTAACCATGATTTCACCTTCAATAATTTTAGTTTTTCCTGTAGGTACACCGTCATTGTCCAATATACTGTATTGGAAAAACATTTCACCAGAATTTAGTTGTTTTGTCTCATCGAGCACACCAAATGCCGAACGACCATTAGATTCGGGAATTTTAACTCTAGCTTTTGTTTTCAATTCTTTTAATCGAAAAATCATTACATGTTGCAAAATGGTACGGAGAAATGGCTCGTTGATTAATGAAAATCCTGAATCCAACAATTTGTCAAATAAAATGGCAAAATTCGGATAGTGATTCAATAATTTCAAGGCCGATTCATTCGTTAACATTGCTTCCATTATAATTTTCGTATCACGATTAAAATATTTATATAAAGTTTCCTTTACACCTTTTTGATATAATATGTTGATCAATGAGCGACATAAATGAACTGGGCGTGGATACGAATAGCTCAAAATACCGAGTTTAGGATCTTCTGCCTTATACTTTATTTGGCTATCTCGATAAATAATGTGGTTATCTTTAATTTGATAACTAACCAATACTCCTTTGTGGCCGCCATGACGGAATTGAAATGCAGATGGAACATATTTAAACAAATTTGGCAGTTTTTCAGCTATATCAATAGCAATGGTTTCGGAAATAAGTCCACAACCATCGGAAAAGCAATATTTTTTATCTTCACTATAAATTTCTTCGGTTTTAACAACATTTGCATTAGAAAGATCATGATATATGATTGCTTGTGAGAAAAGCAAGCCTAAACGAGCCATCAATTTGGATGGATTTCGTGCATATTCTTTTAAATTTCCTGCATTAGCTATTATCGTTTCAGCAGTACGATTTTCATCATCTTTTGCATAGAAATTAATTCCATTTTCTCGCATCTGACTGGGAGATGCACCCAAAAACTGATAATCACGATTCGAGATAAGAAATCCGTCTTCTAATTTTTTCTTAAATGTTTTCTTGTGAAATTGAATTGTATCATCAGAATTTGAATTAAGCACTCCATTATTATCTTCTAATATTGTGAATCGAATGGCATAATCCAAATTGGCCATATTACTGAAACGTGATCTCAGCATTGGCATTTGGCGACAATATTCTAAACGTGTTGGAGTTAGAATTGCTTTTCGAATCATTACATGGACATCTTCATTAACAGATTCGTTTGATGGTTTGATTTCACCATCTTCAAGAATTTGGTCAAATTCGGTTGAAATATCAAAAATTGGACTATTACAGCTTACACTTAATTTGAATAAATAAGGTTCAATATTGCATTGATTACTCAATGTCTGCAAACGCGCAATAAATGTAGGTAAATCTGGACCTAAAAAATCGATTACCTATGAAATAAAAATAAAATAAAGTTACAAAAGTTCATCATGAATTTCTACGTTATATTTTTTAATACAAACTTTATACGATTTTGACAACAAAACGCGACATGCATAATTGTTTCGAAAATTTTGCGAAAAATATCCATCGACCAGATCATAAGCTTCTTTCATTGTGTAGAATTTTTTCTCGATAATATGACATTCTTGAACCAATCCAATGTACAATTGAAAACTCGGATTTATCTCTTTGCAGCGATAACAAAGATAGGAAAATGCTTTGTTCATCTGTAAATAGACATCAATTTGATATGATAAAGCATTGCCCAACAAATAAGGATCATCAATTTCAGGAGAAAACGAAAAGCTAGCGGAAAAATCTGCAACACGTATATAGCGATTACTATTGTTGTTGATGAAAAGGAATGGTGCTGCATTCAATTCCAAATAGAATCGTTTACATAAATTATAATTTTTATCTATAAGTATGTATTTGATGGTTCCAAAACGAATTTCCATTTTATAACTGAACAAATATTAAAGAAAAACAAGGTTAATTTTAATGGTTAAAAAATATTCAATTTATCATTACTTACCAATAATGATTGATGATAAAATAAAAGTTTAGACAACTTTTAAAGAAATCAATTTCCATTTTCATTCCAGAACTTATTGATGTAGGCGAACTTTGTAAATGCTTTACGAACGTTGAAAGATTCAATAATGATCCAATGGAAAATGAAGATAAATGTGAAGAAAATTCATTCAAATCTTCATTATCATCAACATTATTATATTCATCTTCCATTTGTTTCATTGTATTCCATGGAAGTTCCAAAATCGTTCCATGAGATTTTACAATTTGAAAATAATTTTTAAGGAAATCACTAACTAATACTAGTGAACCCTTTTCCAATTTATCAATAAAGTTTGTACGTAATCTATACACAAATAAATATTAGGAAAAATTTCATTTATTTATTCAAATACTTACTTGATTACAAATTCATTGTCAAAACAAGGTTGAATTATTTCAGCATTACATTTGACAGCGGCGGCTATTTCTTCAATCAGCTTTTCGGCGCCATCAATTTGTAATTGTCGTTGCGAATTTCGATCTAATATTTTTATCAATGTCATTTGCATTGATGGTTTTGTCAGCGGTTTCTTTCCGATGACATGAGATGCCATTTTGTTCTTGTCAAACAATGACGATCGTAATAAATCCAATATTCGATTTGCAATAAATGTAAAGATACGATTCAATAATCGAATCATTCAAAATTTATATAATCAATCTATATATTTTCAATATAATCATAGAAGAGATCCAGAAACGAAACAAATAACGCAAGCATATAGATGAAATTTAATAACAAAAAATAGAAAATGAAAAAGAAAACCAAATTAAAAAATAATGATGATGATGATGACGATGATTATCAGGACATTCCACTTATTTATCTTTTAGATTGACGGTAATAATAAAAAATCGAATTTCGAGAACAATCGAGAATCACATTAACATTTTGACATACAACATATCACACATTATCCTTATCCTTATCAATCGATGATTATAAGAGAACTGTCATTTCGAAATGATGCAATAGCAACAAGTCACTCTATATTGATTTATCAATAGGCAAAGTAGGGAAATCATATTTGATGATTGATACATGGTTATTATGTACAAAATTGATTGGATTTTGATACAATTATCAACTATGAGACAATAAATGTTTGAATTTGATTTTAAAAAACATTCAATTTTTTATAAATAAAATTTAAAAAATTAACTCATTCATAATAATAGTGAAATTTGAATAGCAAAAAAAAAAAAAAAAACAATAACAAACTATATCGACATCTTGTGGTGGAAAAAATGAATAATTTATCCCAAAAATATTTTAATTCGATGATGATGATGATGATGATCAACCACTTGGTGGTGTTTCAATGGAAGACAAAAAAAACTGAATTAATTTAAATCATAGACAATATATATATTGATCATCATCAAAATTGTAATTAAATTGAAAATAATCACATAGAAACAATGACAATCATCATCTAAATGATTTCAGACAATGAAAAAAGGATACTAAATTCAGACACATTTAAAATTCATATATATTCACAAAATGCAATCGCCAATAGAAAAATTCCTATATATATAGCCAGTTTATGGGGAAAAAAAAGTCAATCATTAAAAATCGAGGAAATGAATGAACAAAAATGGATTATCAATGAAACTGGATCATTAATATAACAAAATCCAGTAACAAAACAATCTTTTGAGTTATCAGTGAATCAAAATTAAGCAAAAAAAAAAAAAAAAAAACATAGCCAATCTATGATAATATGAAATTGGTTAAACAGATACGTTTTATATTTACATAAAATGGCAACACAATTTCGATTGAGGTTAATGTAAACAAACACAAATGATAAAAACAAATCCAAAATACAAAAAAAAAACCGTCCATCATAATTATTCGAAATCATATTATACTAATATATGAATCTGACACTAAAAGATGGCGCTATCAATCTGTTTGTTTTTGGAGAGGTTTCAATATCAATCATTCGATTCATGATAATCACATGTTTTTTTTCTATTCAAGTTTTCCAATCACGATTCAAGAATTAAAAAGTTTTATTTTGTTTTGTTTTGTTTTTGTTGAATTTGGTGAATATATATCACATTGAATAATAATATAGGTAAGTTTTTTTTCAAATGGAAAAAATTAAAACTAAATTCAATCATCATCGATTATATTGTTTTCAGAATCAAAAATAATTGATCAATTATTATTGTACCTGATTAAATATGGATAAATTATTACGTATCAATCGATTTTTGGCTAAAAATTTCATTGTAAACACATCATCATCACGTTCAATTCATTTGACACAAAATCGTATGGATATATTCAAAATTCAAGATGAAAATGATTACAAGGAAAAAGTTTTGAAAAATTCGGAAAAAAAATTGGTTATTCTAGATTTTTTTGCAACGTAATCCAATTATATAAATAATGAACAAGATATTGATTATTGATTAATTGATTTGATTTTATATTTTTTTTCTATTTCATAATAATAATAATAATAGCTGGTGTGGTCCTTGTAAACAATTGACACCACGTTTAGAAACAGTAATTGGTGGCAAAGCAACAAATGTGGATCTAGCTAAAGTTGATGTCGATGAATTGGATCAATTGGCTGCCGAATATCAAGTACAATCGATACCGGCAATATTTGCCATAAAAAATGGAAAAGTAATCGATCAATTTGTTGGATCACGTGATGATGATCAATTGAAAGCGTTTATCGATGGTGCATTAGCTAAATAATTGATTGTAACTGATATTTTTGTTAATTTTTTTAAAAAATTTAGATTTCCATTAAAATTATCAAATCAAAAATAAAAATCAAACTTACTCATTCGTGTAAATCAGATGAAACAAACAAACAAAATGTCAATAAACGGTATTGGCAATTAATTGACGAATTGATTGAAAAAAAAAAATAGTAATAATTTGATTGGTTTTTCAAAATCTCACAATTTCATTTGCTCTTTGCTCATCCAACGTAGTTTATCTTTTTCATTTTCTTTATTCTACACATGAACCATGATCAGTTCCATAGAAAAAAAAATACTGATCGACTAGACACAAAAAAACCAACCAAACAAGCAAGTTATGTGTGTGTTTGTCTGCTTAGCTAGAGTAGTAGACACTATCCTAATCCAATGATTGGTTGATGTGAACAAAAGAAAAAAAAATGAGAAATTTTTTGCCCTTTGAACTTTTTTTTATGATTTGGCCATTTATTTCAATAGAAATATGAACCATAAAATGATAAAACATCAATCAGCATGATTTTCTTTTTTTTTTGTGTTTCATCAATACAAACAAAACAAAACCCATCATATAACACATTGTCTACTGGAAGTTTTTTTTTTCATCATTCATTGCCGAAAATTACTTTATCCATTAATTTGGTTTTTCTTTTCAAAAAACACTTTTTCTGTTTATTTTCAATTGGAATCAAAACAAAAAAAAAAATAAAAAATTTTTTGTTATCAAAACAAATCAAAGATTCGTTGTTGTTGTTGTTTTGTTTTCATTAAGACAAAATATTTTTAGAGAAAGAAAATTCAGATTCAGATTCGATTATTATTGAAAAAAATGCATGAATTGTGAAAGTAAAAATAAAATAAAATTATTCAAAGTCAGAATTTTTTGTTTGTTTGTTTGTTTGTTTTTCATTCCATGATGAATGAATTTGGAATTGGAATTGTCCAAATTTTGATGAACAGAAAATGATTCTGGCTATTCAGAATAATTTGAATAATGTTGATGAACATCATTGTTGTCAATCGATTGATTTGAATTTGTTTGTTGTAAATCGGTTCCAATTTGTATCGAATTCATTGGTAATTGTGCCAAATTTTCCGATTCAACAAGTAATGGTGCCATATTGTTTTCATTGGATGTTGATCCACTTGAAATCATCAACTGTGGTGGTTGACCAATCACAGTCACAAACGAACCATTAGAATGGATTGGATTCCAACCGAATGGAATTGAGACATCACGATTAATAATGCCAGTAGGATTTAAACCAATCGGATTGAAAAAGATCTGGTTTGGGCCAATTGGGTTTATAACTACCTGGTTCGAATTAACACGATTAATAAAAATTGAGTTCGCACCAGAAGGATTCGAGGAATCCTGATTAATGCCAATTGGATTCAAGCCAACACGATTCATTATAATCATGTTCGAGCCAGAAGAAATCAAGCGAATCTGATTCGAGACATCCTGATTAATGCCAATCGGATTCGAAAAAAGTGGATTCAATCGAAATGGGTTAATAGCATTTTGATTCGATCCAATACGATCCAAACCTACTGGATTATGTCCCCATAATGATGGAAATGACATTAAATCTTGTTGATTCACAGTCCAAATTGAATTACCATAACAAGGAACAAATGAACTGTTTGGTATGGTAGAAGCAATGTTCTGTCCCCACGGATTAATTGGGCCGACCGGAACTTGGAATCGCAATGGGCAAAACGGATTATAATTAAGCTGTTCTGTGCTTATCAATCGTTCAAATAATTGTTTTCGTGCCATTTCTTCATTGAAAACTAGTACCGGTTGCTGTTGTTGGGTCGATCTGTCAACAATCTCTTCATTCAATGTTCTTGATTGAATCTGATTTCTGGCCAAATCTTGTAAATGTAATGCCATCAAATATTGAAGAATCGGTAAATTACTGTTAGATGATGATGTAGATTGTTGTTGGACAGATGATGATTCAGTACTATTTCGAATCAAATTGTTAAATTCTTGATGAGAATTTGTTACTTGTTGATTCGATTCATTCACCTGAACCATTGGTACCTGTTGAACAGTTTGTTGTTGTTGTTGTGAATGGTGATTGTCCATCAAATTTTCATTACTCATGCTAGTTGTTACTACGGTTTCCGGTATTACTGCAGATGTTGATGGAACATGATGATTCGACGACGATGATAATGGTTGACTATTTTGTTTGGTCATTTTTTTACGTTTATAAGAAGAAGATGATCTTTCCGAATTACGATTTTCTTTACTTTGTTGATTATTAGGTTTTTTACTTTGATTTTGTTGATTTTTATCCATGTTTGTTTCGTCGTTTGGATCGTTGATTGATAAATGTTTAAGAAAAAACAATCAAACACACAATAAAATCGATTTCAATGAGCAAAAAAAATTTTTTTTATCAATTGATGCTTATCATGATCAAATGATCAAATGAAGAAAAATATCAACTAAAATTGAAATAAGAATGAAATCTTGAAAAATGAAACCAATAGAAAAAAAATAACCTGTTGATATATAATGATTTTACCTGTACATGTGTACCTGTGTGTGTGTGTGTGTGTGTGATATTTGAAGACAGCCCATCGGGCTGGATTTATATATATATATAGATTGGTTACCTGTTGCCAGTTAATATTGGAAAAAAAAATCAAAGTTGTCACCTATGTAAAAAGATGTATATGACATGCTCAGTTTCTCTTTTTCTTTTCATGATAAATTCTGTTTTGATCTGTGATGTTAATATGAAACGGAAACAGGATACAAATTTTTTTTTTTCTATTTATTTATTTATTTATTTTTAAAACAATTAAGAGAAATGAACAAAAAAAAATGTTAAACCATTTTCAAATTTCAACCTGTAATTTTATCAAGTTCAATTTGAAACAAACACGATGCACAGGCTTTGATCTTTTGTGAAAGTTTAATTTCTCTATCAGCAATATCATCTTCAAATACTGGTTTAAATTCTTGTGTTAAAAATGCTCGTACAGCTGTTTCCAAATAAGCAGATGAATAGAAATCCGTTAATTCTCCTGTAACTAATTCATAGAAATCTTCCAGATTTCGTAAAAATAATCTTGCAAATGCATCATATTGACGAGAATTTGTTCCTTTGAATTCACCATGTTGATATTTAAAAAGTTCATGTCGTAAATGCATCGGTCCTTTTGACGGCAATGGTTTGATTTTCATTGCTGAAATGAATTCCAATAAAAATAGAGTTTCCTTTCGAAATATAGTGAATAAATTTTGAACAAAACAATATTTTTGACGTTGATTTTCAATAATTTTCGACCAATCAATGCTATAATTGTGTTCATCTTGAAATTGCATAATTTTCATCTCTATATTGAGAAGAGATTTTGCCAATGTTTCATAATCGAAATTCCTTTGCAGCAAAACTTGAATATTTTATCGTTTGTTGTTGAAACGGTTAATATATAATAATAATAATAGAAAATATATGTAGTAAGAGAGATAGAAATTAAAAAGTTTTAAAATTATTTGAAATCAAAATTAATTAAAATCAATATTATAATCATGAATGATTTAAACTTACTTTGGTGTACTTTTGCACTTAAATTATCACGTATTTTTCTCATCAAAACCAATCGAGCAAATGGAATATTTTTGCTAATTTTTCTGGAATCCTTTTTGGTGACTACATCAAATGTTAATTTGTTTAGATCCAACACCTCATCATCATCATCATCATCATCATTATCATCAGCAGCAGCTTCAGATGACATTGTTTCGTCCATAGTCTTTGATTCCGTATCGATAGACAATTGCAAATCTTCTTCTAAAATTGAGGAGGAGAGCTTTATTGGAATGGGTTCGACGTTATGACTACGATTATCATCAGCAGCTTCAGATGACATTTTTTCGCCCATTATTAATGACGATTGGTTTTCTGGAAACCATTCAAACTCACCAGTATTAGGATCGATTTTTATATTATCTTTATGAACAACTTCAATATCATCATCGGTATATTTTAAATCATCGATTTCTTTATGATAATATTTGAAAATATTTGCTGTAACTGTTTTTATTTGATGAACAATATGTAGAAATTTTGTTGCATCCGTTTCGATACACAATTTTTCAGCAGCATTTAAATATTTGTCAATTTTTTTCATGTCTTCATCATCATCATCATCAATCATTATGATGATGAAGATTTTTCGATAAATTATCCATTATTGATTTGTGAAAAAAAATGAAAATTTTTCACTTGTTTCGTTAGATGAATCCAATTAACGCAAAATATATGAAGAAAATGTAGCCGAAATTATGTGGCAATATGATAGTTACGTATGTGTGTGTGTTTTCTTGTTGTATCAAAAAAAATGTATCCATCATCATTAGATTGCGCAGCACATAATTTTATAAGATTTATATGCTACTACTTGTTGGGTCTCAAATTTCGATTTCATTCTCCAGTATATCAATATATATTCGCTACATTGAAAATGGAGAATGAGAAAATAGAAAAAAAACGAAAAGATGAAAAGCAAGAGAGAGAGAGAGAGAGAGACCCTGCGGATAACTCATGGTGTGTGTGGTGGTATAAGCACAATAATGAGTTATATATGTTATTTATCATATTCATAGATTGGTTAAATATTGTACATTTTGGATTGTGTACAATATCCAATTTGGGTGATGGTTTTATGAAAAAAAAATGTTCAAAGAAATCCATTTTTTCAAGGTGAATTTTGTTTATTTTCAATGAAAACAGATTTCAATCAGCCATTAGCCAGACAACCAAATTTTTTTTTTTTTTTTTTTGCTTGATCATTAAATCAATGCGGTTGGTCTTTTGATTTGTTGATGGTCGTCAACATCCTTTTCGGCAAAGAAAAAAAAACAAAGGGGAAAAAAGGTGTATAATCGGAAAAATTTTTTCGATTTTCTAAATGTCTGGTTTGAAAATGAACTTTGAATTTTTTTTTCAATATTTTTCTGTAATAGTCTGTTATTAGATCACCCATGATGATCAGTGATCACCACACACACAAACACGATGGACAAAGTTCAGCCTTTGACCGCCTTCCAATGTTAGAATGTGGTTAGAAAAGAAAATACAACGATTTTCGATTTTCTCCAGAGATTTTTTTTAGATAAAAACCATAAGTGTGTATGTGTGTGTGTGTGTGTGTTCTGGTTTTATAGGACCAAAAACAGGATATATGCTTGGTAATTTAATGTTGGTTATAACCAGAAAATATATCAATGTAGAAAACCAAAAACAACAGCGCATGTATATTGCACTCATTTTTTTTTTTTTTTTACTAGTTTCTTCCACATATGAAAGCATCATTTGGCGTCATCTTTCTTTTGTGGGTGTTTTTTTGTTCATGAAAATATCAAATTATGATTGGATGATCAATATAAAAAAAAAAGAAAGTGATACACCCATGTAAATGAATGTAAATGCATAATGAATTAACTCTTGATGGTATGGCATAAGGCAAATTTTATTTTCTTTTAAAAAATTACATTAAATCTTCAAAAAAGCAAATCAAACAAACAAACAAAAAATCAAATATTATCATTGATGAATTCTTTGATTAAATAAATGATCAAAATAAAGATAAAAAAGAGAAAAGAAAACCATTCAACATTCATCAATGTCAGAATTCGTTTTGTCACTGTTGTTGATGATGATGATGATGATTGGACCCCAACCGATGAATATTGCTTAAATACAGCGGGCATTTTTGGTGAAAAACAAAGTGGACACTCCTTATCAGGTTCTATTTCATCAAAACGTTTTTGAATTGAATCCAAATCTTCAATGATTTTATGTATAGTAGTCTTAACGGTTTCACAATCCAATTTACATTGGCACATAAGAAAAGAGTGAAGAGCAATGATACGTCTATCAACATTGTATAGTGATACATAAAGATCAATTGGAATTCCTTTGCCTTCGTTATAATTACGATGATAGAAGCAAATTGGCAAAATTTTAGCAAATTTACGTTTGATAACATCAACATTTTCATTAATTTCGTTACATTGATTAGCTAATCGTTCGTTAATTTCTTTTAAAAATTTTTGCCGAATTTTGTCAAGCATTTTTTCCAATTCTAATGGCGATGGTGATTGGCTGGATAAACAAACACGAAATGAAACAAAACAAAAAAAATTGTAAATTAGAAAGCAGAATGTTTGAATTACCCATTTAGATTGATTGAATAGTGTTATTCAAATTGTTTTCATGAATTTGAATGCAACTTACCAACAAATTCGAGTTATTTTCAATATTTTGGAACTGTGTTTTTTTTTTGTTCTCTAATAAGGCTCCGATATGGCGAGCAACGACGAATGAACAAAAAAAAATGGTGAAAAAAATCGTTTTATATACTTTGTATGTGTGTGCGCGCGCGTTTGTGGCGATAAAGAAGGCAAGTCCAACTGCACACATAGTGTATGTGTGTGTAACACCCAACTAATAGAAAGTGGAAAAAAATGCAAGTGAACAACGCATGTTAACTAGAAAAATTCGAAAACAGGTTGTGTGAAATATGAAACTGGTGTGCACAAAATATGAAATCGTCCATGATCTGGTGTGTAGGCCTGCAGCCTTTCATTCAACCCCAAACTGTTCATGTGGTGTGCACAATAATAATAATGTAAAATGGAATTTTATTTTTCAAAAATTGAACCTCCTTCTAACAAAAAAAAAAAGAAGGCGGATTTATTTTTTCAAACAAAACACAATGACCATTGGTCAAATTTTAATATAGATAATATAGAAAATAAAAGAGAAAAATTCATCATTTTTTTTCATATTGTAAAAAAACAAATACAAAATGTGTGTGTGTGTGTGTGTGTGTGTGTCTAATAAATGGATTCCACACTGTCTTTATCCACAAGTTGTATCATTCGGCTATTTTAGCGGATTCAGCCAAAAGAAACATGAAACAAAAATTATTACTAGTTGAAATGGAATTCAAATTAAAATATACATTACATTGATTCTTCGAAAACAACGATGAAAATTGTGTGAAAAAATTCACGAAAATCTTCATTCAATTTTTCATATGTATAGAATGGATCATCATATAAACGTTTATGTTCGGCATACATTTTCATTAATTGAATCAAATCCAATTCATCATCAATCAATTGTTGTAATGTAAATCGAAAATTATATTTACGTATACGATATAATGATAATCGATAATGTCGTATAAGTGAATAGATTCTATCACACATTATTGAACGTATCATACGAATTTGTTGCATTATCTGTAATGAACCATTATGTTTGGCTGAATAGTGGAAATTGATTTGAATGTTTTCATCCAATTTGATTGGTATTTGAAATAATGTTTCATCATTATTTAATTTTCGTATTAAATATTTATATTTTTTAAATGAATATTCATCAATAAAACGATCAATTTTTCGATGATCATCATTATGGAATGGTGTCGAATAGAATCCATCATTTTGATGGTCATCATCATCATCATCATTATTATTAGTATAATTATTTGAACGATTTGGTCGAAAAAATTGAATGATCTGATGGATAAAATTCATTTTTGTCCATAATACAAAAAAAAACAAATGTCGATTTGTTCTTGATAATCGAAATTTACACAATATATCACATAATATATGCGGTGTTATGGCGGCGACAGTTGTAAATGAAAATGATCATCCATCATCCGCATCAACATCAACAACCTGAGTGAATTAAAGGAAAGGACCAACCTTAGTTAAATGATGATTAAAAGATGTACCACTGCCATTAACGAAAACACTGCTATATGCTTACCACTGCTGCTTCAACAACATACAACATGTGTGTTGCAGACGCGCCATTTTCAAAAAAAAAAAAATACAACCAATTTATTTGATGAATGAATCAATGATGAATTTGATTTAAATTTATTATTAAAATTGAAATTTATGCAAATATAATTTATATACACAAAAAAAAAAACAATAGAGAGAGAGACACGTGGACGAAAAAAAAAATGCAAAAATGAATTGGTACAATAAAATAATGAGTTAATGAAATTGAATTTTCAATGTGGAAAAAAATAAAGTTTTTTTTTATCGAGAATAAAATAAAATTAATTAATATATAATCATGCGTTCAACAAGCAAACAAACAAACAAACAAACAAACAAACAAATGTAAATTGATTCGTTTGGAAAATTCTTTCCTCGTTGGTCTTTGTGTGTGTGTGTGTGATGTGATCAAAGAAATTTAAAAAAAATGAATGAATGAATGAATGAATGAATCGAGAGAAAAATAAGGGGGAAAGACATTATGGCAAATTAGAATTGATAGAATTTTCATTGACCATTCCGTGTGTGTGTGGGTGTGTGCAAATATTATGTATCTGACAAGTATGTGATCAATTTAATTATCGAATAATAATCATCAATGATATGAATAAATGAAATACTGACACAACTGATATCATTAGCGAATCGATCGATTGGTTTGATTGATTTTAATCTTTTGGTTTTTTTCTCCATTCCTTATTCGCTTTTAATTTCATCCGAAAATAATAATAGAATGATGTATATATCACCAATAATTTTGTTGAATACTATAAACTATTGGCCATTCTCTAATGATTTAACCGTATTACGTAATGCTCGACGTTTAGCCAATTGTGATGTTTTCACTGGATTCAATGAAAATGGTACCGGTTTTTGTATGACTTCAAATACAAGACTCATGTTTGCTTTTACCACACATAGATCGGCATGTGGTAATTCTGTTTGTGGTAATTGATCACGTTTTTTAATCCAATCATGATTAAGAATTTCTTGTGCTTTTAATCGTTTTGTTGGATCCATATGTAATAAATTGGCGACAAGATCCTAATTCAAACAATCAATTAATTAATTAATCAACAAAAAAGGAATATTTAAGCATTTTCAATGATGTTATTACCTTTGCTAATTGCGATATATTTGTCCAATTGCCTGATTCGATATCAATTTTTCCAGATCCAACACGCATTAAAACATCTTCAGGTGCATCGGTAGGACCATTTGCAAATGGTGTTGTTCTAAAGCAAAAAAAAAATTTGTTTACAATAAGAACATGTGTGATGAAAATAATCCATAAAAAATAACATACCCGGCTAACATTGTGTACAATAATACACCCAATGACCAAATGTCACATGCTTCATCATAGCCTTGTCGTCTTAAAACTTCAGGTGCAACAAAATTAGCTGTATAACAAGGAGTCATTAATAGGCCATTTTCGGCACGCATCTGTTTAGCAAAACCAAAATCACAAATACGAATCGATGATGGCCGACAAGATTTATCGGCAAATAATATATTCGATGGTTTCAGATCTCGATGTACGACACCATGTTCATGAAGATAATTCACGGCCGTTGCAATCACTTCCATTATTTCGCTAGCTTCAATTTCACTAATATATTTTTTGGCCAAAATTTTTTCCAATAATTCACCACCTTCCATTAGATCCATAAATAAATATACATTATCATTATCTTCGATAGCATCATAGAATGTAACAATATTTGGATGATGACTATAACGCATTAATATTGAAACTTCTTCACGACAATCTCGTTTCTTTTTATCGACAATCTAAATTAAATAAAGAATACAAAAAAAAATTTTAAACGACATTAATGACAAAAATTTCTGAATAAATACCTTGACTGCATATTGTTTATCACTTTCAATATGAACGCAACGTTGACAATTGGCAAATGAACCACGGCCTAATATTTCAAGAAATTGAAAATCATTTAATGATCGTATCCAACCGGTAGTATTGATTCCAGTGTTTGTGGGATCTTTTGCCGATGTTGTTTCGGAATCTTTTGAATTCAATGACATTTCCTGTAATAATTGTGGTGCAACAAAACTAAATCCACGAAATAAGTCACGAGAGCTAACACTAGGTGGAATCCCAGGCGAATCTAAAATTTTTTTGTTGTTGTTGTTGAAACATAACATTATTATCAAATTGAATTGTTTGAATCATTCATTCATTATTATCATATATACCTTCGGGTGGCCGATTTGCTGAATCAATACTGAAACAATGATTGTTTGATAATGGCATCAATGAAGGAATGAATGGTGGTGTAATTTCTTTATTATACAATTTAACAAAATCAATAGTGGCAAAGAATTGATGTGATTGTATAGCACCGGTTTCACTTGGACCATATCCTAAACGATTGACAGGATTTCTTTTGAACAATGCTCTAAGTAAACTTTGTGCTTCTCCACTTAGATATTGTGGCATTGATAATTTTGCTCTATTTTGTAATATTAATGAAAAAAATGAAAATTATTGAAATCATAAAATTCCCTGTCCACTTACTTCATAATTTGTTGCATTGTTTCTTTTCTTGTTGGTCCTTGAAATGGTAATACACCTGTTAACATTTCAAACATTAGCACACCAAATGACCACCAATCAACGGCATGTGTATGTCCTTTTCTTGATATAATTTCTGGTGCCATATATTCAACAGTACCGCAGAATGAAAAACATTTTTCATTATTCAACGATTCTTTACTAAGACCAAAATCCGTTAGATTAATATGACCAGCTGAATCGAGAAGAATATTTTCCGGTTTCAAATCTCGATAAATAATACCCAATGAATGTAAATGATTCAATGCTAATGCTAATTCGGCTAGATAGAATTTTACATCTTCTTCGGTGAACATTACTTCATTATTCAGACGTGTGAATAGATCACCACCACGAAGATAATCAAGTACAAGATATAGTTTACCTTCCGTTTGAAATGCATAATTTAATTTGACTATAAATGGATGTCGAACATCGGCAAGTATATCTCGTTCTGTTTTTGATCTCAGTTTATCTCGAACTAGATAGTGAAAAAAAAACAATGAATATTTTATAATACAAATCAATCGATTGATCGATCGATTATTAAAATTGTCAAACCTTTTAATGTGGCTTTTTTCAATACTTTCATTGCATACAATGTACCGGCATCTGGTCCTTCGATTTTTCTCACAAGAAATACTTTACCAAATGATCCTTCACCAAGAATACGAATGAGAAAAAATTGCGATGGATTTGCCGTGGTTGAACCATCTTTAGTTACATTGGTCACTTCGAATTCTCTTTCACCGGTTTCAATATCCATAGTACTAGCTGAATTTGATGTTGATGTCGTTGTCGTTGTCGTCGTTGTTGTTGATTGTATACGATTATCATTATCAATTGATTGTAAATTACAATTTATTGTCTGATCTTGATCTATTGATTGACTATTTTTGGCCATTTTGTTGTTGTTGTTGTTATTCGATATGTTTAATGATGATTGCGGTGGCATAATTTTTTCACCACTTGTTGTTGCAAAAATTAATTCCAATTTTTGTTCATCATTATCATCATTTTCTTTGGCTACAACATTATTGATTGATTGAGCATTTTGTTGTTGTTGTTGTTGATCCATCATATTATTTTTATCACCAACAACAGTATCAGCTAACAATGATGGATCATTGATCATTGTTGATGGTGGATCTTCTGGACTTGGAGTGTTGGATGAAGCAACCTATAGAAGGATTGAAATAAAATCAGAAAACGAAAAAGAAAAAACAAAAATACCGAACCTCTTTCTGTTTGACATTCCATGGTACTACCAGATTTGCTAGCGGCATTTTCATTCACTTATATTAATTTTAAACGTTCAGGATGAAAAAAAGAACCAGAAAAAACCAAAATAATGATGATGATTTTTTTGTTGATGATTATCAATGGTTGATTAAAATTGGTTGCAAAAAGTTGTTTTTCTCTATCTTTTTGGATCACTTTTTGATGATATCAAATATTCGTATATCGGTGGAAACGAAAAAACAAAAAAAAAATTCACCGGAACTGGGCAAAAAAAACAGAACAAAGAAAAATAATGAAATTTTTATTTCGCAATTTATTTTGTTTATATTGCTGATGGTTCTATACTGGATCAGATGAAATTAGATGAGATGAGATGGAATGAAATCAACAACAAAAAAATGAGTGTAGAAAAAACAAAAAATTCTTTCTTTCTTTTTTATTTGCAAATAAATCATAAATTGAATTATACTATTTGAGCAATAAAAAAGTGAATCATCATGGACGAATGGCAAGTATACAAGGCAAATGATGAAAAATCAAAAATCATGACAGCAATTGTAACAATAACAATAATAATATATATGGAGATGGAATTGATGGAAATTTGGCATGATCAACAATACCAAAAACAAATGATGAAATTCATTGGAATATAGGATCATCATCATCATGTCTAAAATATTTTTCTATATATCTGCATGTGTGTGTGTCAATGGCAGTAAAACAATTTTCAAATAAATGAATTATTGAATGATTTCAGCATTATTGATGTTTTGAACCAGAAAAAAAACCAACCAAAAAAACCAACCAACCAGTGAACGAATGAATTGGTGCCATCATTTCTATACATCATTTATGACGTAATAGACGCACATACACACACACACACAACCACATTGGAAGATTTAATGATTGATTGATAAATTATCGAGAAAAAAAAATTTTTTTCTTTCTGGATTAAACAATCAAAAATGAATGATTTATCCATTATCGAAAAAACCATCAACCATTATTTATTATTTATATGTTTTAATTCATTTACAAAATGGTGAGGAAAACAAAAACAATGAATGGAAATCAACAAAAAAAAAATCTGAAAATGGAGAAGAAAAAATCAATTCTCATTCAATATTTAATCAATTAATTCAGAATTTAATATTATTTTTAATGAAAAATTTAAACATAATCATCATTATTGACAGATATGAGAATAGAATCTGTACACAATTGTTGAAATTGATGACAGCAATTTTTCCAATATACCAGCCAAATTCTGCACCATAATCATTAACTAAACGTTCATAGAATTCTAATATTTGCCATTTAAGTGTCAATTGATTTGTTTGTAATTGTAAACTAGGTAGATGATGTTTAAATGTATGAAAATGAGAATTTATAGTTGCTGTTATGAATAATATTATACCAAATATTGATGATTGTGTAAATACAAATCCTAAATATGTTTGTTGTGTACGTAATGGATTATTTCCGAATAATAATTGATAATTAAATAAAACATTCACCGGTATATTGGCGATTAAACCCATAAGAAATACCGAATTCCATACATCGATACCACCAATCATCAGACAACTGGTCATATGTTGATGTTCATATTGAAATTTTTTAAGATGCAAACAATTCAAACAATTTCGATATGATTTTTTCTGTTGATCAAAAATAATACGTTGTAATTTTTGTTTCAAAAATTTCATACGTGTACGATAGAATACGGTGTTGAATGTAGAGAAATTAAAATAAAGTATCATATTACGTATAAGAATATGGCCAAGATAAAGAAAACAAATAATGTTGAATAAACCTATTGGCCATTGAATTGATGTATGTTTCATAATAAATAGAAGATAAAAAAATGAACCAGGAATAAAAGTGGCTACAAATATGATAATGGTAAAAAACACACTAACATATTCAGCAATTTTCATGACCAATACTAGTGGAATACGTTGTTCAACATCGGCATATTTAAATATTGTTAATCTGGTCTGTTTGAATTTTGTCAAATCTATTTGTCCAATAAGTTTGCTATAACAATAATTACGGCCATTAAATAAGAATCCAATTAAATTTGAATGCCATCGATGACAAGCAGTGGTAATTTTCAATTTTGTTGATCGTGATGGCGATGTGGATTTATATCGACAATATAAATAATAATCATAATTTTGATTACTTATATCATACAATGATTTCCATGTAATGGTTTTATGATCAGAAAGACAATTCACTATGTATGATAAACATGATAAACATCCAAGTAATAATGGCCACCATTCGACATTGTATCATATTCAAATGTTGTAAATTTTCATAGTTAAACATGAATGCAGCCATTGTATCATAATGGCAATATTCTCTCAATACAGATTCATCCATAAATGTTATGATAACAATAATGGCAAAACGAATGGCCAATGACCAAAGTAAATACAATTCATTTGTCCACCAACGATGATGCGATGGACATAATAATTGTTTGAATTTTTGATAAAATTTCAATTGTTCCAACATCGTTGTGAGAACAGAAAGAATTTTTCTTATTGTTTTACAAATTATCATGAATCAGTTCAGAATGAAAAATTTTAGCCAAAATTTGTTTTTTGAACAACCTAAAAAAAACTGTTGTTGTCAATCAGTGAAAATTTCTTAAATGTGAAATGAACATTTTTCCATTGTCATCTTTGTCTTTTAAATAAGAAAAAAAAATGATGGCGAATAACGATTTTGGGTATGAAAATATATTTAAAAAAAAATTTTTCCCTATATATAAAATAATTTAAAAACGAAAAGAACGAATGGGAATGATGAATTTATTGATTTTGGCCCAACTAACCAACACAAACGAAACCTGAAACAGAACACATGAAACCGATTTCCAATTTTGGATAATTGTTTCCAGTGAATAAATTTTTATAAATGTATATATATACAATGAAGTCAGTTTTGAATTCATTCTCTTACTCATACCGTATGTCTCTGTCAACACAATGAGAAAAAATTCTTTATGGCCATCCAAAACACGATACAACTAGTCAACAAAATAGACAAAACTTTTTATCATTTAATTCACATTTTTTACATTACCAAAAAAGCAGATCAGAAATCTTTCTGTAACAAAAAAAAAAGAAAAGAAAAGAAAGTTCAAATGTAAAATTTCTCATTGACCATTTTTTTAAGCAATCAATATCATTTGTGTGTGTGTTTGCCGATAATAATAAAAATTTATGATTATGGGCCACAAAGTTATCTAATTACTGTTAAGGTCCATTTTTTTTTTTTTTTTTGATTCAAAATTCGATTGTTGCTTAATGATGAAATAACGGCAAACCATTCATTGCACGACAATTGTCATTTAGTTTTTTTTTTCAAGTAAAAATCACACACAAATTATTAAGAAAAGTTTAATAAAATTATTGATTTCTTGAATCATATGTCTCATTTGTTGAGAAATTTGTAATTGGTTTTTTTTTGTTAAGAAAAAAAAACCAAAATGAATTCGCATGATGACCAGACACAGACGTTTTTTTGTTATGAAACCTGGCACGTTCATCTGCACTCGATTGATTGTAAAATATTGTATTAAACATAAATATATATCATATCAAAAAAAAAAAAAAAATTCAGGATATTCATAATCATGACTATAATAATAATAATAATAATCCTAAAGCAGAAAAAAGAATCGATATGAAAAGAATGACGCACGAATTTATCAAAAATAGCTTGGATTGAAACAAGAAAACCAGAATTTCTCTCTCTCTCTCTCTCACACACACACACACACAATGATCTTTTATAATATAAATATATAAATGTATAATTAATTTATACTGAAAAAATAAATCTCATATGTTTACAAATGTGTGCGAACATGTGCATGTGTGTGTGTGTGTGTGTGTTGGTGACATTTTTTGTTTTCTCATGTTTTTGTCCTTACATAATTTTTTTTTTTGTTGTTTTCATTCCTTGCTAATGGTTATGGTTTTGTTTTGTGTTTATTCGCATATTTGTTTTTTTTTATATTATTATGGTTAGTAATCGGTGATTTCGGTGTTTTTTTTTTTTGACAAACACTATTGCATAAAATACAGTTACAGACACAATCATGGCATATAAAAAAAAAGTTGTTGATGTCAACATTATTCATTGCAAAAAAAAAACAGAATAATGAACCAACACCCAAAAGACAACACGAAAATAACAAATTCATTAATGAATTACAGTTACACAAACGCACAAACACACATGACGGTAAATAGCATCATAATGACAATGAATTAGTTATGATTATTATTTGACAATGACATTTACACACACACTTTTTGTTGTTGTTGTTTTTATTTCTGGCCGGAAGCGAATGCAATTATATAAATTATTAGTTATTAGTAGCCAAAAATCAGAATCAGAATCAGAATCAGAACCACACGCACGCACACAACGTAAATTTTTTTTCGTTTCGTTGTTGTTGTTGTTGTTGTTGTTGTGATTACACATCAAGAATCGGAATCGTTTGTTTTTTTTTTCTTCTTCTTCTTCTTCTTCTTCTTCTTCTCTGGTCACTAATTCATAATTATCATGAATGAATGAATCAAATTCTTTGATTCTAATGACGTCAAATCATACACACACACACACACACACTTATTAATGCCAATCAAATATTTGTTTCATTTCCATTTTAACACCTACACTAAATTCA